ACTACAGGACACAGCTGTTTTTATTTTTGAAAAAGTCTTTCCTTTACCTTCTAAACTTCCCACCTACGTTTTCCTACCAGAATGAGTTTTCAGGATTACGATTTATGAAAATAAGGTAAAAATCAGTATTTAAGCTGAGCTGAATGTTTTGGAAGCAGAAAAGATGAAAAATTAGCAACGCCTTCGCCGGGAATCGAACCATGGACATCTGAAATTTCGGCTCAGTGTGCTGACCATTACACCACGAAGGCACCCTAGGAAGGCGGGAGAAATACTTTACACATTAAGGGCCAACTCTGCAAATTTGATAATGTGCAGCTCCGGTTGATTAAATTTATCTAGCATTGCTTAGTTCTATATTTTCTATTTTGACTTATGCTCAAGTGGAGGCTTCTTATACGCCCAGGAAGGGACATCTGTAAATATATTTTGAGTAAGAATTGAAGGGTATTTTAACCCTTCTCCGGAGTTGTTACTTATTGAAATAAGAACTCAGCGAATAATTACTACATAGTTTTTCAGTATTATAGCTTTCAAGGAACTCTGTTTAAGCTAGGATATTACACACATTCCAAATCTTCTTCATTTCAGCGTAATTAGTACGATTCCCATGCAGTAACTAAGTAATGCAAGCGCCAAGATGGGCGCATTAATTATTCGAATATTACATATGTGTTGCAACTTCCTTCCCCATAGCAAGTGCATATATGTATAAGCGTGCATTATACACATTATATTTGCAAAGCTATTACACATATTTACCGAAAACATATTCAGTTAAGGTATACTTATGCATTAATATCTGAAACACATGCCTTATGTCATATGTAACAGTACCTACATATAATTTTCCTTTATTTAGCGTTATTATTAAATGCAATATTGTTCATGCATAATTTTTTAAATTATAGCGAATATCTGCTTAGTGTGCATTTTTTAAAAACGTTGTTGATGTTGCTCATCCACAAAGACAACAAGGGCTATATCAGATCCATGACATTTTGCACTCTAAAGAAATCCAGAACGGACAATCGATTGTCAGTAAGATCCTGCTTAGAGAGCCCTAGGCAAGCAAGAATACGATCAGGCGAAGCTTGCTCAGAAGAACTCTTGAAAACCTTTGTGCTTTTATCTGCATATTGTGCATAAACAATGTGCTATTATCTACATAGATTTTACATCCATGTAACGTATGCCTATTTTTTAAATAATTACACTAATAATCGTTTTAAAAAAGCTAAAACTCCGTCTATTTAAATATAATGTAAGTTTTTATACTGAATAAATAATATTGTGCCCTCTTTGCTTATTAAAATAACTAGACGTTAATAGACTGTGTAAGGAATTATCCTTAAGTCTCAGGTACGTCAGAGTTTAGAATAAGGGTGTAAAGAACCATTTATTAACTCAATATTATTCGCAAATGACACCGACTTGTGCTTACGAAAGCCATCGCTTTTGGCTTAACTCAAATAGTAACAAATAACTTAAAGTAGAATAGAATTAAGTTAGCCTAACGACGTTTCAGATGTTACTTAACTCACAGGCAGGCTCTGGCTCGTAAAAAGTCAGTATAAACGAGCTTAATGTCTAGAAGCGCTCAGCGCCACCGAAATCTAATCGCTAGTAAATCAAAGATAGCAATGTGACCTTCAGGCAGGCAGAACACGCTCTAAACTCATCTTTCAAAACATTCCTTTAAATGCTAACTACATTTTACCTCATTTGAATTAACTCATTTACATTCTGCTAAGAAAGCTTGGATTGAAAGCGAGATCAGTAGGAAATGGTGCTTTTAAGCATAATTAACTGCTAAGTAACTTGAATAAATTCCCACAATTTTTACAGTTAATCTTTATTTTTCATGAAAATTGCATACTTTCGGTGTACTACAGAACTTTTATGCAAGTAAAGGGCACTACATTTACAAAGATGTAGTCACACAAGAGATTGTTTAATCGTACAATAATTAAAACCTACGAAAATAAAATCGTCAAAGCCTTCTTCTCATCGTAATTTATTCATAATTCTGAAGTGTTTCCTAAATGTACTGCAGTTTTTTTTAATGAATAACAGATACTTTTCATTCACATTAACTTACTAATTCTCAACTGAGATTCAAGTAATAAAGATCCTTTTATCTTAATTATTATGTTTCTTTTAGTATATTAACTTATTTATGCTTCTGTTTTCATTTCTGAATAGAAAACCAACCCATTATAATCTGCTTTGTTAGACTACGTTAATTATTCGCCATAATAATCATATTAGCTTTGTTCATAAATGAAAGATGTTAGCTACTTAAGCATATTAATTTAAGTGAACTTATCGTAAAATAAAGAAGGGTTTTGGTATTATTCCAATGATGTCATTGGCTGTACAGCAAAATACTGTTCGCCTGTTTTGATATGTATCTGGTTCCATTAAGTTAAGATTAATATTTCATACAGATCTGCTTTTAATGCTGGAATAAAAGGTAAAAATTTATTAATGAAACTTCATATACTATCTAGAAGCTTTTCCATTTATTATGTAATTAATTTATTTAAACAAATTGGTATCTAAATAATTAAATTTTGCGAATCCAAACAAATGCAAAGTATTGCATATATTTGGAGTAGCTAACAGGAAAGAGAACTCCCTTCCAAAACAAAATAAGAAGGAACCTTTATTCAAAATCTTTGCCTTATATTAAGTCAAGTAATTGAATAGAAAATCTAATAGTTTTGTTATTTGCAATATTATTGATATCGTGAATTAATAAATGTGCGCAAGATTCTAACTTAACTGTAGAATAAAATTTATCAACATTTATTTTTTTTAATAATATGTAAATATTTAACAACAGTTTTTTGCAAAAGCCAATTTATTAATTTTTACTTCCTCATACGAAGTAAAAAGGAAGCATTGTAAACGCGAAAAGTTTCAAGCATCATATTTCAACAAAGATATTCATTTTGACCGCTATCGAATGCAATTTAACGAACATTTTCTGAACTAGCTGATTAAACTTTCACGAAATTTTGGCGAATTATGTAAATATTACACTCGCATAACTTTAAAATCAATAATATAACTTTTGTTATATCAGAAGTTTAGCCTCAGTTCTTTTTGATACTGACATTATTTTCCTACTAACTATATGTAATTTCTTTATATCTCATACTTGTAAATAACTATATATATTACAAGCAATCTTTATTAAATATACAAAAGGCAAACAGAATTATTAAACTAAATAAATTTAATGCGAGTATAATACGGCAAGACGTAATATAGTCATGTAAAGAAAAATATGTCTTGACGGAGAAAAGGTCACGGTGAAAGGTGATGGCAAAAAAGTCCTATACCCTAATATATCATCTTCTCTAACGACTTGTTATCTCCTGTGTATCCTACACACTTCAGAGGCAATTTTAAGTTTAATTTCGGAATTTAAACTTAATTGTAAATTAAATTTATCGGCCTTTGGTACAAAATTTCAACTCTGATACACTCGTAATGTTCTTTGTGGCTCAAAGCCCGACATTTGTGTTTTTTTAAGAGGTAATCCTACTCTTATCATGCAACTATAACAGCAGTCAGTTTCCAGAATTGTTCAAGTAAATCCTCCAATTAATTCACAGATGTATGGCACAGCGGCCGCGCAGTATAAACACTGAATACTATTAGATCTAAATTCGATTCCTGGAGAAGGATCTGGCTCATGTGCATTTTCGTAAATTTTTCTGTGTTTAACGTTGATATGGACCAGCTTCTCATATAAAGTTCTCCACGAAGGCATCCCTTCCCTTAAGCAGATAGCCCTCGCAAGCTGTGCACAATCTAATAAACCAAGCCGTATTTGTCTGACGTACTAACAAACATGGAAATGCTTAATCTTCATGAATTTACTGCTGTTATAGCTTAAAAAAAGTTGCCATAAGCTGCAGAATTTATTTGTTAAAAACTTAAAAGATATTTTACGGTTCTTTGAATAATCCTGTATTATAATTTTCCTTTTTCAATCAGCCGTTTTCTGGCAACATATTCAACGTTGTTATTTGAAATTAATATTCCCATTAAAGTACACAGAGCGTGCAGACATACATATATGTAATACCTAATAATAAGGAAATTAAAACTACATTGCTCATAGATAAAGTTTCTTAATCGGAAGGTTTCTGAATTTGGAATTTAGTAATTATTTGTAAAACTATTGTCTGTATTTGAAAGGCACCGGAAGGCTATTTATCCAACTTCGGAAGATGTCTTTTGGAATACTATAATATTCGCAAATACAAGCAAAACTTAAGTGTAATAACCTAAACATTTTGGTTGGAACTGAGCTGCTTAACACTGCTTTATCGCATAAATACTGAGGAAGATTTTAAAGCAATTTAAAAGCGAAAAGTAATCTAAAACGTAGAGTAGAACTATTTAAAATAACAATGACAACCTAAAATTTGCAGATATTTGCGATATATTCGATATTTGCGAAACAAATTCGATATTTGCAAATCACGAAAAGTACATTAAAATTCATAAGCATAGTAGCTGATATTGGTACCACGATATATTAATACTGGCAAATAATCATCTTTTTATTATCTTTTAGACACTAGTGCATAAAAGGTCAAAAACAATAATTTATACTACCTTCCTTTTCATACATGTTTTCAAAGGAAGCAAAGCATTCTGTTTCATTTGTTACTTTTTCCCGAATTTTTGAACAGCCCACCAGCGGCCGAGCGGTGAAGTCGCTGAACACTGGTAGTTCGGTCCGGGGTTCGAATCCCGCGAACGGGCTGGCTGCATGGGCGTTTTCGTGGTTTTCGCAATGTGTAACGTGTATACGAGCCAGTTTCCCTTAGAAAGTCCTCCACGAAGGCATCCCTCCTCTTAGGCGAGATAGCCCTCGAGGCTTTGCCATAATCACACACACACTCGAATTTTTTATTAAGTTTTTATAAATCTACCCTGATGCTTTTAAAAGTGTTATATGAAAATATTGTGTGTAGGTGGTTGACGGATGGGAACTGAATGGACAATTTTTTCCGGGTAATGAAGATCATCCAAAGCCTGTGGAAGGAAGATTCACCGAATATTGTGGAGAAAACAGACCTTGGCACACCCTCTCTACATCACAAAATGTTGGCCTGCTGGAGTTTCGCATTCCTGTGAAAGGCGAAGGATTTACAGTGTCCGTTGAGTTTCGCCCTAACCCGAAGCGTAAGTATTCACTTAATATCGCCATACTGCGAAAGTTAAATTGGAATATTTTTGTTAAATTATGAGCATAATTTTCTTAATATCTTCTGCAATGCAACTTTTTCATTCCTGAATGATACTTACTCTGAACATGAATGAATATTTAAAACATTGGCATCAACAATTTCCGTAAAAAAACAAAATCAAATCTTACTATTATTGAGCCAAGGAATTTCGATCTGCAACGAGTAAAGTTTTCGCTAGAGTACTTTCTCCTTAACTATCTTTTAATGTCTTAAAAAACTTCCAAAAATTATCCTAATTTAATTCCCATGCGTCTAAAAAAATCTGAAAACGAAAGATGTATTTTTAAAATGTGCTTTCTCGACAGTTCTCAAGTTTAAAAATGTAGTCTGAACATTACAAGCGGTATAATACTTATCCCGCCCCAAAAAAAGAGAGCAAGTTGCATGAAGAAAGTACCAGCACGAATATAGATGAGTGAATGCGTTTGGTGGGTAGCAGGTGCGAAAAAAGAAGCTTTTTGAAATTCACCATAACTGGATATGTAAGTTCGCTTTCAAGAACAGAAGAAGAAAAAAATATGCATTTATTTGCCGTAGCTAAAATAACTTCGTACTTGGTAACTGCTCTGAGAGAAATTTTGTGTTCTTTTATAACAGCTCAATATAATTTTCACTGTAAATCTTTCTTCTTACCTTAATGCAGTTTAATGCTCCAATATTGTCAAAATTCATCAAATATCGTAGAAGTTAAATATAATTCTCTTTTTAAAAGTTATTCATTGTAAACCCATTTTCTCATGTTTTTTAAACTCTTAAATGTTGTTTACTGAAATCTCATTCTTTTGATTTGTTATATTTCTTTAGTCCTTTTTTAGCTTTGAAGTCCACTAAATTGTTAAAATTAATAACATATTAAGTTAAAAAATATTTTTATTTTTAGAGAACCGGCAACAAAATAAAATTATTATATTTCAAAATTACTTTTATTTTTAGAGAACAAACATCAGTCTGACAGGATATTTAGCCTCTCTTTAACTTAATTATAGGATTTAAAAGTAAAATTTATAATTTTATTTTTAGCCAAGGAGTGCTAGCTCGAGGGCTATTAGTCTCGAGATGGAACTTCGCGTTGAATCACTGTAAAAGCTGAAACACTTTCCAAATTGCTGCGGCTAAATATTATCGCACTGTATTATTTTAAAAGAAATTAAATATAGGAGAATGGGAGAATGTGTATGAATATAGGTATGTTACTCGTATTGGGAAAGACGACAGTACATACAGCCATCAAATTTTGAATAACGTGATCCTCTACCCGAACATGCGCACTTGGAAGCCCAAATTTTTAATTCCGAATCTGCTTTATTTTCGATTTCACATTTTGTAAAACTTCAGTGAATTTTATTAATAAACTCAGCGATTTCAAAGCGAGCAATGACAACACTGTACGTAAAAAGCATGTCTAGCTTCAACACGCGAGACTGTATATTGGAAATTCTAAAGATATGCTGTTTTTAAATATTTTGTGATACAGAATTAGAAGAGAATCTCGAATAGAATTTTATGTGGTTTAAGTGCGAAGAACATAACATTTAATAAAAAAAGGTAATACACAAAACGTTGGGAAAACGCCCCTTTTTGCGTAATATAAAATCTGAAAGATTTCAGGTTTTACATCACGCCCAAAACTTTATTAAAGTTTTTTATGCTAATTAAAGCTCTTTACTATTTTCTACTTAATTATTAGACTAAGATTATAATTGGTGTATTTAATTATGGCAAAGCACACTAGGGCTATCTGCCTAAGAGGAGGGATGCCTTTCGTGGAGGACTTTCTAAGGGAAACTGGCTCGTATACACGTTACACATGGGGAAAACCACGAAAACGCCCATGCAGCCAGCCCGTTCGCGGGATTCGAACCTCGGACCGAACTACCAGTGTTCAGCGTCTTTACCGCTCGGCCGCTCCTAAGATTATAAAACTCATAGTATAATAATTTTTTACTTCCGATGACAACTGCTTGGAATTTTGCAAAAAAGGAAAAAACAAAATCTGAAATCTTTAATTAATTACATACAAATTAATTACATACAAATGGGCGTTTTCATTTAACGTTTTTTATGTTACCTTTATTTATTAAATAATGTTCTTCTCACTTAAACCATAAAATTCAATTCAACAGCAATATCACAAAATAAATTAAAAAATTTTAAATATCTAAAAATTTACGATACACAGTCTCGCGTGCTGGAGATAAAAAATGTTTTTTTTCCCGTGCAATGTTGCCATTTTTCGCTTTGAAATCGTTGAGTTTATTAATCGGAAATTCGTTAAAGTGTTACAAAATATGAAATAGGTAATAAAGCAAATTCCAAATTAGGGCTTCCAGATGCCCATATTCGGTGCAAGATAACGTTATTCAAAATTTGATGACTCTAGGTACCGTTGCTTTACCACAATGCGAGAAACATACATACAATTGTGCAGATTCTTCACTGTTTAATTTCTTTAAAAATAACACAGGGAGATAATATTTGGTGGCAGCAATTTGAAAAGTAAAAACGGACATTTAAATCTTTCGACGCAGAATGCCAAAACGAAATTAATACTCCTTCTCTGCTAATGCTCCTTTGGGATAAAGAAAAAAAAGGAAAAGGGGGGGGGAAAGAAAAAAAATGCATATTTTTTCAAAGTGAGTATGAATTTATATAAATTTACGAAATTTGAAAATAGTGGTACAGTCGGTCATAATAAAAAATAAAGTGTCTTACTTTCTATTATTTAAAATACACCCTCATTTTCGTTTTCATCCTAAAAACTTCATATTTAACTGCTTCAAGAATGCAAAACATTTACGAAAATAAAATGATAAATAATGAAATCGTTTCCTTTAATATATCAAATTGATATTTTTAGAAAGCTTATGTATTTATTTGGTTTGTTTAATAGCTACCTTAAATTCTTAGCAGCAAAAAAATTTTATACACTTAATAAACATTAACAGACAACTTATTATAATACAATTTCCTTAGTAATTTTGATTAAACTTTCATTTAACATAAAAAATTCAGTTTTCGGTCGCACTTGCTTGTAACAACATAACAGATGAAATGGTCTTTAACTAATTTTTATATTTTATTGCAATATCTAATAACTTCATTAGCTACATTAAATGCATTTTTTGATAATTTATCTCCTTATTTTATCAAAATGCAAAATATGACAAAGTGGCGTTTTTTAGTTAAGTATACCAAAGCAGCCATTTTAGAGGAGAGTAAATTAATTTACTCTCTGGAAAAAAAAGAAAATTTACATACACATAATACAATAAAAGACAATAAAGAAAGAAAATCGTCTTTGATATCTAATCGTAGTTAGTCACTTAATTATAATTTTTCAACTTAGATTCTGAAATAATTAATTATCAACAAAACCTTTTCAGTTGAAGAAATGGAATTTTTTGAAAATTTTGCATGTTAAAAAATTACTTTATTTAGTTAATGAATTTAATTATAATGCAATTCCTCTTATGCTTTCAAAATTCTAATATAATTTAATTTACTTTTTTAATGTCACTTAATTTATATTTTTTTTTAATGTTTGACTACTCTTTTGTTGATGAATAGCGTTAATCTTGTTTTTCTTTGCTTGTCCATCGATTTTCCTACAAATTTGTTGTTTGCTCTTTCAACATCTGGAAAGTCTTTGGTTCCCGAAGAAGGGAGACCTAAACATATCGCCATAGAAATCAGCAGAATGTTTAATCAAAACTTAAGCTAATCTAAGATAACCTTTCCTCTAATTTTAAATGTTCAGATTAACTTTAATAAATAATAAAATACAATATTTATTTAAACAACTTTAGTAAACACTTTCTGAAGATATTTTATCATAAAAGTGCAATCGTTATAAACAAAATTAAAATGATGAAGAATAATCGCGATACAAATATGAAAATTTATACTCCAAAAAAGTGACTTTTTTCTTAATGCACACTTTTGTTTTGATCGAAATTATTCGACTGTAAATGTTAATGTTTTCTAGAAATTAAAATTGACATTTCTGGTCTCTTATTCCAAGATAATTTTCCAACAAGACCAGTACATTTTAGCCAATATTTTCCTTTAGTTTCTTTTGCCAACTATAACTGCAAGAAAATTGTAAAACAGGTTGAACAACTGCCAACACTTTTTCGCGATTTTGTAAATTGCGGAAATATCTTGGTGCCTTTACCAATCAAACAAAAAACGTAAATTTTAGAATATCTTTTACTGACTTTTAAGTATTTATATGCTTAAATTTCAGCAACATTTTGTGTAAAGAATGCTTCTCTTATATATGTGCTTTCACTGCGTTGTAATAAAATGTGAAATTACTCCTTCAGCATGCAATGCAGTGTTGCAGCAGCCATCTGGTATTTATACGTTGAGAAATTATGGTGAGAGAGTGAACTGCACAATGTCCATAATTTTCCCGGAAACTTTCCAGATCTTGGCCAGCAGCGTAGGAAGCCAGTCTATGCCCATTACTGGAAGGACCATGGATGTGGAAACAGGAATTGTGAAAAAGGTGACATTGGTTGAACCTCTAATGTAAAGGCTATTTATACGCAACTGTATGTAGTTTTTCTGTGTTACTTTACTTATGCTTTTTAATTCAAACTGTTTTCCGTTGAATTATACCTTTTACTGCTTTAAGTATTTTGCAAACTTAAGAATAAATTAACAAATATCTTCTTTTGCTTCAAAATTGCTGTATGAGTCGCGTTTTTCGGTTTGGTGTTCAGAAATTTAATGAAAAATTAAAATTCATTCTAAAAAACGTGAAACAGTCATAATATTAGAGGAAACAAACGGTAATAACAAAACCTTTATTTAACAAAAACGTAGTAAATAAATAAGTTTTAATCAGTCAATGAATCCAAAAATTTCTTAATTCGGTGTTTTTTTTTAATCTTTCTTCAACATTTCACATTTTAGAAATAAATGCATAGTATTTTGCTGAAAACAACTGGTCTTAGCATATTACAAAAGCAAAGAATAGTGAACGTTCTCCCGAGAAGTTCACCGTAATGTTTAATGTATATTGGTTATCATAGAGGGATGCGGTATATTTACATACTTGCTAAAAGGCTGTCTAAAATTGCTGAAAATAGTACGGTTTACCTGAAATGGTTGCCTGCCTCAAATATTTCGGATAAACGGGGCTGTACTATATAGCAGAATATATAGCTCTTTCTAGGCATGAGAATATTTGATTAATTCGAAATCATTAGCCGGAAATGTTTTAAATATTACCTTTTGTCTTAATTTTACATTACAACATATTTATCAAGAAGATGTTAGAGCTTACTAAACTGGGAGTTAAACTGCATTATTTAGTTTCGCCAAAAGCACACATGGATTACGTGCTTAGTTATCCCTTCTAATTTTGATAGAAACAGCTCAGTGTTACTGGCACTTAAATAGATGACCCATTTATTTCTTATTAGCATTTACCTTTGCATACTTATCTTAGAACTGATTACTTAACTATCAAATTAAAGTCAGTTTTCTGTATTGTAAAATAGACGGCATTAACTGCTATTCTTATAAAGGAAATTTACAAGAAATATTTGCAACTGCATTAGGATTATGTATAAATATTTCAAAGAAGATGACACTGAATGGCAATATTAAAATAGCGGTGTAGGCGACAAAAAGCGGATGAACGAAGGTTAAAATTCCTGCACTGCAATAAACGTTAAGTAACAAAGAATAAAAAATTTTAACGAATGATATATATATTGTTATACGTATAACTGCAAGTAAACAGTATTATTCTTTACAAAAGCGTTGCAAATAATAAATAACAAATTATAATTTTTTACGATATGGGTGATTATAACACGACTTAACTTTAAAATATCCAAAATAATACTATGTATAAATAATTGAACGAAAAGGAAAAATATTGACATTTACTTGAAACAAATAGTAAATAACCAAGATTGCAAAACATATGGTATTGTTGCGTGCGTACGGGTTTGTAATAGATTGAATGCAGATAAAACCGATGATAGCTTGGTAAAATTTATTTTCACAAAATAAACACTTTACAGTTCTAGAACTCTCCACAAAACAGCTTTTTTCAGTATCACAGAGCACACTCAGTAGTTATACTTAAAACTAGTAAAAACGTTAAACACAGCGCAATGCAAAAAGCATCTAAAGGACAAAGCTCGCACAGAGACTTCAATATTCAAAAGTCATCTCTGAAGTAAGAAAACTCTCAGATGGATGCTCTGTCCTGTGTATTATATAGTATTCCTTGGCCGCAAAGAAATCTGTAGTACCTTCCATTTCTCGAAATTATTGGACGGAAAATGCGGTTAAAGTTATATATACGGGCAGGCTATAGTTGCGCATATAAAAATCAATTCAACTTATTGAATTACAGTGTCAGTTTCAGTTATACAGGGACCGGACCTAAATGTCGCCAAGTTCGGCAACTTTTGAGGATTTCTTGTCAAATTTAGCAACAAAAATTAATCCCCATCGCCACTTGGCGATATCTCCCCAGTTTAACGAGATAGCCAATAAACTTGCCTCTGTAATCTTATTGTTTCGGCAGAGTTCCGTCTTCTTAGACTTTTAATGTTACATTATACAAAAGATACTATAATTTCATATATACAAAATTCACAACAGCATTGTATTTACAATGCTGCTGTGAATTTTGTAGAATGAAGAAAAGAAAGAAAATAAACAGTGAGCTAAAAACATCTATGCATTCAATTGTATGTTATTATTCAAATAGGGCAAAGCTCACAAGGGCTATCTGCCTAAATAGGTGCTGCCTTCGTAGAGAAGTGTCTAAGAGATGTTGACTCTTATTTATGTTACATATGGGAAAAAACAAGAAAACCAACCATTCAACCAACTCGTTCTTCTGCGGTCACATTCAAATTAATCTCCCAGTATTTAGTGGTCTTAATCATTTAGCCACTGGTACGGCTGGCACTCAGTTATAAAGAGCATTATTGTCATCAGCAGCAGCAGTGATATTATTGTATATAATGAATTACCTAAATCTAATGCTCATAAGGTATTGGTGAGTGCAGGTTTTTATTTATCAAATGCGAGGAATATCATACAAGAGATGTAGAATTAGATAATGACAAAATTTAATATGAAACTTTGTTTCCAAAACAATGTTGTGTAAATGTTTTTAAACCAATGCTGTTTTTAAAACATGCGCGTAAAAATGCCGCTCAGGAGCAATTATTTGCATTAGTAAATAACTGCACAAGTAGTGTTAGCCTTATTTCAGAATAGTTCATTGAAGTATTATTTCTTTGACTCGTGTGAGGGTACTAGAATATATAGAGTCATCATGTATGCAATAGTAAGTATTATTATCTCTACTCACAATAAGCAGTCGATGTCTCGAGACAAAATAAGACGTACTTGCTCTGGAGGTGAAGTGTTACCTTAAAATATAAAGCATGAGATCACATTTTATATTAATTCGACTTCTAGTTTGATTTCAGATCCAGTATATGCGCTACAAAAGTGCTCCTGACATAGCGAGGGTGCTTGTTTCGTTTCAAATCATATCAGACCACACTTGTTCTGGAGGGGCATAATTGTCAGTGAAGCCACTGATGATTTTGTTAAACAGATAGCTACAAACATCACTATGCCATTCTTAAATATTTTTCAACTGAGAACTTTCCTGAGACATTTTTTCTACTAGTGGTAGATGAAATGGAACATTGATGACGTCGAACTTATCTCATCTCGGTGATTGGAAACTGAGGATTATGTAACTTTCTTTCTTTAAAATTTATCTATCTCCTGACAGAAAAGCTTCAGATTGATATGTTTTCCGAAAACATTTTTCCATTCCGAAAATGCAGTTAATGCACAAATATATCTGTCTTTTATACGATCTATATCAAAACCCATAAGGGAGCAGTAGTATTCCGTATCAGTCTCACGAAAGAAAAGCTGCTGAATGAGGGAGTTGACTGCAGACTACTAAAACTACATATACGTATAAGTTTATTTTATGGCATAAGTAGTTCTTTTTTATTCAAAAGCCTTGAAAACCTCGTTTTCATGCAACCTTTTAAAATTCAGTTATTCTGAAAAATATAAACCCAATCTGTGCAACAACTCGCCGTCCATTCCAAATGTTTAGTCCTACTTACGAAATGCTAATGTGCTTATATTGCGTTCAGCTGAGCGTGATTTTAGTATTGTCACCATCATTCGATTGGAAGTTAATTTGCGTAGTCTTGCATGAAAATGGGCAGCAATTTCCTTTCAAAGAGGCACTTAACACAACGAAAAGTATTCAATTCTAGTTTTAAGCTTACATTGTAGTGGTTAAAGATAAAGAGTTTTTATCTGTCTTCCTACTGGTTATATTGTACGAGTTTCTAGATGTCATCGAATGCTATAGGAAAAATATCAGACTTGAAAATTTTCAGTAGCGATGTAATGTTAGATTATTAATTGTAAATGACAATTTTGAAAGAAATGGTTGCTTTCAAGAATTCAGAATAAAGTACTTAGATGAACGACTAGAATAGCTTGTGGCTCAAAATTTAGTCTCCGCTAATATAGTACGACATATTTCATAAAATCCTATATTTATTTATAAGAAATCGTAGGGAACAATAGCTATAAGTCAGTCAGTTAAGTTTAAAATTTTCTATTCCGCTTTTCTGCATCTTCTTTCACCATATATTTAATCCTAAATATAAACTGATGTAAGCATATAACTACTTTATACAGGCGGAGCCATGTTTTGGTTTTCGTAATTCTATACAATTTTTAATGTTCAGTACTTAATTCTATGTTAAAAAATAATACATATATTAAAACTTAATTTTGTAGGTATGTAATTTCTGCTTTTCTTAAATTTCTGTGTTACAAAAAATACAAAATGTAAATTTAAAATATTTCTTTGTGAAGCTTTGAAATGTATTTTAATTTGCACTGCGTTCGCTAGCATCAAACGTTTGAGTTTTTTAATTGATTTCAAAGAAGTATCACTAACTAATACACTGAGTTCGAACCAATTAAGAAATTTCCATACCCAAATATTACATTATTTTTGTTTCTTAATTGTAATTAAGGATTTTATTTTATTTATCTATGCCTTCTCAAATGAAATTTCATAAAACCGAAATGCAAGTTATTAAGACATTTCTGTAATGTCAATTTTTATGTTGCAGTGCAATGTTAGAAGCCTCCAGACATTTTTTTAATCATTATAAATGATTCAGTTGAAGGTCATGCCAATTTTAATTAATTTTGACGTTATAAAATTTCTTGGTATATGAGTTCAATAAATCGCTCGCACTTAATATTCCTAAATTTATTTCCGCAATTTGTCAGAAGTTTTCTTTCGAAATTTGAAATTCTATTATTTTTTTTTTTTTTTTTTTAGGTCGACTAAATTCGGACCCAAGTGAACGGAATGTTTATATGGTTCACTTTTGGGGTTTTCATCATGTGTAACGTGAATGCGAGCCAATTTTCCTTAGGAAGTCCTTCACGAAGGCATGCGTTTTCTCAGATAGAATGCTCTTGTCAACTTTGCCATATGCAAATAATTAACCTAACGTGCAAATCTATTTATAAATTGTGCAGCATGTAATAAGATTTAAAGAAAAATTTTCCTGTTTTTGTACCCATAATAATGGTAGGCACTTTAAGTAATTTAAAAAAAAATTGGAATAAATTTTATCCTAAAACAAAAATAAATTTTAAATCCTAAAAAAGGAATAAATTTTATCGAGTACTGTATATTTTACTTTCTAGTCTTGCAATAATAAATTTTGAAATTATGAAAAATCTTTAAAATAAGCACTCTTTACCTCAATACAATTTTAAATGAGGGTTTTTTTAATTTATGCCATTACAGAACTAATAGTGTTATTAATTTCTAATTTTTAGTGCAAGAAACGTGGTCTTGAGGATTACGTAGAAGTAAGAGGAGGAGATGGACTTGATCCAAGTATGATGTCAGTAGCCGAAGATTTCTGCGGCATGGATTCTGTTCCAGGTACTTAACAATATCCTCTCTCAAACGAATTTTTATGAATCCTAGTTGTCGAATTAAACTGTAATAAATGTTTAAGAAACACCGGCCACCATAGATTTATGTTATGTTCGGCGTGATTCGTTTCAATATTATTTTTTTAGGTTGCTTTTGACAGTCTAGTTAAAACCAAGAAAATTCAACTCTTTTTCTTATTATTACATAATAGGATTTTAAATTTGATCAAATTTAGCAGTAACTAAATGATTGAAAATTTTATTAATAAAATATGATTGTTTGAAGGATTCAAAATTCTAATATCCATTTCAAAACAATGTAGCATGAATTTCCGCCGAACATTTTTCAGCAGTTTCAAAAATGACTTGAATAATAACAGCCCTTAAATTTAAAACTGAAATAATACTCATTGTATAACTGGTATTGTAAATAAGCGTAAGAAATCCTCCATAGCTTCGAATCTTAGCAAATATCGCAGTAGTAGTAAAAAAGTAATTTAACACCTTGATATTACATACAAAACTTATTTTTATATGAGTAGGAAATTGTCCTATTAGCGGTCGAGCGGTAATTCGCCGTAAGAACAGTGAATCGCTGAACACTGTTAGTTTAACCTATTTCGACTCTAAGCGAACAAGTTGGCTAAATGGGCGTTTTCGTGGTTTTGCCTGTGTGCGCGTGGATACCGGCCAGTCAGAAAATCATTCACGAAGGCATCTTACCCCTTAGGGATATAACCCTCACGAGCTTTGCCACAGTTAAATAAACCAAACCAAACCAGACACTGTGATTTACGAAGCCTAAACCAAGCTGTGCAAAGTCTGATATCACGAACAATAAAAGCGTGGGCGCCTAAAAAACGAAATCTGTTACTTTCATTGTATTTTCGGAAGTATAAATCATCATCTTTATAAATTTATCAAAGGCGCCCCAGGTTTTTATTATTGGTGATATAAAATTATAAATGAATTCTGTAAAGAGATTTATTTAATCTCTTATTCCTGTTAAACTATATGATAAATTATTTTTCCCCTTTTAATTCATTAATTATTTTATGAGTTTTTACATTATGCATAATAATCAACATAATCACTGAATTTTCCACTCTAAGAGTTCATCTACCGTCTCCGAACAGTGAAAAGTATTGAGTCTTAAGAACTCAGTATGGAGTACTTTATTTTTTCTCGGAGCAGAAACAAATAATATACCGCCAGCTGTTATCGATTTGTTAAATGGAATTAGAAAAGAACATTTTTCATTAAAGAAAACATAGGGAAAAGCACAAATCTTGCTCATGATACTTTTTCCAACTATTTTTCCCCTGCGCTATGCGAAAACGCTGACGTTGTAGAATGTTTTTGGAAAATGAGGTAAACACAGCAATAGCTCTATAAATTAGCTTTATTCAACAAAAAAAAAAAAAAAAGCTCGCAGAATCTTCTGAATCAACGGTTTTTAGCTGCATTTAAGTAAAGCCAGCAAAACGTGTAAGCTGAGAAAGCCATCATAGGCATTCATTCGATGAAAGGAGAGTTATTTCTACTTTGTTACATTATTTTTACCCTCCCCATGTCCATTTTAGCTTGTCCGAAGAATGTTTTAAGATAACATAAATATCAAAGTTTTGCTGCGAATTAAATCTTGCGTTAAAAACACTTATCAAAAACCTTATCAATAACTTATTTAATTATTTATGTATTTCATGTTCCTTCAATTAGAATTTAAAGCTAATTATCTGAAAAATATAAGTATGCACAATACGTTATCTTAAAATAGGAATTTCAAGGCCATTTCTCCCTCAAACTCCGCCTTATAACCATGGCAAAGGCTGCTGCGGAACGAAGGTCGTTTCTTCAAATTTGTTAAAATCCTCTGTGCAGTGATCATGACACACATTATGATCGTAAATGAGAGGGAAGTCGCTACGAACTTGAAGTGCCTGCTTTAAATAAATTGTGAATTGGCGTTGATTTCGTACATTTCAGTTTCTAAATCTATACTCTCTGCTTTCAGGCCGAAGCTCAGTAGATGTCGCCTGTGGCAATTCTGCTGTTCGTCTGGTCTCCAGCGGTAGGTTCGAGAATTCTGTAACCGTAAGCTTTGACCTCTTGATGGACTGGGGATCACCAAGCCTGATTTGCCCCACGCTCATGGAAACCCCTTGATTTTAAAAAGTATACTAATCATTTCATATTCAGCTGCTGAACTGTATATGATTGATGATGAATGTTTCTTTTACAGAAGAATTATTTATTTTAATGAATTGTATAAATTGAGATGCATAATTTTGAAAATGAGAAACTATGAGAAAATTTCCTGGTGAGTAAGAAAATAGTCATTCCTGCAACAGAATAGGTAGATTTATAATATTAATCTACCGGATCATAAAACTGAAGCTTTGAACTATTCGAAAGCAAATGTTTTCCTGGCACTCATTTTTTTTTTCAGTTTTCTAATTTTTAATGCATCTTTTGAAAGGCTATAGCTGATATTCGGTAATATTTTATTTATATTTATAATATACATAGTATGTGATAAAAACAAACTCAAAAGTAATAACCAGCAGGAATTTTGATGGCGTAGAAGTGTTGATCCATAATGACTAGGAAATTGGGGGCGGAGGCAGATTAAATTTTCATTTTTTTATTTCAGCAACATGCTGCGGCCACAAGCAAGTTGGCACATTAAATGTGCCTCTTCCAAAAAGTTTACATTTTAGGTAAACTTGCAGAAAGAAAGAAGAAGCAGACAGGTTGCACTCCAGCTAAACGTAGGAAGCAAGTGCGTTATGTTCAGGCTGAAATCTTAATTCAGACTGAGTTAGTTTTGGTTCTCAATGCATTTTGATTGGATAGTTAATATTGCTATAAAATTACTGTTGGCTGTTCACCAGAATTATATAAGAGTCATATGACATGGATTAATCTCGAAATGATGCAGTGCAAATAGAGGTTACTATTTTAAAATACAGAAGGGAAATGAATTTACGCTGCTAATTTAATCTTTTATATATTCTTTATTTTTCTTACATATTTCCCCTTTCAAGTAAAAAAAAGGCTTAGCGACAGAGAAGCCTTTTTAAAGGAAAAACGTTTAAAGCACTAGAAATGATGAGAAACGTTAATCATAAAATTTTGATTAGCAATAATTAAATAAATAACTGTATAATTTATAAATATAAATTTTTAAAAATAAATTTAATTTTCGTGTCCTATTAAGTTTTTTAATCATTTCAGTCCAAAAGTCTTTTTGTTTGAGAGTTCACATAATCATACTTCTTCAGGGAAGGTTCTTGCTATCACATTGTATCACAAATAAAAATGTTTAATTAATTATTGCTTATAATGAAATGCAAGACACAAATATTTACGATACTAATTTTCATATTGATAAATTATATTTTAACACCATAAATAATACTAGTAGTTTCAGAAATTATGGTTTCACCGTTATTATCTTTCATTTACAATTCCTGATTTTACCAAACTCGAAGGCCTCGCAAAGTATTTCAAATTAAAATTTAATTATATTATAAATTTTGAAATTTTTTGCCATTTTGTAATGTTAATGGATGTGTTTGAAATTTTTATATTTAAAAAGTTTTAAAAGCCTTCCCTAAACAGATATAATTCTGAAATTTATTTTATTATTACAAATATTCACAAATTATTTATATTCACAAAATTACATGGTCCATATTATTATTGTAGAGCAATGTAGAATTTTATAAGTCTTACATTTTAATATTTGTATATTTTTCCATTTTAATTAACTAGTTTGAAGACTTTTATGGCCATAAATTAAAATCGCAAACTTTGATAATTATACAATACTAGAGGCCAGTTACCTTTAAGAAGGAATGGAGGCTTCTATGTGTAATAGTATTTAAGCATCCCACAGCCATCAGCAAGTTGACACGCTGATTTGTATTGTAGAGGATTTACCCATTTTTTATCAACGTTTATTTTATTGTTGTACTGAACTTTTTACTTACTATGTATTGATTTCTAAATTCCATTCTGCACTGCTTTTCAATTAAGAAAATGAGGATTTGTTTATAAATCGTTAATTCAAATTTGCTAAGGATTGCAAAATATTGATTATGATTAATATTCAAGTAAAGATTTTACAACCCTCTGAATTTTTCCAGGTATTGTTTGAAAAAATTGGCACATTTTTACAGCATTTTCAACGAAAAATAAACTTGAAAACTTTTAAATTTCAATACAATTTCCAATTTGAACTTATTGTTAAAAATTATATCTACAAGATTTTTTATTTAAAAAAATTATTTATATCAAATTCTATGATTTTTCCCACTATTGTATTTCCCTTGTTTCGCTAATTCTGTAATGCATTTTTCGAAAAACGGTTTTTCTGTCGCCAAGCATTTTTCTCTTTGAAGGGGGGATATGTAAGATAAAACAATATGTGAGTCAAAATTATAATTTAAACTAACGGTAAAACTTTAATTCTCCCTTTCTGTTCTAAAAATCGTAATAACTCTCCTGGATTATCCTGGATTATGGATTTTGCATGGACTGTGCAACGCTGGTGACGTAATAATTGGGAACTGACACTTTTAATTCAAACGAAACCCTTTCTCTTCGTGTGCTTCCATAACGGACAACTACGCACTTCAGTTTCGCTCTCTACCCTGCTAGGATGTAGTTTTACTGGCCTTGCTTTCTATCGCAATAATATCAAAAATGTAAATGTTCTGTGAATAGGCACGACTAGAGTGCTAAGTGAACTGTGGCCACAAAAGTCAACTGGAAAATAAAAATTGAATCAAAACTGCCTCGACTGCCAAATTTCTTAGCTATTCCGAAGTCAACACCGTTAGCATACTACGCAATCAGATTTCTTCCTCTTTAATATGCCATCTACGTGCTTCGTCATCAGTATTTGCGTTTCTACGTCTCTGACATCAGACCATCTAAACTTTGCGTTCAGCACATATACATTTGATTTACAATCTTTACATTAGTTATTAAATCAATAATGAATGAAAATTATTTTTGACTAAAGAAAATTTCTCTTTCCTAAGCTCTTTTTGTGGTTACTCAGAAAATGTACATTTTTGTACCTTTTTTTTACATTTATTAATTCTCATGTTTAATATATTTCTTTATCTTTCAACAGATGTTTTCATTGTGTACGGCATATCTATATCTATTACACTTAATATTAATGGTTTCATTTTTCATAGGACTGAGATGAGCTTTTCGACTATTTCGTCGAAACTGAAGTTACAGTAATTGCTTCCATAGTAAATGTAAACTACCTAAAGAAAAAGGAACGTTTATTGAATGTATTAGTTAGTCCTCATCCTCTTCAAGTAAAGTTTATTATGTGTAAACTTATAAATAATGTCTTCATGTTCGTCCAACAACTAGAATAGTTAAACATTGTTGTAACTCCTTGCTTGTTCTTTATTATTAAAACAACCATCTCGATATTTTTTCGATTCTTCTGAGAATGTAACTGAAATAAAAATTTTAATTCACTGAAGTTTCAGGATTTATTTGAAGTATTTAACAATTTTTATTACTAAGTATGCAAAACTTTGGAGAGGAATTCTCATTCAGAAATTCACACGCAGACTTTGGAGAATATTTCACAGAAAATAAAGTCATTTCTACTGCTTATAGATGTCAGGTAGTGCACATAGGAAACTAATACATGTAAATGCAACTTACATAAAGAAAAGTTAACGTTTTAGTTGAAGTAATAGATATAGCAGATCTTAACCCCTAATATTAGCATTTAATTCATTTATTTATTGTTGTCAGAGCTGTGCCTAGATATTTTTTCAACTGAAGAAAAGAGATAAATGCTGGTCTCTGTATACAATCAAATTAAATGTATCAGTATACATCTATGTTCAGCTCAGGTAACTATGCAAAATCAAACAATAACTCTTATAATATTTGATTTCCCTTAACTTCATATATTCAGAAAATTTGTACATATCATTATTTACAATTTTAAAGTTTAAGCTCTTTTTGTAATTCCTTATTTCTTGCTTTTAACGAAATAAAAGGCACAATAGTTGTTTTCAGAAGCTACTTCATTAGAATCCCAAAGAGGCAATATGCCCAGAAGGGGTATTAATTTCGTTTTGGTATTTTGCGGCGTCCACTATAAAACGGCCTTTCACTTTTCAAATTGTTGCCACCAAATATTAGAGTCCTGCATTAGAGAAATTAAATAATGAAGAATCTGCATGAATGTATTTATGTTTCTCGCATTCTGAAAAACAACGGTACCTAGATACTTCAAATTTTGAATAACGCAGTCCTCCACTCGAATATGGGCACTCTGGCAGCCCAAATTTGGAATTGGTTTTATTGTCCATTTAAATTAAATTTTTTAAGTTTCTTTGAAATAGATTTTGTTTAAATTTAAGAATATCATAAAATGAAATATCTTAGCTAAGCAAGATACTAAGGTATCAAGTAAGGTACTAATGTGTATATATATATATAGTATAAGAAACTCTCCAAAGAGCTTATAATGCAGTGTTATTCAAAGTTATCTTATATGACTTTGCCAATGAAATTTACACATAGGGATAATAACATATACAACGAACGAAAATCTGTCTACGTACAAATTCTGTACGTGAACTTTCTATAGTTACTTGAGCAATGTCAGACGATAATTAAATTCTAGCCATATTGTCTCATGTGGATCATTCGCTGCTGTTTTCACAGCAGTATTAATATGTCTTTAGAGATCAAGGAGGCTTGTTAATAAATGTGACATGATCACAACATCTTATGTTGGTCAGAGCGGAAAAATTCACTTGACATAAGATCTAGTGATATAATAAGGTTAGTTATCAAATGCATTATGACTGATGCTACTCATCAAGGAACCGTTTATGCACAGTATAAAAATATGACATTCTACACATGGTTGCTGTGATATCATAAAACTGGAAATTTTCGTTTTCATTTTATACATATCAAATTAATGTGATCTTCATGATGTGAAACTGTGTTACGTTAAATTGAATAATATTTTAAGTAACTCTGTGTATTAAGTATTTAATATTTCCTATTGTTCCATAGAAATTTCCCTTTGGAGATACATTTTAATATGGCGTAAATGTGGCAGATATGTTTGTGATGCTTATATTAAGTATCACGGACAAAATGCTTATAAAAAGTAATATTTATTTAATATCATTAACAAACGATACATGTTTGACATATTTCAAACACTTCAAATGTTTTTTACAAACAACACCTTAGTATAATTTCTATTTACATAAATATTATTGAGTTTCATAAATTACAAAATATTTAGTAGAGAAAAATTTACCTCTGCCTATCTGCTTGAGACCGTTTTATTACACTTTTAGTGTCCAGCACAAAACGACATCTCTAACTGAAAACATCAAATTCGTAATAGTTATTCAAGCAATCTTAGGGGAATAATTATTAGTAGATAACACCGTATCCCTCAGTTTTGTAGTTACAGATAGGAGCTGTATTATTCAACACACTGATTTCAAAATACTCACATAATAAATACTAAATTAAAACATTTCAATTCATTCCGTGTGTACTCTGCTGAAGTTTAAATGGCTCGGTACTTTTTCTATCTTAATAGATATGTAAACTTACATCAAAAACCATATTTTCTGAAATTTCCGAATCTATATGAGATAAATTTTAAAAACGTACATTAATTTTGTCTCGTAGTTTAAATTTTAAATATTTTTTAAATGTCTACTTCCAATTTATATAAAACGTTAATTAATACATATTTTTTACTTTTAAAAATGCTTTTATAGTTATTTACTCATTATTTCTTAAGATATTACATTTTCAATTTAATGCAGAATTTTTCCTCTTTTCTTCATGTATGTTATTATATCACTGTCTTATGACTAATAAGAACTGGAGATTTCATTTTCATATATTTTTTTTTACATAAAGTGCACAAAATTCTGTTAAAAGACAATGATGTACGTTTAGATGATGACTACTGTTTGACTATACAGTAATTGAAACACATACTCAGCATATTATAGTACTATTTCCCATTAACATTTACAAACTCTTTTCTTTCGTGTTAAATATCACTTAGCTTAGTTGTCAGAGAGATACTTCTCAACCAGAAATTGAAGCAAAATTCAAAAGAAATGTAATAGTCACAGAACAAATTGGCACAACGTCTTCATCCGTTGAGTCCTGCTAAATTATTAACAGCAAGGAATCACGATTCATTGAATTCTTCAGTAAGACTAGTTGGATTATCATAGCAGTGATAACTTCTCTGATCGCGACTACACCGTCGCTTTTTTTCTTTGCGACTTGAAGGTAACCTCTGTAAGAGAAATTGTATGTCATAAATTAATACCATTTTTTAATTTTATGCAATTAAAATCATAAAGCTGGTACTACGCTAACACGTATACCACGTTAGCCATGATATACATTTTAATGACTGTTATTTCATTTAATATGATTATTAACTAAACATTTGTTTAACGCATTTACTGATACCAAATTAGTACTATCTGTAATATTTAACTGAGAAATCCATTAATAACTCATCATATTAGTGTTAGTGTCTCTTGGTATGCGAACCAGTTTTCAATACTAAGAACTAAACTGAAGGTAAATTCTGTTCTAACTGGAAAATAATGCTTCGCTCACAGGCAATTAATTTTAGAACAATAAAAAAAGATTAAAATTTAAAGCATTCCATGGCAGATTGACTGTAAAATATGCTATACTCTAACTTCAATTTGTTTCCATACAAAGTATATTTATAGATTATACCTATGTTCTGATGTATACAAAAATTTAATTTTTTAAGAATTTGAAAACAAATATGACCGGTCTCAAGTTTTAAGCAAGTTCTTCTTAATCCTCAAGTTTTTTCAAGTGCTTAAAAAAGTTAGATAATTATTTCAAAAAAGAAAATTTCTTTCAAAAAACACTTTGCCAGATTTAAAAAAATTATAATTCATCGTGAATAAACTAAATTAATATTAAATAAATATTAAAATATAAAATATTACTAACTTACTAACATTAAAAATTTTAATCTTCTGATATTTAAATTAATTCTTTGAATTTATTTATTTATACTACTATTTTATACTTATGTAAATTTTCGTACATGAATAACAGAAAACTGACAAGCACATTAGATATGTTAATTATATAACAGTAGAGACTAATACAAAATATCTTAATGCACAGCGTACGGCAGTAACAAGTACCATTGAAACTGTCTGCGATAATAAAATTCAGATACAAATATACACTGAAAAAGTATCAAAACCTGAATAAACGAACCTGAATAAAAAAGAACTTAATTTTAATTGAATAAAATAACAATTTAAATTCAAAGACGCTTTTTAACTATGTAGCATCCAACATATAAAGAAAAATGAAAGCATTTGCAGGTTTAATATTAAGATATTTTTAGAAGAATTATGCAGTTGGAAGCATTTTAATGTAAGAAATGTCTTCTGTGACGTTGTCCCAAAACTTATGGGCCAGTTTATGTAAGCAACTCTCATTGTAAAACCGCAGAATCGGTTATAAAATCAGTAATATTAAAAAAATATCAAAAACTAAAATGAATTTTAGTTTAATAAAATCATTAAATTTGAGTCATATCTGCTACTAATTTTGCGTAAGAAGTCATACTTTAGAACTGAGGACCTGTTGACAACAGAAACATCAAAAGCATAACGATACGCTTCCAGAAAAATTGCATTGTTCTTTTTTATTTCCCTTATTGAATATTATAATGATTAGATAAAATTGTAGCACGTACTTTGTTTCGAATAATCAAATTACTCTTCTTTTTAATCTACGTTAAAATACCAGGTGACCCAAAAGTCCGTTAACATTTGAAAATTCAATAATTCACAAAATAGTATAGGTGGAGAGGTAAAAATTGGCACACATGGTTGAAATATCACAGGGTTTTATTGAAAGCAAAAACAAAGGGTCATTATATGGCGCTGGGCAGGAAAATGTCAATAACGCCGTATGAGAATCGTGCACGAAATGAGCCGTTGTGAGAGAAGGAATCAGTCACTTCATGACTTTGTCACTTTTCTATTCTCGCCTCTGCGTGGTGGTCGCGGTGTGATATGGATTTATCACGTTAATCATAATCGGACACTTTTCTTCGAGGAATTGCGTGGTTCTGCTATTCAAACTGTCAGCGTGACGAGTGCGAGGTACGCTGATATCTTACAGAATCGCATCATCCCTAGTCTTGATGTTAAACAGCTGTTGGAAGGTATGACTTTTATGCAGAATGCCGTTCTATCCCATATTGCTACACGTGTGAATGACCTCTTGCACACATCGTTTGGTGAAGATCGCGTGCTGAGTAGCCAATTCCGTCATGCTTGGCCTCTCAGATCCCCAGATCTCAATCCGTGTGAGATTATTGGTTGTGGGGTTACTTGAAATCGCAAGTCTACCGCGATCGTCCGCCCGCATTAGGGATATAAGACAACATCCGACGGCAATTTCTCACCGTACCTACCCAGATAGATATGCTGCACAGTGCTTTTCACAACATTGTCCCTTGACTACAGGTAATGTTGACGAATGACGGCCGACATGTTGAAAATTTGTTATAGAGAACATAGTCTTTGTTAACAACCAATCGATATGCTAATTATTGCTTTTGATATCATATAAAGCGCCATCTGTTGGCCGCTTTAAGAACTTTTTCCCCTATCAATAAAATTACATGACATTTCATGTACATGTGTCACTTTTTACCCTTATACTTATATTATTCAATGAATTATTGAATTTTCAAATGCCTACGAACTTTCGGGTCACCTAGTATTAATTGCATATGAGGAAAGCAAGATTATCCTAGTTAAAATACTGCAAATCGAGCATTTTAAAAATTAAAATAACGACGATTTTAATTATAAAAGTCGTTATTTATTATATTATTATTAGATCATATTTTTAATAAATAGTTAGAACTGAATTTTGCAATCATATTTATTTATAAAAATAATGATGAAATATAAGTTTTGTTAGGTGCAGATGTCAGGTGACGTATCAATTGTTTCGGGAACATACTGTATCCTGAATAAGAACAGTAAGTTCTGTTCCAGATTGTGTGGAATAGACGACACAAGCAGGAAGGTATACGAAACCCTTTATTCTCTATTACTTTACAGGTACTCCCGAACTTCGGAATACAGAGACCAACCACTTGTGATTTGAACATAAAAATATAAAACTACTAACTAAAACTCTAACTAAAAGCTAACTTTGACTTTATATACAAATGCCTAGCACTCAGATTGGCCTTTATCTAAAAGGGTTCATATGTAGTACGCCGAGCTGCTGAAACTACAATACGTTTTCAAAGATCAAGAGGGCTAAACCTCTGGCCTTAAAGGCAAACAGCAACCGAGTGAAAACTCGTAAGAATGCAGTGTCAAGCGGCTCGCTTCCTAAATTTCCTTCTCTCTATCACTCTTGGCAAAAAGCCACAACTTAAATACTTGGGCGTTAGCAAGACAATTTGCATAAACAAGTTAAAGCATTTAATTATGGCTGGAAGTAGAAAATAAGAAATTATAGTACATTTTTAAAATAAAATAAACGTTAGTAAAACTTAGGATCCTTACACAGATATTAATAGAGTAGCCTCTATGCATTTCGACAAACAGGAACAGCAAAGGCGTTCATTCCGTCTAGCAAATAACACTTGTTTTTGTTGCTAAATAGCCAATGGAATTCTTTTTTCATGTAATTTAATTACCAATGAATTTTCTTCTTATTTAATCAGAAATAAGAATTAAAAGACGCTAAGTCAATAAAAGATATTCATCACATTTCTTTATTTTATTATAGCCCTATTATATTTCTCATGTTTGATCATTTTGTTAAAATCACGTAAATACATAGAAAATCATATTTTTCTGTTTATATGAAATAATTTTAGAAAATTCATCACATTTCTTTGTATTAAATCATAAGTTGAAAGCACTTCAGACAAACAGAATATGATGGTTTTCTGTTTATTTGAAATATGAATACCATGTTTAATTCAGAAGTCAAACAACAAAAATCAGCGTTATACCTACAAAATTTTCACAGGATTAGTTTCGATGGTTTTACCGAACCATCATCTTCAGCTGCAAAACCGCAAATGAACAAGTAGGAAATAATGATTAGATAAGATAAGAAAGCCTGGACAAGAATAAGCAAGTGGCGCCATCTGTTGGCAGAACCAGAACTAAAACATAATTTCTCTAAAAGCCGAAGGCAAATTTGCATTGGAATTAGGATCGTTAACTAGAACAGAAAGATTTTTATGAATATGAAATGCCTCTAGAAAATCCAGTTCTCCAATGGAAGATGTTTTTTGAATAATTTTGGCAGCAGAAAAATTGAAAGAGTGATTTTCGGAGGAAACTCAGAAGTCTTCTGTTGCTCAACATTGTTGGTCCGAAAATCACTCTTTCAATTTTTCTGCTGCCAAAATTATTCAAAAAACATCTTCCATTGGAGAACTGGATTTTCTAGAGGCATTTCACATTCATAAAAATCTTTCTGTTCTAGTTAACGATCCTAATTCCAATGCAAATTTGCCTTCGGCTTTTAGAGAAATTATGTTTTAGTTCTGGTTTTGCCAACAGATGGCGCCACTTGCTTATTCTTGTCCAGGCTTTCTTATCTTATCTAATCATTATTTCCTACTTGTTCATTTGCGGTTTTGCAGCTGAAGATGATGGTTCGGTAAAACCATCGAAACTAATCCTGTGAAAATTTTGTAGGTATAACGCTGATTTTTGTTGTTTGACTTCTGAATTAGTATTTATTCGGCGTGTTATTGTGTCTTAACCATGTTTAATGTCTTAAATATAATTTATGTAAAATTATTAAAATGTTCGCAAAATAATTTATCATTACCTCATAATTTGGACCATTAGATTCAGGCATTAAACTGTCAGTAAAACTCATATCCAATAAATCTTCTCTGTCAGCAATCGATTGCTCCTAAAATATTGTAAAAATATATGTTTAATGTTCGAATGGATTCAATAACTGATTACATTTCAATCAAGCTATTAAAGTATTTAAATTTTAAGTAAAACAGACTACATAACACAAGAGTGTAAAAATTACTGTTTGGAATTATTTTTTAAACTTTCTAAATTTAAAGTTTCAAAATATGTTCACAAACTAAAATAGTAATTAACACATCCATCATCTACTTACTAATGAATTCCTGGACTAATTTACTAATGAATTCCTGAACTCCCAGTTACTCAAAACATGCTACTTTCTCAATACTTTTATTACTTTAAAGCAATAATTGTATTATTTTGTATAAAATATTGAGTTTATTTAGTGTAACGCAAATAAGAGTAGAATTAGAGTTTTCCACAACCTAAAAATATGATAGGATTATCGTATAATATCCAGTCTATAAAAACAATTGTTTTTCGTCAATATCTGCTTTATTACCCTTGTTAGTCCCATGGAGGTAGGAAAGGAAGGAGGAGCCAACCGGCGCTAGAAGTGAAGCACTGCTTTGAAGCTTGGGTCACCAGATGGGGTGTTCTTTGTTTACATTCAGAAGCTCGCTTGACAGGGTTCTGATAGTATTTCGACACACGACAATTCCATACAAATCGAAAAGGGACACTTTCGCATAAAAGAAACATTCATAGTGTGATGGATAATAGCAATTTGTATAGTTTAGTGACATTTACGCAAAAATCACATCTTTGTTATTTTTCGATAACAAACAACAGCGATTTTGATTATGAATTTGTTTTATAAAATTCTAAGCTGTTGAACTACAAAAATATAGATTTTAAGAAAAATGTTATGTTTAAAGAATGAAAAATATCTTACGGTACATTTAAAATTGTATACGTCTTTCGATATCCTTGATAGAGTATTCGCTACTTTTATTTTATTTTCCAAACGCCAAAATGTTTTAAATAAAACAAATTTTTTTCACAACCATATATTATTTAACATGTACCTTTTAAAATTTTTTAGAGGAGAGGCTTTACTGCTGCCCATTTTAAACTCATCGTTTTAATTTTATATATCTGAAAAATAATCACTTTGGGCTTACACGTTTTACTTATTTGGGTTAATTAAAAATAAAATTACCATCAAATGCTGCAATCCTCGTCAAAATTCATAAATATACACACAGATATGCCAATAAGTTAGATTTTCCTTGATTTGGAACCACACATTTGTGTAAAATTATGTACAGTTTTACATAAATGTGTGGAACAGAAGAGGGATACATTTGCGAATTTGGCGGAAGTACCATGTGCGGTCTAGATGATGTGACCATGCGAACGTGCTACATCTTCAAGACAGTTTATTCAGAATTTGAAAATAGGGTAATCGACGGAGGTGAAAACATTTGTATATCCTGGCAAAGGAGGTCCGATCATGAATGATCCTCTTATTGATTCCAGATTGTTAAATGTTTCCCACGCAAGTATTTTTTTTTTCGGAAATTCGAGTTTTATGCTGGCTTCTTAACGTACGCAGGTCAATAAATTATTTATAAATGTATTTGAAATGAAGAATTTATTAACTTATAAACAACTGTGAAAGTACTGTGAAGAAATCTAATTATTAATGTATCTAATTTATAATGATTATAAATGTTATCTAAATATATAATAACCTTTATATTGAATTGTAAACATAAATTGAAGTCCTGTTGACAAATACGTTATAAAACTAATTTAAGCAAGAATTGTTCGTATTGGAAAGGCAATCTTGTTAAAAGGTATTCTAAAGCAAATGCTATGAGATGCGCACTTAAGAGAACGTAATAAAGAGAATAATTTTGGAATATGTATTGTTGAAATTGAAAGGTAAAAAAATCTGATAAGTATAATTAAAGAATTATTCCCCTTACATTTTACAATAACTCAGTTACAAGTTTTAAATAATACTTTAAAAAAAATCTTATTTTATTCCCTTTCAGAAATGTTCAGAGAAAGTTAAGTACTATTTAAAGTATTTCGCTAATTCCTAATAATTCTCTAATTTAAAATGAACCGAATAGAGCATTAATTATAAATTGACTTACATTTTTCGATTTAAAAGATGCCTCAGAAGCCAAAAAATCATGTCATATTTAAGAAAGTATTTTAGGAAGAAGCTCTATAAATAGAAAAGAAATAATGCATAATTTTAATATTAATAATACAATAATCTTTGATCTTAATTTTTGTACCTTAACCGAATAAAATCGAATTACCTTATTTTTTTCCCTAATGTAATTAACAAAAACTTGTGAAAATATTTCATTCAAATTAAACCATTCTGAGAAAACTGTCCTGTGAAAAGTATAGCATTTAATTCCGTTCAGAATGAAATGTTGTTTAAAAATATGTTGTTTTCATATACTTAGGACTCTGAAGTGTTGTAGAAAAAGAAAATATATACATTTATATGTATATTTACGACGTAATTACAAAATATTTACATCCGAACGCGTCAAATCCCATTGAACTCAATGGTAAATGACCCAATATTTTGGTCACCACGTAGGGATCGCCGGTGCTTCGGAGCAGGATACGGGAGAAACTTGTTTAGGACGACTCCATCTTACTTCCTACCTCCATGGTTAGTCCAAAGGGGCTTTGTCCCTGAAAGCCTATTGTTTTCGTTTTGCGATTTTGCGTCGGGACCCTATAAACGGCGTATCACTTTTCAGATCGTTGCCACAAATACTATCGCCCTGTATTATATTTGAAGAAATTAAATAACGAAGAATCTGCATAAATGTATGTATGTTTCTCTCATTGTGATAAAATAACGGTACTTAGAGGCATCCAATTTTGAATGACGTAATCCTGCTGGGAATATGGGCATCTGAAAGTCCAAATTTGAAATTTGGAATTTGTTTAATTATTGATTTCATGTTTCGTAAAATTTTAACGAATTTTTTATTAATAAATTCAACGATTTAAAAGCGAGCAATGGCAACACTCTAAGGGAAAAAAAAAGAACCTTTTTATCTCCAGCGCGTGTATCGGAAATTCTAAAGATATGCCCATTTTAAAATTATTTTGCGACATTGCTGTTGAACTGAATTTTATGGTTTAAGTGCAAGCATGATATTTAATAAATAAAGGTAACACACAAAATGCTAAAAAAAACGCCCTTTTGGACGTAATTTAAAATCTGAAATCTTTCAGGATTTTATATATATATAAAATAAAGAAAGAAATGCTCTATTGTGTGTTATTAGCTATGCTTGTATTTTCTACTGTTTTAAATAGTAAATAACTTACAGCTTCCTCACTTTTATATTCACAAATAAAATTCTTCCATAATTTAATCATAAATTTTTTACTCAAGTTTCTCTTAATTTTTCCTCATACTTTGGCAAAATAAATTCCTTAACCGATGGTGCTAGCACTCCATAACTATCTGTTTTAGCCAAGCATTTTTTGATACACTTTCTTGTATAAGTGGTTTGTTTTAAGCTGATGGTGATGCATCTGCAAAAACAATCAGCCGTTTCCACTGGAAATATAATCTCTGCTTAAACTGTCAAACATCTGTTAAATATCACTACATTAATAAATATTGTTGCAAAAGTCTCCTGTTTTATAAAATAAGCATTTCTACAGCAGGGTTTTTTAAGTGTTATATTTCTGCACTTCTTTATAGTTCAAATACTTTTCGCAAAATGTATCTAAATTTATGAAAATCAACAATAAAATGGCTGCGAATTCCCTAATATAAATATTTTAGGAAATCTAGGCTCATATTAAAAAGCAGGCATATTAAATCTGGTAAATTAATTCCAAGTACTGACTTAAGGCGCTTCAACGCCTTTTTTTTTCTTTGCTTGAGTATCGTTATTGTCAAGTTAATTCGTGTTTAATTAAATACATTACAACTGGAGATAATCAGATATCACAAATTAATTATTTCATTACGGAAATAGCAAGTGTGTTTTTAATTCATTTGTGATAACATATTTTCAGTGAAAACTGTGTGCATACATTTCTTTTGATTACATAAGCGACATATTAGGAGACATATCAGATTAGGAGATGTGTATATACATATATGTAGATAGATAGATATAAATATAATGCAGTAGCTTTCCAAAATATTGTCATAAAATAATTCAGTAGATATTAATTCAAATATCTACACTCGAACAGAAATAATACTAGAGAATTTTCCTCTGTTGTTTCAGAAGAAAGGAATGGAACGTGCAAAGAAGGAAACTCCGTAAAGCACTTACAAAACAACTGTCCTATTTCAGTATAATCACCAAGTTCAACTTACGACATGTCACTCAAGAAGGGAATTAATTTTTGCTAATGACTTTGTGATTTGGATTCTTTTCGAGCGCACATCAACAACAGAATGATAAATTTCCATAATACTTGAGTAAATTTGAAAATGATTTATAAAATTAACAATTACTTACCCACAGACAGAAATCACTGTTGTATAATCTGATATATATTCAAAAATTGTCATTTTCAAATAAATAATTTGTTGTCATTTATAGTGCTATTTATTTTTAATACTGGATGATGTTTACGACAACCCCTAAAAGGACGTTTTTATAATTCAATAATAACTTACTTCGCTTGTAAGTCGTCTAGTTGAAGGCTGTCTGGATCCAGGCACAAAGTACTCAGAACCAGTCCGAAAATTCCTCAGTGACGCTCGTATTGTAGTCTCATCGCATGAACGACCAGTTTCGGACCATACTCTGAAAAACAAAGTTGCATAAGTGAAGAAACATTCCTTAAAGGTAGAACTCGAATTTGAACTATTTAGAGTTTTATTTATTTTCCATCAGGAAACGAAATCGAATAATTTAAAACTATTCTTGCCTTTGCCTGGTGTTCGTAGAAGAAGGCGACATGTTGACTTCATTAAGCAGTTCGCTGTGTGTCATACTGCCTCTTCTTGGAATCCACAATTCTGGTTCCAGCCCGTACTGTCCTATAGAACTTCGACATCTACTACCTCTTTCGCTGATATACTCCTGACCGCTTCCAGCATTCGCTGCTCTCGATCCTTGGCTGCTAACTAATGATAGGCGACGAAGTCTACCACGACCTGCACTTCGAGCTGGTGGAGGTAACCTGGCTTCCCTTAGTTCATTCAACTAGATCGTGAAATTTATACAATAATGTCATAAATGTATTTCATAAAAATGCCTCATAATACTATTTTCTGTAGATTTTATGTCTTTGGAACAAAACGGAATAGGACACTATTAAATTAATAGTAACATGTATGTCCTCCGTTATTATTGCATTGCTAGCGCGTTGTCGTAGAATCGAACCCGGGTCGGTGAGAAGTGCTGTCGACTCAATAAGGTAAGAACGCTAAAAAAAGGAAAAGGTATTGGGGGGAAAACTATGACTTGAAGTTCTACCTTTTCAATATTAGTAAATTAATTGAATGTGAAAAATTGATTCCAAAAGTATGGAACTGAAGACAGAGAGCATATAAAATAATGATGGTGAAATATAGAAAAGAATCTAATATGTGTGCTCTAGCTTAGGTACTAGATCAGCACTATAAAAGAGGAAAAAATAAATTAGCTGGATACAATTTGCATATAGCACGAAAGCTACACGCAAGATCACTATTTCAACATATTTAATACAGCAAAAACTGCGCTTAAGATGAATCACGCTATATCAGTAAAATGATATCCGAATCATCCGGTGTGGAGTAAATCCTCTTGAGATTGTAGAGACATTAGGTTATTTTTTAAAGCAAGAGAGATTGAAGAATTAGCAACCGCCTTCGCCGGGAATCGAACCACGGACCTCTGGAATACCGGCCCATCGTGCAGAACCACTACACCACGAAGGCGGGAGAAATACCTTATAAGATAAAGATAGCACAAACTGGACGAAATAAAATACAAACAAACAACTTGCACCTAAAACTAATTCTTTCAAAAACCAAATAGTAGAAAGTAATAGGTTTGCACCCTGTAAGTGTTAAAAAGTTATAACAAACTTTTGTTTTGGAAACTATTTATAAAAAGTACAATTTGAAAAGGCAATAAAAGGATCGCACGATTTTTACCATCATAATTTCATTCATTCACTGATTTCAGCTGCTAAATATTAAAACAAGCCTAAAAAGTAACAATTTAAATTGGCACTTTTCTCTAAATGTGAATGTGAAAGGTATCCATCCCAATATATTAAAATAATGGCGCCAAAAATCTCCGCATTGACTTTTATTTGCATATTAAAGGGCTACCGGTAACTGCAAATTTACATTAAAAAGCTTTTAGATTGCGACAAGTTTATATGACCAAACAAGAAGCACGAAGTCATCCAACCTAAAATTATTCGGTTGCTCATGTATACATTAACGAAATTTTAGCATATGATGTTGATGGCTAATTATTATGCGCATTTAATTACGCAAAATGGCCTTTAAATTGACAAGAGAAAATCACTTTCAGCAATTATAATATTCTAATTTATTCAATATTTTACGACACACATGCACAAAAAAATACACATTTCATGAAATATATATTTAGGTCGCAGAAATCGATACATTTAAAATATTTACAATACTATATTACCTCGAATTTAAGTCGCAGTACTATTTTAAAACTAGAAAACGAAAATGATTGAAATGTGGTACGAAGAATAGAGAAAAAATTGGTAATTAGTTAATTAATTAATTAGCGGTAACCAGTCTGAGCTGCTAATTGGTTAATTAATAAATGAATAAAAATTAATTAATATTACAACATTTACCCTTACTTAATTATTATTACTATTAATTAATTATCATTATTGTTAATTATTTTATTAAACATTATTACCATTAATTACTTAATTAATTGATTAGTAGATTAATGGAGTAATAATAAATGGAAATTTGAAGAAATACCGTGTTTACTCGCGTAATAGTCGCTCTTTTTTGCCAGTTTTTCATTGTGAATATCTAGGTGTGACTATTATGCTCGGAAATCTACTTCACAATATTGCACACTTTTGGCGATTTTTTCTGCTTCAAAATGGGGGTACGACTATTCCGCGAGGGCGAGTATTACGAGAATAAACACAATAATAAGAAATAAAAACGATTTTATAATGATTTTATATAATAAATATAAAAAATAAGAAGCATTTCTATTTTTTAAATAATTACTAATGTAAATATTTAAGCCCGATGCTGTCTAATTTATTGAGAAATGAGATGCTGAAATGGAATTTAAGTCGCACCCTAATTAAGTCTGAAATAACCTAAATTAAATCCAAAAAATTTGGACAAAGATCGCAACTTAAATTCAAAATTACCTACTTAGAAACATTAATATATATGTAAACGGTCCTTTACCTGGGCAACACAGGTCTCATATGTTAATTTATCCAGATGACATAAACTACCTTGTCGCCTAGGAACACTCGGATACATTGAAGATGCTTCGCAAATGAGTGACTGTGTACTCATTCTTCGAGCAGGGAATGTGGTGAATGTGGAACACATATCCCTATTCAAAATGCTTTCCATATCCCGGCCGAATATCATCTGCAAAGAATTAGATATAACTTAATAAACATAAAACGAATGATCACAAGAACTTACATGTGATATTATAACTTTTGAAATTCATGAAAATCTGATTTGCTACCAGCAATAAATTTATTATTTGCTTCTGGCAAACTATTTTCCGACCACGAAATTTAAAGAATAGTTAAAAGATAAACATATAAAAGCATCAAACGAAGGATAGTTTGAAGAATTAATTAAATCCGGGGTGCGTTTTTCTTACTCGATTTACTATTTTTTCAATTTACAAAACTATAAAATTATATACAATTTAAAAAGTAATTTATTTCTAATTTTAATTTCTAAATTTAGAAAGAGAACTTCAAAATATACTAGGATAAGAAAAGCAAAAAAGCTTACTTAAAAGAGCAAAAAATTACATATTCTGCAAATTCTAGAAGTAAAATTGAACAGAATTTAGAAAAAGCTTTCATATACTCTATACCCTATTTGCTATTTTGCTAACAAAGTTCTTTTCAGAATGTTGTGACTTACTTGAGTACCATATTATTAATTCTAACATTAATATTCTTTTTGTCATATATTCATGGTATGAAACGACGTAAATCTTCACAATTCTTATAAGTCCTAGTATTCGGTGATTTTTTTATTCATCTTTTTCTTTTATATTTAGCAAAAAATCTAATAGACCGAACTAAATGACGACTAGGTTAGGTTATATGAATACGGCAAAGCACGCCAGCGCTATCTACCTAAGGCATGTCTTCGTAAAGAACTTTATAAGGAAAGCTGGCTTATATTCACATTATCAGTGAGGAAAACCACAAAAGTAATTTATGCATCCAGCCCTTTTGCTTAGGATCAAACTCCTAGTATTGAGTCACTGATGAGGCAAATTACGATTAAAAAACAATCATAATACAAGGCTAAAAATTGAAAACAAAAGAGCATTTGAATAGCAAGCTAGAGCACTTGCAGATAATTTATTACATAAATTGAAACGCTTTCTAGTAACCTTGCTTCCTGCTTATCCAGGCTTAAATATTAAGTTTTAAAACTAGAATTTAAAATATTTCTCTATTATGTATATTAAGGCCTATTGGTATATAAATTACTTTTCAGTCTATTTGATTAAAACAAGTCAGTGAGTTTTGAAATAAAATAAGTACTATCAAAAACTATACAAATGAATGACGAATTACTGTAGCTTTGAGGCTAAAACTATAAACTGATAACAGTTCACAAATATATTTTTACATGATCTTAGCAAATAATTATTAAAATTAGATTCTTGCCAATACTACTCTGATATCCGTTTCAAATAACTGTCATTCACAATCGTTATTACTGTTAAAACTGGAATTGAAGAAATAAAACAACTGGTAAAACATTATTAATCAACACGAATTAATTGGACTAACGTTCTTAATAACTACTTACTGAAGAAAAAATTACATATATTATTCTAGAATAGCTCTAGAATTCTAGAACTCTTAATTCTATAATATTATTCTAGAATTAAAAAAGTTTAGATACATTCTTATGTCAAAAAAGACTACAGAAGGAGAATTAGAAAAGATTTCATAATTACCTTAATACCAATTTGTCAAGAAAAGATGGTGCATCCTCCACCACGTGACCAATCCGAATATTATTCCCAGAACCATTTTCTGTTGGAGGTTGAGAGTTGAAAGAGGCGGCTACCACCACCCGATGGTCGTGATCATACGATTCCTTCACCTTGTAGTTTCTCAAAGCCAACGTCCATCACCTCATTTTGTAACTCTTTCTCTTCCAAAATCCAGCATGCATCAAGAAGTTTAAATTATACAGATTCGAGGTATTTTTAAAAGAACGCCCGTGAAACCCGACCGAAATTCTTCACAAGGCCCTTTACCATTAGATCAAACTGATGCACAAATTTGAACACTGGTTCTTGAGAATTCTTAACAGCAGGGAAAACTAATTTTGATAAATAATATTTGATATATATGAATATAGAAGAATAATTTTTAGAGATCAAAATAATTTCTTTCAACAGCAACATCGAGTTCATTTGAATAACATTTTTTATATTAACACGATTATGTTGAGTATTTATAACTTTTCTCATAATCTTTGTAAAGTTTTGTATTCACAAATACGTAATACAATTAGAGAAATATATTAACATGCTGCGTGAAAATCCAATAAAGATTTTTCTTTTAAACTGTTTATCAATATCGTTCTTCTGTTGATTTATCATGGGGCTACAGCTTTTCTTTCATAGATTATGGATTGTAGATATCATTGATTTTCATAGATTTTATATTTTAGATTTTGTAGAATTAATAAACGCTTTTTATATGAACATACACTATACTTGCCAATATTTTGTGATTATTCTGATTTTAAATGTATAGTTATTTTACTATTCATTTCTAAGCGAATTCTTTCTACGCGTAAACAGTTGATGAAAAATAAGAACGTCAAGATACACGAATCTAAAATTTGTGCTGCCATTTTCCTAATCAAAGTTTTAAATCTTTGAAAACCTATTCTAATAGTTTGGGAACAATTGAGGAAAAATATATATTTTCCGACTTAACCTAACGAAGAGCATTTCAATTTGTGTAAAGTGCGTTAACATCGAACTTGGCAAACAATAATAACATAACTAATAAAAGTAAAAGGCTTAAAATATACTAAACCCTTTAGCAATATTTTGCTAAAGATTTTAATTAGTTTAGTGAAACAAATTTGTACATCAGTTTTATAGAAAAAGATACAAAACACCTTTTACCATTCCTTTACCGTTTGTATCATCAATCATGAAAGTTTATACCATAACCTTTAATTAGGAGTTCATGTGCAAAAAAGTTAAAGTGAGAAGAAATACTGAAAATATGTGTCATACATTATTGGGAAATAAATTTAATGTTAAAATAAGTCTGAATTCGGTTATTAATTAACTTTTCATTAGTATGTATTAAAAATATAATAACATTAATAAATTACATTTATAACTTTGAAAGTAATGTTAATGTGGTAATATAATGTGCAACGTATAAATTCATAATATACTGTTTTCATTTTAATGAGCACCTAAATATATACTATTAAGTAAGAAGTCAAAAGAGAAGATAATTTACACAAATAATAACAAACTTTATTTAATCTAAAACATGGCTGAATACATAAATGAACAGATGGCCAATATAAATTCATTAGCCTCAAAATTTAACAACAAAAATCTCTCTTCATATATTTTTGAATCTCATCATAATAATTTTAACACGTAACAATATTTGGGACACAGATTGCAGAGAAAATTGCAAGAAACCTGCATGTAATTCTTTGAAATGTCGTAAAAGAATAAAAAAAAAAAAAAAAAAAAAAAAAAACACTTGATTAGAACTAAATTTAAAATAACTAGATATTAGATTGCACAAAATGTTCACGTGTTTATGCAAATGTAGTTTTCTTATTTAAATAAAGCCGCATGGCAGTATGTGTTTGATTTGCTTGGGAAGTTAGAAACTTAATGCAATACCTGTAAAGCAATATCTGTTCCAAGTTAAAATGCGTTAGTACGCACCATATATAATTTGATGCTCATCAAGTATCAAAATAAAAGTGCCTGATGCAATATTCCTTGGTGCTATTATCGTCGACGATTATATAACAGTCTAAGTGGCATCGGAGATTTTATGCTTAAAACATAAATTAAGTTTCTTTGTGAGAAACGTGCAGCACAGATGTTTTTCTTGAGCAGCATAGAATAGTTCAAAGAAAGGCAAAGTAGAATATGTGTGCTTTTCAATTACTCAAGACTGAAAGCAATTTTGTAGCCCAAGTCTTTGAGTATTCACCACCTTTGCTCAAATGTATTTCTGCCAAAGTTTCAAAAATCATCATAATTTACTGTGTTTATTGCTGATATGTACAAACTAATAATAAAAATTTACATAAGTTTGGAATATTTTCCAATGAATTTGAAAGATGCTACTCCTGATCTGTGAATGTTTGAAATTTCAACATTCTGATGGCTTGTAGTTCAGATAAGCTCTATGTATAGCATTTTATATCTATCAAATTCAGAGAATTTAAGGCAAATTTAAGGCAAAACGGGAAACTTTGACACACATAATAAGCAAAGTTTATCTCAGCACACATTCTAAACCTTGCCATTCACTTAATTCACACTGATACAGTGGAAGCAAATAGTCCCACTTCAACGCTCGGCGTTCTGTGTTCTAAATGAAAATATGAAAATGTCCTATTTGTGAATATGGTTTCACCATCGGTCCACATCCGGTGGCATCCTGTAATTAGGATAGGGTGCGTTTACCTGCTTTGGGTGGCTGTGCTTTGCTCTCGGTATGAGAACAGTTGGGACTTGAAAATCTGCAGAGATACGGTCATCCATGCTGTCGCTTCGACGGCTTCGCTTCATTGTAGAGTTTGCCACGTCATCCTGTAAAAATTGTGAGATATAATGAATTAATTATGTCTTTGAACAGCTTGTGATATACAGATTTTTGATGTACCCATGTAAGTAAAAGTGCCGCATATCAAAGAAAGATGAAATCAATTTAGAAATGAAAATTTGCAACGATAATAAAATGTTTTTATCATAGGTGGCTAATAAATTAATCAGCTGTTACAGCTATAATTAGATAAAATAGAAATAACAGTTTACAAATTGTTGTATAATTAATCTCTACTGGTTACTGAAGATGAAATATAATGTTAAAATTGTGCTGTTCTAAATGTATCGCAAAATTTTCATTTTCTAGGCGTACCCAAAATCATGTAGAATCCAGAAATTGACATACAAAATCCTACAAGTTAATGCTTAAAGAAGGTGGAATTTCGAATTTAATTTAAAGTTACGGCAATTTAAGTCTTATTTTATGCAAAGTAAAAGAAGTTCACGCTTTTATTAGAGTACCAATATGTATCATACACAAAAACTAACAGACGGTCTACAGAACAACACTCAACATATTGAAAACTGAAGTAAGTATACATATAGTAATCATTCAAATAATCCGCAATTCGTTTCGTGCGACATTTTCTTTTACGTGCAGTGAGCTAGTTTAAGACAGTAAAAAGATTGCGAAGAAAATCTCGTACATATAAAACAAGGGTACCTAAATCATCTAGGTTGGTTTTTTTAATTACGGCAAAGCAAGCTAAGACTATCTACTTAAAGTGGGGGATACTTTATTAAAGGATTTTCAAAGGGAAACTAGTTCGTATCCACGTATACATACGGAAAATCACAAAAACATATGCAGCCAGTTTGCATGGATTTGAACCTCCGTAAAATTATCCTTATTCAACGATTTTACCGCTGAGTGACCTCTAAATCACCAAAGACGTTTAAAGTTTCAAATTTGACCAAAACGCAATCTTAGATTTTAAATATCTATGCCAAAGTAAGCTTGTTCTTTTAAGCTTTTGTGCTCTCAAGCAAATTAAACTTGGAGGGGGATGGAAGTCTTCATAATTTTATATTTTACAGCGGCATTTTTATTTTCCAGTTTCTTTTCACCTATTACGTACATAACTCACTAAATTCTCATAATATTGGAAAAAAATGCATGTAATTAATAGCGGTAAAAGTCTTAAGATTAAGAATAGACGTTATCCCACACGATGCCACCTATCTGAAAACTGACTGTAAGAAGACTTTACCATCAGGCAAAAACCTATACTTCAAGATATAGCCTTTATCTATGATATAGCAGAAAGGACAGCAGAACTAGAAATATTTACCGATGGCTCAAAGACTGAGTCAGTTTTCAGTGACAGTCAGTTATTTCTCCATGAAGATGGGAATAACTATATTTTTCAGTGATCAACAAGACTGTGAAACCTTTTATTCTGTTTTTCAGCCAGAATTATATGTAATTCTTCTCAAAGCAGTAAAGTAGGTTCTCGCTAAAATCTTTAGAGCAGTTATTTGCACAGACAGCATGTCTAGGATTGAATCGATTAGATATAGCGCCTCTAAACGTGAACTAGTATATGCTAGTAAGGAACTTCTCCCCATCAGTGATGGTCTCATCACCATGCAATGGATCAAAGCCCATGTAGGGTACGAGGGAAATGAAAAGGCAAACATTCTAGCAACGGTAACAAGAATATACATGTTACCGGTTAAGGGAAATATTACCACTCAGGAGAAAACACTGGAAAGAAAACTCAAAATGAATGTGGACAGCAATTGGCTAAAGCAACGGAATAAAGAGACAACGGGGTGCATCACCAATGACTTTTCCACTAGTTTCGTCAGCTGTAAACGCAGAATCACACAGCCCTAAAATCTCACTGCTCTACACCGATCTATTCATATAGGTTCGGCCTTTGGGACTCAGACGAGTGCTTCTGTGGCAAAACAGGCGATTTCAGACTCTATTTACATGAATGCGTTCTCATACAGGACATGCATCTCTCAGTAGCCTCTGAAAATAATCTTCAGACCTGGAGAGCTCGACTAGTGGAAAATGGAAAAGGTCTAACGAAAACTTTCAAGGTAATTACATGTATTAAAATTAATGTTGATAATGTTTACGGCTTTCGCACAGCACATTACTCCTAATACAGAGTACTGAGAAGTACATTGCTCAATGTCACATCACGTTTAACCTGTAAAACACATATTATCTTCACGATGCGGAAACCGTTCACGTTGTGGAAACCGTTAACTTGTAAATAGTATGTAATTATTTCTTACTTGCATATATTTTGTAATACGTTCCTATGTTATCCAGTACAATATGTGATTATATGAAATTGATATAAATAATCCTTTAATTTATTCAGTGCAACCTTGAAGCTTGTGATATATTATTCACTTGCAGGCAACGCAGAATTAAATGTATTTCCTTCATTGGCCTCGTAAGCCCATGTTGTGCCATATAGTATATAGCCCTTCCTAGGCTGGCCGTGACAGCAGATTTTCTCTTCCAGAGGGCACGCAATAAGAGCTTGAGCATAATAGCAGGTCTGTTGTCCTCATGGGGATGCAAAGAGAGCCTTACACTGATAATGCATTCAGAGTTTGATAACCTACTTTTTTGCAATATTAATTATAAATAAGTTAAATATCACAGTACTTTATGAAATTTATTTTGCTATTTTAGAAACTTCGGAATCTTTTTATTTAATCTAACCTTGCAAGAGAAATCATTTTCAAGCTACGCTTTTGATGGTGCTTTAGTGCACGTTGGAATGGCAGGAGAAAAAGGGATTTGGGAATGAACACATCAGTACTTTATGTCTGTAAGTTACATTTATTTTAGAGCTTGTGTAATTCATTTTTTAAAATGTAAAATCATTACATCCATTAAAGATGAGGACTTTCTTCCATAGATATAATTTCTTGATCTTCAATATTAAACATATCTTTACAAAATAAAAACTAATAAAATCCGGTTTTCTAATGACACAGAAATGTTTTCCAGCATTTCCTATTCTAAATTATAATTTCTAAGCATTATAACTCTTCTGTTATATCTTGTGAGCTATATGTCTAGATGAACAGGTAAACAAAGAAGAAAATACTATTTTTCTTTGTACCGGTTATTCTCAGAGCCAGCTACCAGCATATCAAGATAAGTAATAGCCTAGAGTGCTAACTACGTTGCTAACACAAGCGGCTATTAAAGAAAATGTCTCGATTTTAAATAGAAATATGAATAAGTTGCATAGGGTACCTAAGGCGCTGAAAATGCTGGAGCTAAGCCTGGCTTTTACAATGCAAGAATAAAATAAATGACATGCATAAGTATAAAAATACACTGGAAACCTCGGAGAAGCTCAGTTTTAAGACACATACATTCAGTGCTATACGAAAATTTATCAACAGGAATATTTACTTTTGGGAAATTTTGGAAGGAAGATTATTGTTTAAGTTGTCAATAAAATATTATATGCAAGTTGTAACTGATCACTGTCAAACAAAATCAAACATATAGGGTCCTAATTGTGAATAAATCAATGTCCTTCAGACCCTACTAGACCAACAAGGGAGTTAGCGCTCTGTATGAAATATTATGACAAAAGGTTCAAGGAGGCCGTAAATAACTTTTTTTGTTAAACCCTCAAGTGAACAGAAAGAACAACTCCACCATTAGCGGGTATTAAACAAAGTTAAAATTTCAAAATAAGTTACCGTAGTCGCGGACTACACAAATCTAATTAGTTACCCTGGCTCAATAGTTTAATGGCTCACTTTAACGTCAGCTAGCAAAATAGCTAAAACCGGAATATTCGTTAGCACAGCTGGGCGATAGAACATAAACTGAAGGCGACGCTGCCAAAACCCTCGACTTAAATACTAAAAAATCTACCACATAATTTGCATCCCGGTGAGACTACGGAAAGGAGAAATTAGAGTAAAGGTTTTTAAATCATAATAATGGGTTAATGAACATAAAATACTCTATAAACATTTTACCAGGTATTTTTCGAAAACATAATTTTGCAAAGGCACCTAAGACATTTCAGTTACGTTTAACTAAATAATAAATTATTTTATCTCGAGTAGCAATATATGTTTGTTAAGCCGACTTTAAGTGTAAAAAGTAAATTTTCATCCATTTCTACATGAATTAATGTTTGTTAAATGTGTATAACACAAAACTAAAAAAAAAATACACAAGCTTGATGACAAAATGTAATGTCATACATTAAAAAAAAACTTCTTCATGCAATGCATTTAAAAAATAAGATATTGTTTTTTATTTTTACATGTACAATTTGTTTTAAAGTAAATTCCTTACAGGAACCGAATATTTACTTTTATTACATCTTTAATGGCATTTCTTCTTGACTTACAAATTCTTTACTTAATATAATTCAAAATCAAAATTAGAAAACCCCAGCTATACTGCAGTGAACAAATTCTACTGATATAGATCAATAAAAAGTCAATTTAGTGCTTGCATTATCACTTTTGCAGGAAATAGCTAAGAAAAATTCCAGTCTTTTAAGTGCTGCACTTACTCCGAAGCCGTCGTAAGCACGGGCTGGCGGCCTGTGTTCCCCGCTGCTCTCACTGCTTGAGTCCATTAGCATTCCTTTCCTGTCCAAGGTCCCAGGCGTTGGTGGAACCATGCCCTTGAAGACATTGTTAGGCTTGGGCTTCTGAGTTCGCCTTTGCCTCAGTTTGCGACAACCGCACAGCAGGCAGAACATGGTGAGTATTAGCAATGCCAAAGCTATCGGCAAAGCTATTGCTAAAACTAAAGGAATATATTTTATTACATCGATGAATAATCATTGTTTTTACATAATATGCAATTAAAAAAAAGAGTGTTGATGTTTTCAAGCATTGAGAAATTTGCTATGCTAAGAGAAATACTCGCAAAAGTAGTCAATTTCTTATTTTTTTCTTTCCTAACACTTAATTGAAAAAACGTTCGAAGATAACACACACATAAGGAAATTCAGCATAAAAATTAGCACAAATAAACGTAAAATTATTACTGACTGCACTTTCGTTGGGTGCTTTTTTTTTATGTTGAACTTGTTATTCAATTATTATAAAACTGAAAAGATCTGACTTCCTTACCCCATATTATAGAAAAACAATTAAATTTTTAGTGTATTTTCACTAACAGCAAAACTGTACAGCTTTGACGACTGGAGAAAAAAAAATTTATAAATGTGAGGTAAGTCTGAAAAATATAAACAAGGAGACAATTAAATTTAAAAATCTTAGTCGTCGAAATATGCTGTAAATGGAGCTTATTTTTATATCATACACCCAGAGTAGTTAAGTGCAGTATCGAAGAGATCCTCTAAATGAACGTTTTATAAAAATGTATATCCGTTTCAATTAACTATACAATATAAAAAAACGCAGATTTTAGACTATAAGCGGAGGTAGAACATGTTTATAAGAACGAACTACACATAACGATTTTTTTTTTGTACTTCACCTGTCTTTTAATAAATTCAGAAATTCATTGTATCCATTACTGCTTATTGGAAGTAATATCTTTATAGGGAGTGAACCAAAACATTTAGGCCCCAGACTGCATGACCTAACAAGTCACTAGACTTGAGATGGAATAACATAAATTGCGAGATCGTTTATAACTTTGAGAAACAGAAGGACTTAAAATCTCTAAATCCTAAAATTCTTTCGAAAGGATAGTGATAATAGAATAAGAATAGGACATTTAAAATTGCAAATCTGAAGGTTCTTTGAAAGGAGAATTTTATGAAATTTTTTTAATTTATCCTATCGTATGTTTCAAATGAAACTTTTGAATGAAATATTGATGAATGATAAATGATGAAAAATTATTAATGATATTTCCAATGAAAGCAACAAGCCCACAACTTGAACCTCCTTGATTATTCATGAGGCCTTTATTATTCATGAGGTCTTGATTATTCTGTGGCCCTATATAATGCAACGTGAGTTAGCAACAGAAACTTATTTCAAAAGAAGTTTGAGTATTACATTAACACAAAATATTCACAGAATTAAATCAACTTAAGCGAACAATGCTAGCAAATTAGTGACGATTTATTTGTTTAATTAATGGGCGGCGAAGGAAGGCTAATCTAAGATTTAAGGAGAGGACATTCAGATTATTACACAACTAAATACACCAAAATAAATTAATAATAAGATTTAAAATACTCAACAATTTAATGAGTTAATGCATACTGTCTGAATGGTAAGTAGAAAAGGTGTATTTAAATTTATATCTGTTGAGAAAAAACAATATAAATAATAAACAATTTTTATTAAACTATATCAGGCATATTTAAAAATTAAGCATTTATTTTAAAATAAGCATTTCCCCCTCCTTTTTTTTTTTTTTTTTTTCGAAAATCTTAACTAAAGTCTAACTTAACTTAAAAGTCTAAACGACTAGATAAAATATTTTATTATCCTTCAAAGACATATGAATAACAGTAGCTGAAGTACAATGAGTTATATAAATTCAGTAAAGAATACAAAAGAACCTCAATCTATCATTTTAAAAGGAGACAAGAATTTAAAAAAAGCAAATTGAACAGAATAATTGTGACACTATGTAAATTAGTGATTATATTAAAAATAAATAGCATTAATTATTTTTAATATAAGTACACTACGTTAAATAGCTAATTTTAACGAAGAAATCATATACTGTCTTTTGCTTATTAATTGAATTTTGTTTCAAATGAAAATACAATTTTTCGAAACTTAAAATTTCACGGTTCACGTCGCTTCCATTTTGTACTTGAAAACACCTTTCACTTTTTATAAAGCTTTGTAAATGTCGATGAAGCGCGACAAATTCTCATTTTCACAAATAACATTCAACTGCTCATTTTTATTTTCTTCATTTTTTCTTCCATGCTCTTTATAAAATCCAAGAGAAATAAATGAATGAAAATAAACATAAATAAATTAACTGAGATTTGCAAAGAAATAACATCTAGATATGGCGTTAGTGATGAGGTCGAGGAAGTTATGACCAGATGAGAATCGTTAGTACCTTAACATTCTGTCAGATTTGTATTCATAGAAAGGTTAGGAAAGTAACGAAATTATCCAAGAAAGTAACACATAGACAATACATCAGAAATGTTTTTTAATATCTGTGCCGAAAATGTTACGCTACAAGTGAATTTTACAAACAATTAATGCGGGAAGTAATGAATGCGGGAATAAATTGGTTATTTATGCAGAACTTGATTCGAGACCAGAAGAAGATCGTTTAGGACAGTATTTCTCGAAGATTTCTCTAAACGTTTTACAGACTTTTACAGTAAACTTAGGCTTTAATTTTAATAAGTAAATGCACAGATATGTTATAGATAGAAAAATAAACGTTCACTCCTATTTTATATCATATATATAATAGGACAATTTTTTCCATTTTTAATGTTACAAAAAAATGACACATAAAACTAATTAAATGAAAAATAATATTTAAAAAAATTTTAATATTTTTAGTTTTCAATAACTCATCTCTTTGAGTCTTTGATTGAAACACTTTTTAATGTAGAAGATAACAGTAAAATAAAAAATGAAATTTGACTTGGTATAATATTCGGTATATATTTTTATCGTAGCGGAAAACCACAATATTAATTTTTTTAAGAAAAAGTATTTTTGACGACACTACTAACATTTCGTAGTCAGTAAAAATTTTATTGTCTTACCAATTAAAAAAAAATAAATAAAGTAAAAAAAAAGTGAGAAGTCAACAAAAAAAAAAAAAAAAAAAACCTTCAAATTAAAAAAATAAATAAATAAAGTGACTCTGACACACATTTTTAATACTACCAGAAATGCATTCTGCATGCATTTCATTGACAGTGTAAGCCATCTGGTGCGGTGTTACATTACTAAACATGGAGCGATTTAAATCACTTTGCTTCACGTTTTCTCTTGAAATTTCTTTTCTTTGAGAGTTTTCTTAAATTGTGTTAAATGCGTGAAAACACATAATGTTTCTTTGTTCTCTAACGTCAGTTTCATTGTTTTTCGCAGAAGACAGTTTATTATACGTTGATTTAAGAAACGGTGGATCCAGACGTTACAATGGTTTTATTACGGACGTTTATTGCAATGGATTCATTACTTTCGCATAATATTTAAATATTTAAATAAAAAGCTACATGCATTTCCTGTACTTAGCAAAAAAGAATTATGAAATGGATTTTTGAAACAAAATCAATCTTTTAGATTAACATAAAATTAGAGTAATAACTTTTGTGCATCTTACCTAATCCATTAATTTCGCACTGCTTTCCAAGATACATTCGATAGCACCTAAAAAATAACAAGCAAAAGAAATTTTAACATGTGATAATTCCAAACAGCATTAACTTAAAATTTAGTATGGCAACAATAATCATAAATTTTTGTTTTTAACTTGCCTGCAGAATTTATTATCATCTTCTGTCATAATGCAAACTCCGCGGTTATTGCAATAGTCACAATCTTTAATTTCACCTGAAAAAGGAAGAAAAACCTTCAGATTCTAGATATTTCTTAATAGAATATTGAATTTTTTTAAATATACCGTGTTACAAACATAAATGTAACTTCGAAAATAGAATTATTTTTTAAACGAATGTTTTCAGGACAAATACATCATATTTACATATTTTTGACATTCTAAGTAATTATTTAATTTCTCATGTATCAGTTACCCAGCTTATGTGTTATGCTCAGTTCTGCAAACAATACTCATTTAATTAATCTTAAAGAAAATTGAAACATAATTAACTTTCAGTTATCTGAAAGTTTCGTACATACTTAGACACACTCATAAATATGTACATGTATTCTCTAATAATTTCTCAGAATTTAGTCTTAGAAAGTCTGCAGGTTTTTAAAATATTTAATGGTTTTTTACCTTGTTTATTAACACACATTTTTTCATTTTATTAACAATTTTTTTATTATGGAATCCAAATATTCAAAATACATATATAACGTATTACATATTGAGCATTAAAAAAAGAAATATTTACATAATAATCAAACAAAGATGAGTCTTCAATTATATATGCAAAATTTACTAAGCTTATGAAAAGTAATTATGAAATATGAATTTACTTAACTTATGAAAAGTGTTTTCGTTACAGTTCTTTTTAAATTACATTATGTTTAGTAACAAAATATCCTTTTATAAAGTTATGTAAACCTGTATGCATCTTATTGCCAATAAAGACTGATTTACTTAAGGTCCTTATTTATAAATTTAAATTTATTAATTGAATTATTCTGCGAGCAAATTTTGCACGAAACAGAGGACCAGTGAGTCTCAAGTAGAGTCTTGGAAACAAACAACAAAAAAAAAAAAAAAAAAAAAAAAAAAAAAAAAAAAAAAAGATCTCCCAAAGAATAGTAATCTGATATTTTTGTAAAAGGGAATTTCGCATCCAGACAATAACATCATACTCATCATTTTCCACTTTTGCCGATCACTCTCTTTTGTGCAGGAACAATAAAATTGAATTAAATTTTTACCTGTTTTACCCTTTTTGTTTTATATTTAATGATTTCAACTGATTTTAGGTCATGAAACTGTGCACTGTAATAAAATTTAAATAAGAAAGTATATGTGGTCCAGAAACGAGTTAAACTATTTTACACTAAATCTTATAGAAATAATTGCTTCGGCTTACGAACATTTCGATTTACGAATAGCCTCCAGAAACGAATCAAGTTCGTGAACTGAGGTTTTACTGCATATAGTATTTCCTTACAAAACCACAAAATAAATATTCATACAATTTGTTAAAGCTCGACTGCTTTATGAAAAGCATAAAATTTCTTAATTCTAAAATAATACTTTACTTGATGAATGTTAAATCAATTCTAAGAATAGTCTTACCTGAACAAATTCTACCAGGAAGTAACGGTTCTAGGTCTTGGTATCCTTCTTTGCATTCACAAGTGTATGTTCCTGGCAAATTAATACAAATGGCACTTCGCGAGCAATCATTGTAGTTATCATCAGCACATTCATCAAAGTCTAGAAGAAAGTTTAAATTAAACCAGCATTATTACAAGTCTCCTTGAGCATGTGATAAAGTAAAGGACAATTCAATATATATAAAATTTCCATTCGATTACTATTAAGATTACCTTGAACGTCTTCGACTCTTTGAATTATTGGGCTGACAACGGTAGAATTAGCTAAATCAACTTCAGAAGCAGCAGCTTCGAGTGATTGTTTTAGCTCTTCCTTCAAAAATTCTTCATTCGATGGTTTCTCGCCACTGACTTGGACTGTCAAATTGACTAGCACACCTTCTCTACGTAAGCCGCTTGCATCGGATACGCTGAGTACATTGGCGCTAACAAAGTCATCTCCTACACTTGATGTTTTGTAAGCATCGTCCACCTGTTGTTAAAAAATAAAAATAGTCAAATAAATCTTTAAAGAAGAAATGACTCAAGCATTATATGCAATCTAATTTTCAGTTGAAAACACAGGCATGATCTCAAAACGAAAGTATTAGTCGTGTCGACTGAGGAAAGGAGTTGGAAACAACTATTTGAATCCCAAAAGTCTTTGTACGCACGACCTATTTATCTTGCTTCCGATATTTGAGGCTGAAAAATGCTTAATGAAAACACTTAAAAGTGATTGATTCTTTGCTAAATTGAATGTATAATGCAATAGTTAACTTAAAAGGAAAATTTGTGTGGTAGGTTTAAGAAATAAAGGGGATGAAGTTATAAGGTATTTCTCCCGCCTTCTTAGCGTGCCTTCGTGATGTAGTGGTCTGCATGCTGGGAGCGTATTCCAGAGGTTCGTGGTACTATTTCCTCTAGACAAGTCTCCTTTCAAGATTCAAGATTCAAGTCTCCTGCTTCCTAAAAAGTACCTAATGTCTCTACGGTGGCGCCCGACTAAAAGGGTGGTGGATGATGATTCTCCACGCCCAGGATTTGTCGATTGAGTCCCCTAAAAACCCCAGTCGCCGTTTAAAAGGGGGAGTATATAAAGTATTTCTTCCGCCATCTTAGCGTGCCTTCGTGCTGTAGGGGTCTGCATGCTGGGCGCGTAAGGCATTACTCATTTTTCAAGACTTCTGCTTCCAAAAAATACCTAATGTCTCTATAGAGTAACTTGCGATATCGAGTAAAAACAACACTTTTGTCTAAATATTATTCCAACAAAAGATTCAGCTTATAGCATTATTCGAAAATTAAAAATGAACGCACTAATAGCAACAGAAATGGACTTCCTTAGTTCTGTTAAAAGGCAAAGAGTGCGAGTATATGTTTACTTCCAACAGAAAATCATAGAACTTCTTGCAATTAAAACAAAATTCTATTTGGATAAGCATTAGCTATGGAAGAAAAAATTTAAAATATCAGTTCGCTCTAATAAAAATTACTAATCCCAGAATTTTAATTTTGGAGGATGTACTGCCTGATATTACTTAGGAAAATCGGATAATTTTAAAAACAACATTTTTCAAATTTAGGTAGAAATGCAGAAAGTTTTGTATATATCTGTATATTTAGTGTTTTTTTTATATATATATATATATAGGAATGTATACCCTTTTAAAAACCTTAAGTCACATTACGTAAGGTAATGAACAACTCGTAGGATTAATATTACGTAAGGACTCCTTAAAAGACTGGTATACATTAAAAATAATTTTAAGTAATAAATAGTAAATAATACGCTGATTAGTGAATGTTTCATTACAACAACTTTAAATTCCCAGCTGATGACAGTATATTAAATCAGCTTTTATTATAAAGACTTGTGAAACAATTATTTTATTCTGGAAGGCAAGAGTCGTTATAACGAGCATTAAAATAAAATACGTAAGAATCTTTTGCTTTGAAAAAGTTGTCTTTGCGATGGATATTCTAACAAAACCATTACATGTGCAAAATCATGAATTATGTAAGTGTCCAGACTGTGTCAAAATGATGATTGGTTAATTATATTGTATACACGTCTAGCAATGGATAAGATTAAAGTAATGCAAAGAGGTATATAAGTTAATAGACAACTAAACACTCTAAACGTACCTTAAAGAATCTTAGAAATAAGGTAGAATAGTTAAACAGTAATGGGCAGACTTCAGTTAGTTATTCAGTTTCAATTATCAAACAACTGTTATTTATTATGCAAATATTTACTATTCCTGTTATGGAATCAAGTATTTTCAAAGCTATAATCACCTATAATTAATTATACGGAAAAATAATTCAATAAATATTTGATATTTTCAGAACTCTTTTGATCTTATAATATACTTTTCACTCAAGAAAAAAAGGACATTTTTCTCTTTCGCCATCTCAGCAGTTAGTATCATCCTATAACTATATCCTGCGCTCGGAGCTTTTAAGCCGTCTTTGGATTCATGAAATTTCACATAGAATCAGAATAGATACTTACCGCTTTTCTAGCAGTTGTTGTTAGGTTCTTGTATTCTGGAGAGAGATAATTGTTAAGCTCTGAATTGTATGTTACATCATTACCACCCATCTTCAACACTCGAACTAACACCACATACGATTTCACATCTGAAAAGAAAAATTACAATATATCCCAGTTGCACAGCAGCAATAGTTATATCTGTTTCGAATAGCAAATTTAAAGCTAATAGTACGACATAGCTTAATATTCGCATTCGAATTCCAGCATCTTAATGCTTACCTCTACATTCTTCAGAACCTTCCTTCTTGAAGAACCCTGGTCTGCACTGGCAAGACCATGTTTTGTCTGGATTTTGTTTACAAACTTCTTTGTTCTTTAAATTACATTCTCTTGGGCAACCATCCGTGATGGGTACGAGGGTTTTGCCAGGTTTTCTGAATGTAGGTTTTCGTGTGGTGGTAGGACGACTTGGGGGTTTCTTCGTTGTTGTCGTTGGAGGTTTCGTTGGGAATAGTTTTAAAGGAGGTCCCGTTCGAATTGGTTTTGGAGTAGTAGGCTCAGTAGGTCTGTTGCCTGACTTGAAAAGTTGTATAGGCTTTCTTGGAGTTGTTGGACGTTCGGTGCCTTTCGGTTTTTGGTTAGGTGGCAAAATTATACCTTTTACAAAGAGAAAAGAAAATAATTAATATAAGGGAAGCACTGCAAAAAATCGAATAACACTTGGCTTTTCTATGCAAATACAAAATTTTCTATGCTTAAATACAATATGTTTAAGCTTGATACAATATAATATAGTTATTATATTGTATCCAACTTAAACCGATTGCATCACAAAATGAGCAATAAATTTAAATACAAAATTTTCTAATGCCATTTATTATATTTTTTGAAGCTTTTGATTAGTTCTAATTGTAAGTACAATTTTTTAATTAATTCTTATTGTTAGTTTGATTGTGTTCTTCTAATTGTAAAATATAACTTAACAATTAAAGAATTATAATAACTTTCCCAATTCAATTAAAGAATTCAATTTCAATTTTAATTTCTAGTAATTAAAGAATTATAATAATTCCCATGGAAACTCATGGAAATTATGCATAAAAATAAATTTATGGAATACTGAAAATAAATGCATTAAACACATTTGACGTTTTTCATCGAGTTTTGTTTTTTTCAAGTTGATGCTTTTTTCAGGTAGGTTTTGTAATCTGTGTAGGCCCGATTACATTTGTTTCTTGAACAAGTCAAATCTGTGTAATATCTTCGCAAAATGCGCACAGCATTCCTTTATTACAAATACTGATCAAAAATTAATTTTGTTTAATTTTAAACGTAAAATGTTCGCTAACAAGTTGTTATTTGTTTAAAGCAATGCATCTGTATTGCTTTAAACAAACAGCATTCATTTTATACAAATATTATGCGAGCATAATGGTTCAACTAAAAATACTACTAATGAAAATTTTGACATGCTCTAAAATTTAGAATAAATCAAAATTATATTACTAATATTGATAGTTACGTATGTACTTTACACCGAGATAAGTTCCACTTCAATGACACGGACTTGATTTTAATTGTGATCGAACAATTAAAATATTTTACAATTACTAGAATAATGAAAATGTCCATAAAAATTTAAAAATCAAACTATCAAACTTTCTTACTATGTCCCATAAACACACGCAAGAGAAAAATTAACAATTTATTTTAAAAACATTGTAAATAATAACAGAATTATTATTTAATTACTATTATATGTATTAAAATTTTAACTGAAATTATTTAAACAAAAGAACTTCAATTATTATTTGTAAATAAATATTTTCTTGAACTTAACAGAAAAAAAGTTTTTGATCACAACACACCAGTTTCCCTCAAATTAAATGTAAAACTTTCTTCCGCATTTGCGGGCACTTAGCCTACTTAGGCTTGGCTGCTACTAAGGCCGGAAATGCTGGCCACTGTGGAAGCACATAACAGGTGGGCCACCGATATTACCTCCTATGAAGGGACCAGACAATTACAACCATGTCCTCTCCGAGATTCGAACTCGGACCCTTCGGTATCGCAGTAGGCTCCCTTAACCACTATACCATCTGAGAGACAAAAACGTAAACCTTTGATTACAATCATTTTGAATTTGAATCTCCGGCGATTATTTTAAAATTCTGCTCATAATTCAAGTATTATATCTATACACATCGTAGTTATCTCTCTTTCATATCAACGCTTGCTCTATAAACACATTAAAAATTATGCAAACACGTGATATCTAGAAAGTGCGTCGAGTTATTAAAGTATGCAGTTAGTATAAGCTACTCTTTCTACTTCTCAACAAATGTGCCTTCAAATTATTATATTGTATCATTAACTTAAATAACTTGTATAAAACAAAACAAGTTAACTTAAATAGCTTGTATATAAAAGATAAATTATAATTACCTCCCAATTTTGGAGAAACTGTAGATGTACTTGTTGTTGGCTTGGTAGGCTGTAAAGCATTAGTAGGAATTACCAATGTTCTTACTACTGTCGTAGCAATAGAATTGAAAATCAATGTTGTCGTAGTGACAGTAGTTGTAGACTCTGAAGGCTGCATGGTAGGTATCACTTGCAGAGCTTCTGTTGGTTCAGGTTGTGTACCCAAAATTGTTCTAGAGCCAATAATAGTGGAGACAAATGTTCTTGGAGGAATTGTGGTTGTAAATACTGACGTGACAGTTACCGGCACATCATTAGTCTGGTATACGCTGCTCGTCGTCAATGTAAGAGTTAACGTAACACTTTCTACGCTCGTTACGTACCGTGTACCAGGACTTGATGGATGTTGTTGATTATCTCCTGCTATAGGGAAAAATATAGTTGTTTCTCCAGAAGATCTTGTTGTAAATGAAGAACCTGTTGTACTACTAGACGTTTCAGTGCTTGTTTTGGTTGGATATGTTCCAAATATTGTTGTAGCTCCAGATATATTTACTTGCCCGGAACCAGGAGAAAAGAAATCTTCAGGAGAATCGAAAAATATTGTTTCTATGCCAACAATTGACGATGTACTAACTGACCCTTGAATAAATTGAGTTGTTGCTTTAGGTGGTTGTCTAGCGTCAGGGAATCCAAAGAATATAGTCTCGTGTCCAGTAATGACAGATGTACTTTCAGTACCATGCATAACAGGCGTTTCTTTTTTATTCTGATCATTATCTTTATTTGTAACACTACCATCTAGTACCGCAGTATTGAAAGAACTGTGGAACCTACCGTCCATATCAGAAATTTGTACTGTGGTAGGAGCTTTATTTACGACACTTGTAGGCTGAATAAATATAGTGTTTGATCCAAATATAATGCTAGTAACTGTACTACTGGAGTCGTCCTTCTCTGTGCTTGCTTCGATTTTCCTATCATTTTGAGCATCAAGAGTATTCTTTTCAGTGCCTTTTACAATAGGCGTAAATCCAGATAAAATAGTACTGGGTTCTAACATAATTCCGCTTGGTCGGCTCTGCGAGGCAACAGTAGAGGCCACTGTACTGCGGCCAATTGCCCCTATTGGAATATATATAGGTTCTTCAGAGTTGCTGACCGTAATTCCTCCACTTGGTGGTGCTATGGATTGTTCAGTTAAAGACTGAGTCGTTTTTGATGCATTATTTCTTGGCCTATTACCATTAGCTGCAAACAAGTTTACGATATCTTTGATCGTTTCACCCAAGTTTCCTACCAAATTTGTATTTGTAAGGACATCCGATAGATCAATAACAGCACCTGGTTTGATACCGACGGTTTGAGAAGATCCTGATTGGTAAGATGTAGTCGGATTGAGAATCATATGATGCGTTGCTACATTGACGTCTGTCAACCTCGTAGTGGCAAAGTCAGAAGCAGAATCACGAGCAGAAGAAGGCGTAGAAGATTCCAGAGGAAAGAATGTGGTTTCATAATAAGAAGGGGAAGATGTGTCACTTGTAATTACATAAGAAGAAAGTATGTCTTCTAGTGCAGGTGTTATGTATTCCGACGAAATTTCTGTTATCGAAGAATGAGGTTCAAGCATAGATGATGGAACAATAAAATCTGTAAAGAGTATATGTGTCGCTCCATTTGAGTCTGTTGTTGGGATTCCTGTGAGTATAGATGGTGCCTCTGCACCACTTTCAATCTTCGTACTAACACCGATAATTTTGATGTCGTCATCCTCTGAATTTTCTGATATGCTACTGCTGCTAGAACTCAGCATTCCTGGACCCGTTTCAACAGTTGGAGAAGACAATATAAGAGTAGTCGGTTCAATCCTAATTTCAAATGAATCAGAGACGTTTGGACGATTCAAAATAGGTGACGATGTTGTTTGTCTTGATATATCTGTCGGTGTAGAGTCAATAGTCACGTACTGAGTTACAATGGTTTCACTGTCACTAATTATAGTTTCTGTACCTCTAAAGAGTGTAGTGGAGAATGTATATGTGGTATAGAATGTTAATATTTCTTTTGATGGTGTTATAGAAGGCATCATTTCATTTGTTAACTTTGCATCTTGTTTTTGTGATTTAGAATCTGTTTGCAGAGTGAAAGCTCCCATATTCTGCATTGTTGCTCCTGGCAAAGGTGCTGGTACGAAAAGGGTTATATAAGAGGTTGCAACTTCTTCCCTACTGGATAATATGGTGCTTGAATCTGTAAATAGTGTCGTGAAATATGTAAGAGTAGTATATTGAGTCCGAATAGAAGGCACAAGATCTTGGAATGTAGGTTCAACGCTTGGAGAAGAACTTGGCTCTTCTGACGTCGGTTTTGCACTAGCAGGACTGAAAAATGTCGTTGTAGTAGGTTCTTGCAATTGCTTAACAAGCTCAGTTATTACACTTGGAGCAACTTCTGTAATTGAAGAGAGTATTGTTCCAGAATTACTGAAGAGTGTAATATAATGTGTATTCGTTGCTTGTATCGTTCTTGTAGTGTATGTGTCTTTTGTAGACGATGCCTGTGGTACAGGGGGCTGCAAGCGTTTATCTAATGTCATTGTAACTATATCCGTTTGAATTTCTTCTATTGGAGAAAGAATAGTTTCCGTTCCGGTGAAAAGCGTAACAAAATTTGTAACCGTTCTGTAAATTGAAGCAGTTGTTGTTAATAATTCTGGCTGTTCTGTAGCTCTGATTTCAGCTGATAAGGTAGCGGATGGAGTTGGCATTATTGTTTTCGTAATCGTATACGTTTCAGTAGAAGTGATGATAGATGACTCTGTTTCCATTATCGGTGTAACAATCGTTTCTGTTCCATTGAAGAGAGTTGCATAGAAAGTAGTCGTAGTATAGAACGTAGTGCTTACCAGATTTTCACTCGTCTCGATCAAAGTTATAGGTTCATTTGCAAGTTTAGTAGTGCTTATTTTATGTGTTACAGGAACAGAATAAACATTTGTGATTACTTGTTCTGATGTAGAAGTAGAAGGTGTTCCACTAGAGAAGAACGTTGTAAAGAATGTAAAGGTAGTAAAGAATGTCCGAGGTTCATAAACAGTTGTGACATCTTTGTCCATCATCAGTAAAGCATCTGTCACCACTGTTGGCCGTAATGTGAGAGTAGGTTGTGAAACGACATGAGCAGTTTCGACATCACCATCTGTTGCAACAATCAGTGATACGCCATTTGAAATCTTCGTTACTAAATTCATTCTTTGACCAACATTAAGCTGATTATTCACTACTTGTGGTTTTAAAGTCTGTGGTGGTTGGTGGTCATCATACACTGGAGATACTGAAAATTTATTAAAAAAAAGTATTATTAATAGAAAAATTACAGAACAGTGGATTATAATCAAACAGCTGTTGGAAATTTGAAATTAATCATAGTGAGTACATAAAAGAAATATTATATATTGAATATTTATTACATCTAAATTTGAAATTAACGCATTAAAAAATAGAGATAATGAATGTTACATTCATATTAGTACTAAAAGTGTGAAAAAGTTCGAAAAGTTTGAAAACGGCTTCTAAACATTTTGCTGTAAATATTATTAAAAGTTTTGATTCAAACAATTACTAAAAAACGTTTTTTACCTTTTTATTATTAATGCTTTGTGCGTTAAATTTATTAACAAAATATATTCTAAAAACATTCTTTTATTTTTTATTATTAATGTTTTTACTTTAAATTTATTAAATAAATAACACGTTCTTCGCACCTACATCAGCTAAAATTCAATTCAGTAGCAAAAATCACAAAATATTTAAAAACAGCACATCTTTAGAATTTCCGATACACAATATCGCGCGCTGGATATATGAATGATTTATTCTATACAGTGTTGCCCCTGCTCGCTTTCAAATCGTTGAGTCTGTTAATGAAAAATTCATTAAAGTTTTGCAAAATCTGGAATAGAGGCTAATAATAAAAGATAAGGGAAAAACGTTTTTAAAGCCATCTTGCTAAGAAAACTGAATACTGATAAGATCAACTGAGAAAAGTCTGAAAAAAAGTATAAAAATCAGTGCCAACACTTAACACTAATTCATCGAAAATTCTAAACATATATGCTGCTATGCTGATTTTAAAATTTTCTAATTTTGCTGTTGAACTGGTTAGAGCGTAAGTGCAAAGAAAATTATGCTTAAAAATAAAGTTTAAAAGACAAAAAATGGGTTCGCAGGAGTGAGTGCAGCAGTGAACTGGTAGACTGCGAGCTCAGCGACAGGTTAATAAACCTTAAAAGACCCTTTTAGGCGACCGTAAAAGTCTGAAACCTTTCAGACTCTTTTTTTTTTTTAATGATGAAAACCTATAAAACTCCCATTCTTTTTACTAAAGGTTAATAGTGGGCTATTCAATTATACGTACTATGAAAAGAGTTGAAATTAAGAAATGATGAAAGTGGTTAGTAGTGGGCTATTCAATTATACGTATTGTAAAATGAGTTGATATTAAGAAATGTTGACACAAAGTAAAGGCAGAAAATATTAGTGATTCTACAGTGCTTTGATGAAGTATTTAAATAGTAAAGCTATTTATTATTATATAGTTTAATATATAAAAGAAATATTATTTTCATTTAGATTACTTTTCTCTACCTCGTAACACGGGAACAATTTTCACTCAATTATATATTAACCACAAAAATTGTTATTTTCAAATATTTTTCCTTAGTATATCAGTGTTACTTGCTTTGTTAGTAAGCATTTATGAAAGCTTTACAGGTTATTAAAAGGACCTATCCAAGTGGCCCTATCCAGGAAATACGAGTATGAGAATTCCTTTCAAACTGTCTTGAAATACACTGGTGTACAAAAATTAAGGACGAAGTCGAAAAATTAGCATATCAGCTGAACGAAGAGGCAGAGCGGACAGAAAGACCAATCAGGAGATTAAGTAAGGTGATGTACGGTAGCACATGCGCAGATATGCAGGTAGGCGTAATGGGGGAGTGTCTGAGTAGTATAAAGCATGTTGTCGGTGTAAGATCAGTATTTCTGGCAAAGAGATTGCACGCCGTATAGCAGTTAAAATCACACCGAGTTGCTGCCTCAGCGAGAAATGGCGAATAATCAATCTGTTAGACGACATCTGGATGCTTTTGTCCGAGGTCGAATCATTGGGAAGTTGGAGGAAGGCCGCAGTGTGACAAGTGTGGCTGCAGAGTTCGGAATTGCTCACAGCATCGTTTCACGACTTTGGAGACAATTTCAAACTACAGGAACAGCTATTCGGGGGTTTAGTAGTGGTCGTCCAAGAGGAACCACACCCGCAGATGACTGGTATATTGCCTTACAGGCCAGAAGAAACAGGCGGCAGACAGCGGGAGAAATCGCTAGACTAACGACACAGGCGACTGGACGACCGATATCACGTTTTACCGTGGCCAGAAGACTGCACGGTGGTGGTCTGTTTGCACGACGCCCTGTACGGTGCGTACCTATAACGCCTGCCCATCGGAGAAGGCGTTCTCTGTGGTGCCGGGAACACCGGAATTGAAGAGACAATGAATGGGGACGAGTACTCTTTACAGATGAGAGCAGATTCAGTCTGAGTAGCGATTCTCATCGCATACTCATCTGAAGAGAGCGGGGAAGCCGCAATCATTCCTCGAACATCATTGAAAGGGACAGGTATGGAGGTGGCGGTGTTCTCGTTTGGGGAGGCATCATGCTTGGTAGTCGTTCAGACCTTCACATCTTCGATGCAGGTTCAGTCAACGGGACCCGTTATTGTAACGAGATTCTTCTTCCATATGTGCGTCTTTCTAGAGGCGCTATGGGTCCGCAGTTCCTTTTCATGGACGACAATGCACCATGTCATCGCACAGTAGCTGCCGAACAGCTCTTAGAGAGTGAGGATATTGAACGTATGGATTGGCCGGCACGATCTCCGGATGTCAATCCCATCGAGCATGTATGGGATTTTCTAGGAAGACGCTTGGCAGCTCGTACCTTACCACCAGTAATGATTCCGGAGCTTCGATTGGCGGCGCTGCAAGACGAATGGCAGCAATGCCTCAACAACTCATTGACACCCTCATTCTCAGCATGGGCACGCTGTGAAACCTGCCTAGCAGTCAGGGGAGATCATATCCCCTATTAAAGACCGGATGTTTCTTGCTGGTCACCCATCACAGGGATGTTTCGGCCTTCAGTTGCATTGCGTTCCATGCTACTTTTTCAATAAAGCTTCTTTTTATCCCTCTGATTTCTCTTTTAGTAAGTGTTGCTTACATTACTCATGTCCTTACGTATTGGGGATCTTACGGTATTAAATGTGTTGATTTGGAAAGCTTTTGTACAAAGTTATATTGAAAAAACCGTCTCGCCCTTAATTTTTGCACACCAGTGTATTTATAGAATTACTACTTAAAAACGATGTGCTACATTTCCTTTTTTACATTTTTGATTTATCTTCCTTATCTTCTAATGCATATGCCGTTTTCCGAAATAAATTTACTATATAACTGAAACAGAAAAAGCATTTAATACTTCTTGCTACACAGGCACTTAAATAAAAGGAAAACCGCATCATAATGCAATTTAGATTAAGTAAAAAATAATAACAAAAAGTTTCTATAAAATAATCTGTTATTTAAAATTTATTCAATCATTAATCAACTGAAAGAAGGAATATAATTTAATTGGAAGAAGAAATTAAATAATTCTGTTTTTCAATATTCATCTACAATTTTACATCACGAATCGCAAAAGCGTGGGGGCGTCTTTGATAATAATAGTTTACGCCTTTGTGACAATACAATTCAATTATTAGATTTCGTTATTTAGGTGTCCACACTTTTGTTATTCGTGATATATAACTGTAGTTAAATATTATAAAGAGAATTGCTTAATCTCTTGTTTCTATTAAACTATATGATAAATTATTTTCCGCCTGTTACTTAATTAATTAAAAGTTTTAAATAAAGGCTTATTTTACAAATAATAATTATTATTATTATTTTCTTCTTTTTAATCTTAATTGCATGTAATCAATCAAATTATTTAATAGAAAATTCGTTTTTGAATAATGAATAATCTCTTTTTAACTTCCAACAAATCTCTTTTTATTTACTACCTTGCGATAAAATATATTATAGCTATTAAAATATATCTGTTTACATCAAATTAGAGAAAAAATGTTTTTAAACTTATAAAGTGGAAAAAATAAAACTGGCACTGCAGTTTATAGATAATTTTGGGTACTCATTAATAGTTAAAATCTGTTGTTTTTTAAACTGATAAAAGAAAATTATTAGTAAATGCAAAATATATGTATAAAAAGGGGGCGGGGCATCTATAATATCTATGCGAAAGGGGGCGGGGATCGAATTTCATCATTTCTTAACTAAGCTGAATTTGTTTGCACGTAATTACGCAATCGATAACAACCACCATGAGTGAGCTCAATAAAAGCTTACAAAAATAACAACATTACTTACTTGGGACATCCGTAACGAGAGCTTCCTCCATAGCTTCTATCGTTGTAGTGGAGACAAAAGATAAATCTGCATCTGGATCTGCATAGAAAAAAAATTACGCTCTTAATATTTATATCCCTAAAACAAAATAGAGTCCATTTATTATTCCTTAACATATGGTATATTAAAATCATGCATTTGTCTATATTATTAAGGATACTAAATATTATTTTAAATAATAAATAAAATATGATTCACAACATAGCTAGAAGACAGTTAGAGTTTTTTTTTTTTTTTTTTTTTTTTTTTAATTTCAAATTTGCATAAAAAATACTTGACGAATTATTCTGTTACTACGGCCATATAAATATCATGTTCAAACTCTCACTTTAAAGAACTCACACATGTATTTAGGAGATCAACAACAAAATTTTTAACAAAAATATTTTAGATCTTCCTGCGAAATGCCCAGCTGCGCTGAGATAGCTTCCTCGCAAGGCGGGATTAGAGTTGCCAAAAACAGACAAGGAAAGGCAGTGTTGCCAGATCGCCCATTTGGCGATATTTGACGACAGAATCAGCGATATGCCATCAGAACGAGAAGATTTTAGAAGGCATTCGTAGCGGTTTTCTCGAAAATATTCTCGAAGGTAGGTTAAAGCTATGTATACCTCTGCCTTTCCTGAGAGAGAATAGTAGTATTTTGAGTTCAGAGATTAGCTTGAGAGCGAACGACCAAGTCGGGAGCTGCACTTTAGCGTTTCACCAGTATAGATTGAAAGCTATGTTGCTGAGTGTTTCAGCGTGTTCATCGCAGTTTTTCGACAAATGCAAGCGTGTCTTTGGAACTTCCCTGTGTAATAATGGCAAATAAATTGCGTTTTGATTCTTCTTCAAGTGTTGTCATCAATTACTCCAAATCCAGGAAACCGTTGAGCGCAACAATATAAACTAGTAACTGTTGTGTAACTTTCGCAAAATGTGCGATGTTTCTATGTATTTTCGCATATTATCGGTTTATTTAAAAAATTTCAGCTCTTTTTGCATGGCTTTTTTTTATAACATACAGAGTTTTTTTAATAAACTTTACGAAACTTACAGAAAAAAAAAAAAGTCAAGAGAAACATTAAACTGAAATTTGAAACCAAAACAGCGAATACTTGATGAAAAATAAGAGATTAAAGAAAATATTTTTTGACTGTGCGCGAAGATACCAACTTTTTAATTTCATAATTTGATACCCAAAATTTGCAGTTGAATATCTAGCAAGTGCAGAGAATATCGATAATAGAATGAGTTGCATTGAAGTTCTTCCTGGAATCAACTAGATGGGAAAAAGGAATTTCCGCCAACTGTGATTTTCGTAAATGACTTGCATTGAAGTTACTTTCTGGAATTAATTAGATGAGATAAATTAATTTCCAATCAGAACAAACCCACGAAATTTGTCGTGGCAAGGAGTGAAAGGTTGCTCCTGTCGTTGACAAGAGCTTTGAGCACCATACATATGACAGTATGACTTTGCTCAGTTCCCATCCCCCCCCCCACAATTTTGACAGACAGCAACCCGAGGTGGCGGGTCCGAGTGTCTTATATCCCTCTTCCCCTACCACTAACCTCTTGAGAGAAATGTATAGTGTCAGTGCGCCATAAGCGCTCTAAATAGGCGGCTTGCCGCGCAAATGCCGTACACAAATTGAAGACCAAATTTTTGCATTTGTAGGTAACAAAAAATAGAATTCGTGTTTTCCAGGACTTAGAAGAGAAGGGCTTCCCCCTGAAGCAGAAAATGAGAAGTGATGACGTAGCCATGATGACACTGAACGCGCCAATAAAATTAATTCACAGCTTGGAAATTAGCGTTTTTGAACCAGCGTTTAAAATGAGCTGTGTGTGAAAGATAGCTATAATTTGGAAGAGGCAAACTGTATGTTTTAGACTGCAATTTTTAAATGCTTACTCAAAATTTAAATGCATGCATTTATTTCTAATCATTTCTTTATTTGCATGCTAACTGAGAGAATTTTTATACTGCTTCTAAGATAACTATAATAGCAGCTATTTAAATTTACTCAAAAAACAACTTTACATTGACATAGGTTTAAACATATATGACATATATGGCAACATTTCTGCTAACCTACGTTTGATTTTTTGCCTAATTGTAAATTTTACATTGTTATAATTCTCTTCCGATTCAATATAATAATAGATATTTTTTAAATAATTTTTGTAATTTATACTTATATCTATATTACAATTAAATAAATGTATATAAGATTGTTACCTTAATTTTGACAAAATAGCTTTATTCAGAGTACCTAAAACAGTTATTTAATTTTTCAAAAGTGTGTGAGTAAAGGAAGCAGGTCTTTTTATGCCAATTACTTTGATGTTTTATACTATTATATTTTATCTAGAATGCTAATCTAGCACAAAATCTAATCAATAATTAGTTACAAAGGATACAATAAGAATAACTTTAACAAGTACTTAACAAAATTAGTTTGTTAAATACTTGTTATTCTTGTTGGTACTATTTTGGTACTATTCATAATACCGAAGATATTATCGATTAACTCATAGAAGTCAGATGCTTTCTGATTTCCTGTGGGGTAGAGTATACCTTTTGCGGTACTTTTTGAAAATAATGTTTTCTCTGGAGCGACTTTTTGTCTCTCGTTTCCCTTGACCATTAAATAATTTGGTTTTAGTTTGTGACACAATTTGATTTCTTCTCAATCTCTATTTAAAACCTCTTTAATAATATCAAAATTTAAAACAGTTACATCTTCTAAAACAAATCCTCTATCTAAAACGCGGTTTCTCAGTAATTTGAGGCAGAGCGCGAAATGAGACCTCTGATTAAAACAAACTGCACATTTTGAAAAGAACCAACTTAGTCCAGTTTAGAGTCATAGCAGAGTTTTCAATCTATATGCATTTCGTCGAAACTGAGAACGCATATTTTTTCTACAGAATACAAATATTCGCCTCTTTCCTTCTTTAGAGTAAGAACATTACTTTGAATTCTTGGACTACACTAAAATTTAGAAAACACTAAAAAATAAAATAAACACCATTTCTTTAATTTGATAATACTAGGTAAAGATATTCCAATTTTTTTTCTTAATTTTTTTTCTTTCCAAAAATCATAGCTTTAAGATGACAGAGCTCTTATGACGATGCAACGTGAAATATTTTCACTAGTCCACCTGATTTTTTTCTTCTTTTTCAGTAATGCATTAATCTGCGTCTTTATAAAAATAGGCTTTAGACATTTTTCCAAATTCTCCGATTCGTTTTCCCCCCCCCCCCAAATTTCGCTATTTGAGATTTTAATTTCTGATACCAATTTCTGTCTAGATGTCGTCCACCTTCTTTGTCGCTGAACAAACATTCTAAAATTTTTTTTCTCTATTTTTCAATACTTTAATACAATTTAATACATTTTTCTTAGGATATTATTTTGTTCTTCAAATTATCAATGCATTCTTGTTTATCCTTAAACATTCAGGATGATCTACATTTTCATTTGTGAGTTTTATTTCAAAATCATTAAAATTTGATTTATTATTGTCATCATCAATTTCGATTTATTATTGTCATCATAATTTACTTTCGGCACAGCATTCCATTTCAACAGTTTCTTTTTGTGGCTATCCAAACAAGCGATTTTTCATATCATCTTCATAAACACTGCATAGAAAATGTTCGCTGCAGATTTTTCCGCTCTTCACATTAATAGAATCTTCTCTTTGACATTTGTGTATCCATTCTTTCGTCAAAAGCAAACTCTCATTTGGATCCTTTGGTCCCATGAAATAAAAATATCTCATTCTTTCATACTTCTGTAAGTGCTACGGCACGTTACTGCAGCGCAAAAAGCCATATTACGTAAACGATACTTTACAATATAGAATTTAAAATAAAAACTGACTAAAATTACATATATATAAATTATTTTAAATATATACATTATTAGAAAACAGATATATATATATATTATTAAAATTAATTTGGGATATGTAACCTCTAGAAAATCGTCTCGCAGCTCAATGAAACTACTGTTTTAAACGCGGAATATCAGGACAGGTGGCATCACAGTGACGTCAGATTATTGCCTGTTACGTCCCCCCCCCATTAGGCTCGCGTCGGCGAGGAGTTGAACAAAGAAATGAATCTAGCCCTTCTATTTATCTCTGGTGTTTTCGAAAGCACTGGCAGGCTTCATTATTTGCACTCAGCAGCTCTAAAATCATTTGCATTAATTAAAAATGCAAAAATATTTGTACTTTAATGAATTTTTTACGACTGCCAGATTACGACTCTAAAGTAATAAAATTTCATAAGAACAGTAATGACGTATTTTTACATTTTGAAAACTTATAAATTACTTCCCTGTAAATTCTTTCTCCATACCAAATGTAATAAAATTATAAAGACACTAGTAAGTCGCAAACGACATTATCGAATGGCATTTAAAGGGGAAAACCAACTTCGAATTAATCCACTTTATGTGTAAATATCGCAAATTTTAAAATAAAATATCTCGGTTAGTTTTTCTCCTACGGGATTAAAACTTCTTTTTTTGTTTTCAAAATTTTTTTAATATATGTATAGGGACCGAAAGACACGGTGTACAATTAAGTGAATTTTGAGTTCATTTTTTGAATATAATTTGATAAAAAATGTTTGGGTAATAATTAAATTCTTTTACCTTTTTCAGAATCTTTTTAAATCAAAGCAATTGTACAAAAGGGGAAAGAATTATTTCAAGTGTTACGCAATTACTAAAATAAACGCATGATTCGTTCATAAAATTAAACTGTTTAGCATTCCGGCTTTCCACGAAGTAGATTGACTGAAACTGCAAAGATCATGCCTTTTATTTGAAGGTCCTATTGGACGCTTTTAAAACTAATCTTATAAGGTATTTCCTGCCTTTTTAGCGTGCCTTCGTGGTGTAGTGGTCTGCATGCTGGGCGGTACGTGGTTCGATTCCCGGCGAAGGCGTTGCTAATTTTTCAATCTATCTTGCTTCCAATTAACCTAATGACTCTACAATCTTTCCAAAGTTCCAAACAGTTAAAAAAAAATTAAAAACTCATCTTCAGAAAGTTTGAGTGAACAAAAAAATTCATAATGCTTAGGTAAGAATTTGAGATATCCGAATGATTAAAAAATGCATAGCTTCAAGTTTTCGAATATTTCACGAAATTCGTGAGATTTGAGGATGCGAATCTTATCTTCTTTATGTTTTACTATAATTCGTATTATAGTGAAAAATGTGTAAACCCTAATACACGGTTTAATTTAGAAAACTACAATCGAATTATCACTTAAGACTTCATACAATTTAGAACAAAATTAAATTACTACATTTGTAGAGTCTAAATTAATTAACCCGTTTTAATATCATATAGATCTATAATATAACTTCTGCTTTTTTAGCCATCACCAAGATGCAAATGAACCTGGTGGAGTTCTCAAAAGTTTCAGATATACAGCTTTTGGTAGCAACGCTTGCTCTTTGTGTTTTCTCTAGTGTGCTAAGTTAGCATTCCGGCGTTAGCCATTGTGCTAGTCGAAGTTAGATCGCGCATTTAGATTTTAAGCGAACCCTTAATTAGGCCAGTTATATTGTAGTCTCTGTTTGTAAATCCATTTTAATTTGTAATTGCAACTGGCAGAATTTAATTTGTGCATACAAGTTGTACACTTTGTTAAGTTAGGGCTTTAAATGAAAAGCGTATCTAAAACATTCTTAAGATTTTTGCAATACTTTCACAGATGGAGTGATTACTCGCTCGCTTGTCAGTCTAGGTGGAATTTAAGGGACTTTAAGTCAGATTTACGCAGGCCAGAGCCTTACAAACATAATTAATTTACCATAAGATTAACAAAAGGTTGGAAAACTATAAAACTCACCTAAGGTTTCAGTAGCTATTCTGGAATTTGTTTCTTCCAAAGTTGTATATGTCACTCTTCCATCCACAGTATAAGGAACGGTATAGGTAGTGGTTGTGAAATATGTTAGTATTACTGTTTTACTGGGTTGTACTTCATCTGAAGTCACAAGAGAAGATGACGTAACCAGAGCATTTCGATATGTTGTACTCAATCCAAAAACTACAGGAACAGATGTCATTGTGGTGTAAGTTTCGTACTGAGGTTCACCTGATGGTCTAGGCCTTCTGCTTACTTTAACAGACACAGGTCGTTTTGGTAGACGCTGAGGAGATCCAGATGGCGAAGCTGTCCTTGTAACAACATAAAAACGAGGTCGTGTCCTGGTAGGCCTAATAAAGCGCGAGTTTGGGCTTGATGCTGAAACTCCAGGTGAACGACGAATGGTTATTTTCAATCTTTTCCTGCCAGGTACTGTGCTAGCTGAAATTGATGAAAAAAAACGGGTATTTTTTTAGATTCATTTTTCTGTCTCAATACAATAAAGCAATGGTATTTCCAAAACAATGCTGAAACAAACAAAATGCGGAAAGGCTTTAAGATTCTGATTATAAAAGTTCGGATAATGGTCAATAAGCAAAATTATGAAGCTTCCGTCTTTAAAATGCTCCATTTAAAGCTTGAAATGTTACCTTTTTTTTATGCAAGATTAAGCTAAAAAACAAACTTCGTTATAAATTTTTAAATAATTTTTAAATAAAAAGAATTTAATTAAATTTAGAAATGAAATTAATTTTTTAAAAGTTTATATTCTTTGTTTTAATAACAAACTGCAGCAATAAAATCGCTTAACATAGTTTCCAAAAAAACTACATCACCTACATCAATTAAAAAATATATCGAATATGTTAAATAAGAAGTATACTTTTAGTTAGCAAAACAAGAAAATAACTATCCATTTACAAAGTATTCTTAAAAAAATTAGTATAAAATATTGTTAAATATTAAAAAAATGTTGAAAAAATTAATTTAAAGATATAATTGAAATGTTTATAACTAACACCAGATTTTGTTAGATGTCATAGAAAAAGTAATTAATCTGTGTCAACTTACTTTCACTTTCTTCAGCAGAAGAATCTTCGTCTGATTCGTTCTCGTTCTCATCATCTTCTGTGTCATCTTTGTCCTCGTCTTCGATGTTATCTTCCACAGGTTTACTCTCAACAGGACTGCGAGTTGAATCAAAGCTCGTCATAAGAGAACTGACAACTGGTTGCAGTGCCTCAGAGTCTGAGCTACCCAAAAGTCTGCTGGACACCGGTCGTACACGCACACGAACACCTGGCCTAGGAGCAAACACTCCACTTCTCAACGTACCTGGTCTTTGCAACGTGGTACTTGCTACACGTAGAGGTCCTCGGACAGATTGGGTTCGTATTACTCTATTATTTTCAGGTATTTCTGGAGTGGCTCCTCTATTTGATGATGATCTTAAAATTCCTGAGTACGAATCTGCTTCAGAAGAAAAGGATGGCTGTATTGGTACTGTCTGAGGGTATGTTTGCTGATCTTGAACCTCTGCGTCATCCAGTTCTAAATAATTATTTAAAATTGCATTTGTCTCCGATGGCAGTACCTCAACAAGTGTTGGTGTTATTGTTCCCCTATCAATAACTACATTTCTCAAGCCATCAATGTGAATAAGGGTTTTAAGTTCGAGATTTACTTCGGTAGTTGTTCCTCCAGCAGTTCGTAAACCAAGATTGACAAGTTCTTTACTAGGTTTGATTGTTATCAGACCAGAGTTGTCAATAGTATTGGAGAAATCCTGCATAAGGAAAGGTTCGGTTTGGGTATCTACATTAGATACAATTTCTGACCTCTGAGAATGCGTATTTTTGTCACCATCTCGTAAAGTGTAATAGTAGGTAAATAATGTGTAATATGTCTTTGGTAAAGTCGCAATTTCAGTGATAAGTATGGTCTTCATTGTTGCTTCAGTAGGCTTCACTTCAACTTCGTACGGATTTATTCCTCGCAGAGGCATAGGGTTGTTTGAATTAGGCCGGCCATAATACACATCACTGTTGTACAACTGAACACGAGATGCTAAGTTTACTATTGTAGTTGTTGCACCCTGTGCTCTGGAGCCAAGTGGTACAGCAGTCTGAATACCATTTTGAGATGTAAATCCGCCTCTTGATCTAATTAAGCCTATCAATCTGGGATTAAGAGTCTCCGTAGCAATATTTGAAACTACCGCCTCTCGAGTTGAGTATGCAGTAGATGGACCATTCAAAAATGTAGTCATATATGTAAATGTTGTATAGTAAGTTAAAGGAACGGCTTCGGTGTTATCGGCATAATTATTTTGTAAATCAGTATTTTCGTTCACTGTTATTCCATTGGGGCTTCTAATATCCTGTACTGTGGCTGTGTTTTTAACAACTACTGGACCTCGAGCTCTTACAGGTGTATCATCATGATCAGGCAAAGCGTTGATGATAGGTTTTCTATCCAGAAGTTCTTTTGAGGACTGTGGCCTTATTTGTTGCGGATTTCCTGGTCGACGAAGTCTTATTACTCGTCTTGGAGCATTTGTTGCTAGGGAAAGAGGTCTGTTGATTTGATTTCGTGACACTTCTTCTAGCGGTTTATTAGGGCTTACAACCGTTTCATCTTTTAAGCGGGTGGGGTTATTTTGCCTTGTAGGTGAGTAATTGGGCAAATTTCGAATAGCATCATATCCATCTGTCTGTGGTAAATTAGATCTAATTAAGGGAAAGTTTTGTGGATTTCTTGCAGGTCTAAGGCTATCTGCATTCAGTTCTTCTGGTCGATTCGGTCTATTCACACCAAAATTCGATGGTCTTCGAAATGATCCATAGGCTTCTGGAAGTACATCAGGGGAAACATTTGGTCTGTTTGGTGCATAGAACTGCTGGTTTCTTATTGGCCCAAATCCATTAAAGGGAAAATCTTGGGAAGATGGTGGTCTGTTAGACAACCTAGCATTATTTCTTTCCGACCCAAAGGTTTCATCAAATAGGTGGCCTGGTCTTGCTGGAGTAAAATTAGGGGCATTATTAAGTGGAAAATTTGATGGATTTCTTCGAATAGAGAATCCATCATCATTTTCCTCAGATGGAAGATTTTGGAACCCGCTTGGTTTAAGCCTGCGAATATATGCTCTTCTAGTAGGTATCACTCTTACCGCTGGTATTGGTCTTCCTGAGCTATCATCATCATAACCAGCACCTAGTAAATGGAATGTATCAACAATATACATATCTTCAGAAACTGGTTGCCGTTTATCGCTCTGAGTGCTAACAATATCACCCGCTAAAGGTGCTTCACCTTCAATTCTCATCTTATTGTCGGAGTCTTCTGGAACACTTTTACCCAAAATATCAGAATTTTCTATGGTATCATCAAACTGAAGTAATTTACGAACTTTAAATTCCTTAATTTCTAAAATTTCTGATTTTTTATCATTATTTATTTCTGCCATATGCTTGGTATATGTATTGTGAATATCCGGAGTTATTGTATTGGACAAAAGTTTTGTTTTGATTTGAGCTTCAATTTTATCTTTCGTAAGGGTAGGAGTTAAAGTATCTGTAGACACTTTATTATTTAAAAGAATATCCCCATTAAAACTACTCTGCAGCGCAAAACTTTGAAATTTGTTCTTATCATTATTTACAGGAATAGCTTTAGATTCAAATTCTAGGAAGTTATTTACAGAGTAATCGTTTAACATCCTAGTATTTACTACAGTTTCCATGGCATTTGTTGGACTGACATCAATTTCTTGAACGCTACGTGCAAACCTGGTGTGACCGTTAAGAGCTAAAGGAACCGTTATAAGAGTAACAATAGAGAAAACTTCTCCATTATGGGCGGTAAAATGAACAGTTAATTCTGTGGTTACGGATGGTAATATAAAAACCGGTTGCGGGAATACAAAAGGATGAGCAGATGGAATTTGGGGCACTTTTACTGTCGTTGTTTTAACTAAAGTTGTTTCGCTTACTGAAGTACTCGTTAGTGTAGTAAAAACTGTCTTTCCGTTGAAAAACAAAGGTAGTACAGTAGTGGAAGTCAGTGTTTGTGTAGAAACAAATGAGTTTTCTGACAGTGATAACGAGAAATCAGTGTTTTGTATTGGCATAGGCGGGGCGAAAGGATTGGGAAAATAGGGATAATGAGGTTGAACTGCAGGAGCAGCAGATTTTTGTTCAAGAATAGTATTTGTTTGTGTAGCTAAAGTAGTCAGTATTTGTTTACTTACAATAGTGTCAGTTCGGGTACCAAATCCAACTTTAATGGCGACTAAAGATGTGCTTTCTATTGCTGTCGTGGTCAGAATAACTTCCGTAATAACGGTAAACTGTTTATCTAGAGGAAGATTAAAATCTGGAAGGCCAGTAATGGCCGACAATAGAGTTTTCGTGACTCCTCCCAGAGTAATTGTTGTTAGATCCTCAGGTTTAATAACACTTGTTGTATAGGCTGTAGTTGTAATAGTCGCAAAAGATGTGCGCAAACCAAGATGGACTGGTAAAGTTTTAGTTGTAGTGAATACATCAGTTACAGTAACGGGACCAGTATGATAGCTTGTAAACATGGAATCATCATCTTCTAACTCTGAGGTGGTTATCCCATCAACATAAGTTACAGTAGCTGAAGATGTTGTGCTGCTGGCTTTTATAGTTCTTGGGTCAAATTTCGGAGGCCTTTTCAAACCTCGTGTTCGGCCAAATACTGGTAAAGGTAAAGCCTTCGGTTTTTCAGGCCTAACTTCATTATCTTCACTATCAAATGTTGGTGTATAAGCATTTCGTTGGCGGTTGCGAGAGTTCGAAACTGATCCCCGGTTCTTATTTTTGCGTTTAGTAACTCTAGTATCTTCCTGTAGATTATTATAATCTTCTGGATCATCAACAGAAGTCATTAATCCAATTGTTGGTTTCACGCTTAAAGAAAACGTCGTTGTTAATGTGAAACGTTTTTTCGTAGAAGTGGTATCCAGAGTCGGAGTTGGTTGTACATCTTCGAAATTACGACGACTGCTTTTTCGATTTCGAACTGACGTGCTAGTACTTTTAATAGCAATTCTTGGTCTCCTAGACGATGGTTTAGCTGTAGTTGAATGTACTTTTGTTTGTCTTCCTGTAGGTGTGGTTACACGAGAATTAAATTTAAGAAACTTTGATGGTCGGCGTAAACGTGACAATAAAGTTTCGGTTGTTTTAATATTTTGCTCAGTTACTGATTCAGCAACAGCCTCACTAGCTTCAAAATCTTCGTCAATTTTTTGCGTGTCTTCAGACGTCTTCTTCCCAAATCTTCTTGATCTACTAGATGATAAAAGAATATAGCTACTCGAAGATGTAGGTTTAACTGCGGAAGTACTATCTCTTGTTTTTAAAAGGTTTGGTTTTGGCCTTTGATTTCTCAAAAGAAAAGTTAAACTGCTTGTAGGTGATTGATAACTTCTTGTAGTTGATTTTGAGGGAGAAATAGATGCCCCTCTGTGAGTACTACTTCGATATGATCTACTTGTTGCTGAATTCAGCTCTCTTTTGAAAGAGTTACTCGAACCAAATTTTCGGGTACTACCACTACTACTACTAGAAGCACCACCAAATCGCTTGTTGCCAAATGAAGGTCTGGTAGCAGCAGGGGATCGTTTAGATCTTTTCAAGGGTAATTTACCTTTTGAATGAAAATTCAGTTTTTTTGTCATTCTCAATTTAGAAGACATTTTAATAGTAGATTTTATGCTGTTCTGTGTTAGCCTTTTATTGACTTTATCCGTTTTAGTGATGGAACATGTTTTGCTTGCGTTTATAATCAAGTCTGGAGAAAATCCAGAAAAAATCGATACCGGCAATGGTGTTGTTACTGTCAATGAATTCCCATAAGGTTCTTTCAAATTTCGAACACTTTCAGTGAATGAACTTCGAAGATACGGTGAAAATGGATCATCTCTTTTCACTCTTTCATTTCGAATTTCGTGAGCAAATGAAACTCTTAAAGCTTCAGGCAACAATACTGGAGCAAAGGAAGGATGTGGGGCTCTAGAGGCTGAAGTAGATTCGGTATCCTTTTCTACCGAGGAATCTGTTGTAATATTAAAAATCTTGCTATCTTCTAAACTATTAAAATATTTGCTTGCTATTTTGGAAGTTGGCACATCCTTTTCCTCAAAAAATATTGTTAAATCTTTTCCTTCTGCCATTCTACTCAATGGGCCTGTTTCGCTAATCACAGGTGAAAATATTGTCAAAACCTCATAACCACTTTTCATTTCTTCACTCATATGTACAAGAGAAGTAAATAAGTCTCCATCCTCTTTACCCGTACTTTTTGTAGGCGCAATCTTTTCTATAGACACGCTTGGAACATGTGCGTATGTTCCATCAAGATATGTTCCATGTACTTCAAATATGTGTCTCGTCGTTGTCCCGTTATTAACATGAACTCTAGTTGAAGCCTGAATCAATCCAATTTTAGGGCTTTTTGCAACAGACTTCGCCTGGGAAACAACTGTACTAGATATATAATTGTCAGTAATAGGTACTTTTGGTTCCATTATTTTAGTTGGAATTTTTGAAGGTATGAGAGAAAGAGGAGGAAACATTTCTGTCGATATACTGGGGACATGAGCATAAGTACCATCCAGGTATGTACCATAAACCGCATAATGATAACGCGTAGTTGTATCGTTAATCACCTTTTCGCTAACTGAAGCTGTTACAAGGCCCGTTGTCAAGTCTTCCACATGAAACGTAGGTAATATGCTTGACGTTTGCTCAAGCTCTAGTGGGTTTATGCTACTAGTTGGTAAAGTATTTGTAATAGTTCTTGTTGTATAAGTGCCCAAATGAGCATACGCCCCTCCTATATGCGTACCATAAATTTCAGAAACAAATAATAATGTTTTAGATCCGTCAATTTTACTTCTTAATACCCTGGTAGATAAAAGCCCCGTCCGTCTTGTACCAGAGGTAGACGTTGTGGTAAGACTAGGTAACCTAATTCGAAATGGTTCTCTTGTGGATGAAAGGGGTTGAGAACTAGTAAAAACTCTCGCCGTTTGAGCATATGCTCCACCAACAAATGTACCATGTATTTCAGTAGTGAGATGAACTGCAACGGGTCCGCGAATTTTACGTGAAACTATACTTCGTATAAGGCCAGGAAGTCTAGAAGGACTGAACATAAGCGTTGTTTCAGGCATTGTCATATCCATTTCTGTAATTGGCACGATTTCAGATCTTGACTTTGCTCTCTGGGCATAAACGCCATTTATGTATGTTCCAAATATTGTTGTGGTATATTTTGTCAGTCGACCATTTCGTTTAACAGTTGATGTTAAAACAGACAGCATATTCTTTGTTCGTGAATCTGTCGCTGTAACATTTTTAATCTCATCTGTTACCGATATTATATCATTGCTAATTTTGGAAATTTTGGATGATTGCGTCGGAAGAATAAAATTTAAATTATCATTTTCTTTCTTAGTTTCTTTTTCGGCTTCTGGGATTTCAGTTCCTGAAGATTTTAAGAATTCTAAATATGCGGCATACGCCTTGCTAAATTGGGCGTTATTTAAAAAATCATCATCGAGAATTTTCGATGCATCAGTTGAATGACTTTCGGTCCGAAAAGTGTCTGGGACATGAAAGGAACTGACTAAACTATTTTCATGTGATATATCTTCATTTAAAGCTTCATGCTTCTTCTCGTAACCATTCAATGTTGACGGTAGATCTGCTTCTTTCGAAACCATTTCGCTGACGCTGATATGTGGTTGAATTTCATCCACTGCTAACAGTCTCCGATTCGGAAAATAAACAGGAAGTGTGTTAAAGGTTTGAGCTATAGTAGGTATAGGTGTGATACTAGCCGAACGTCTCGATGCTATTGATGCAACTGTTGGAACTATTACATCGCTTAAAATTTCTGTAACTGTATGTTCTCGACTTTTAGTAATTACCGAACCATCTGAAAGCTCTGTGGTAAAGTATGTATATGTTGAATAGTATGTCACAACAGAAGGTTTAATTTCATAATCAATATTTTTTCGAATGTTATGGTTCCTCTGCTGATAATCATTATTAACAACAGATCTAAATTTTTTTTTCAACTCAGGTCTAGATGGCGTCAGGTAATACGGCTTTTGAAAACGAGAAGCTGAGGAGAATTTTTGGCAGGACTGGCAGTTCTTGTTTCTGTTTAAATTATTTCTGATTTCAGGCTTTTCATAATAGTATGGCAATTGCGTTGCTTTGTTACCGTTTTCCTGGTATCTGGCAGTAGGCCTAACGTTAGGATAAAGCACAGAAGATGATATCTTTGTACTGGTTTGAATTTCCCGTTTGTTTCCAGGTTTTAGGATGGTTTTGTAATAAGTGTATGTAGTGTAAAAGGTATGTGGTGTGGGTTGAATTGTTTGATATATGGCTTCCGCTTCATCTGGCATCAAGTCATGATCTGGTACATTGTCATGCGAGTTTTGATTTATAGTTTCATCCTCTGGTTGCTCTTCTTCAACTAAACTCAAAAGACGTCTCTGAAATAACAACGGTTTGGGAACTTTATGCAAATCAGGATTAGAATTTAATTCATTTTCAATATTATGCCTTTTATTTCTACGATAAAGCGCACGACTTTGACTTACATGAGAAACTGACGCTACCGTAGGTACAATTACATCTGTCAAAATCTCTGTAACTGTATGCTCCCTACTCCGAATAGTAGGAGAACCATTAAGCAATTCTGTTGTAAAATATGTATATGTGGAATAAAACGTTACTCGAGTTGGTTTGATATCTGAGGTTTCATATGGGATGGTATTATGAGACCTGACAGGAATCCTCCGCATGTGAGTAGACATTCTTCGAACAGGAATACTTGTTAAATAAGAACCAGGTCTTGGCTGATTATTATAAACATGGATTTTCTTTTCACTACCGTAATGGCTTTCATGCAACCTTTTGCTTGGTGAACCAGTCAAACATGTCGGACATTCACGTTTAGTACTTCCATGTGTAAAAGGTCCTCGTGGTCTTGTATCAAATGAAGGTCTATAACCTTTATTTACATGTGCTTCTGGATATACAGATTGAAATCTAAATATTGCACCATCCGGTAAAAGATCCTGTCTTCTAGTGGCTCTAAAATTATCTCCATCGCAGCATTTAAAATTTCGTCTGGAAGGGTAAGAATTGACATGTGTTCTTCTATTGTAATAATCACTAGGCTGAGTTTTCTTCTCATACGTTGGAATTTCTTTGTAATATGTTGAAGCAGTCACCTTGGTACGAGTTTCAATAATTCTTTGCCCACCGGGATTTAAATTTGTCGTAAAATATGTAAACGTCGTGTAATGCGTAGCAGGAGTAGCCATGACAGCAGGTCTATGCTCAGCACCTTCAGCTACTAAATCTTCACTTGCGAATACATCCAAGGTAAAAGAATCTGACATACTGCTAGTGCTCATCGAAATTTCAGGTGAATTCGATACTGGAAAACGGTCTAATAAAGGAGTCTCTTGAGTGCTGAAAATAGTTAATGCTTCAGATGTTAATATATTGAAACTTGGTTTGGTGAAGTGGGCATTTTCGCTGTCCATGCTAAATGTGCTCTCCACTAATGAGCTGACGCTGTGTAAAGTATCAAGATCTTTCCTAGAAGTCGTAGTATAAACTAAAGTAGGAGATGTAGGATTATTTGAAGTAAATGTTGGGCTAATATTTATTTCTGTTGTTCCTACTGAAGGTGAAAAAATATTACCGACATTAATTTCCTTCGCATTCTTTTTTAACGTAACCGAAGTTTCAACTGCTGGAGAAATTTTACTAGTAGTATGTGTATTTCCAGTATCACTTTGATTCTTGACACTGTTTTTAAATCTCACTAGATCCCCATTAATATTAGTTTCTGCTTCAGAATTTCCATCTGGTTTAAGTTTCATTCCAAATGATGTCGAAGTTAATGGTGAATATTTAGAGACAGGGGTTGGAGCAATAGTGTGTCTTATTTTTGCATCCACCTCATGTGTAATAGTTGCATTAATTCGATCATTTGAAGATTCCGAACTTATTCTTGTTGATACAGTATCTCTAAATGTTACAATACGGGATTCTATGTCATAGCCTCCATCTGATTTATATTTGTAATGAAACATAGTAGCTGTAATATGGTCAGATACTGTAGAGGGAGCAATATTTTCTTTTATTTCTGCAGCAGATGGTTCCAGGTAATCTTCGAGCGAGTGGAAATTCTTTGAATCTGAATTTTCGCTTTTTAATTTCGTTATATTTGTTGTTACAGAAGTATTAAAACCACTTTCCTTAATAGTCTCTGGCGTTATAGTCGAACTGAATAAATCCTTGAAAGTAGATGTAGCAATACTATTAGTCGTAGATACAGTAAAATTTCCTTTATCTGGCAAAAAAGTAGAAGAGTTATCTGCTCTTGTATTACGAGTTGATAATATGTTATCGGGTGTGTTATTTAGAGACAGACTTTCATTAGTCAGTACCACCGTTAAATTACTTAAAAGAGCACCCAATTTTGTTGAAGGAAAATCTGGCTTCCTCATATTTTCAGCATTTATTTCCAGAGTATTATTTAATGTAGTTTCAAAATTAGATACTCCATGAGAAATTTCTGTACTACTTTTTAGGTCAAAGGCATTATTCTTATCATCCGTAACAGCTTCATGTGAAAGATTTGCATTAATAGGATTATATAACGATTCAGAATCATTTTGTGTTAACGCAATATCTGGTAACATAGTAGGTGAATTTCTTTCAATATTGGTTTCTGCATCAGAATTTCCATCTGATTCAAGTTTCATCGTAATCGAAGTAAATGGTATATGTTCAGCTACGGGAGTTGGAGAAATAGTATGGTTCATTTCTTCAACAATCTTATGTGGTATAGTTGTATTAATAGGATTATAGAAAGATTCAGAACTCCTTCTTGTTGATGCAATATCTAATGTTTTAACTTGTGAAAGTGTTACAATACTTGCTACAGCATAGCTTCTATCCGGTTTAAGTATATCGCTAGTAAAGTAAGTATATGTGTGATATTCAGTCACGGTAGATGGAGTAATAGCGTCTTTCACATCTGCATTAAATTTATGAGAAAATGCTGGATTAATAGTATCATATAAAGATTCAGATTTGTTTACTGTTAATACGTTATCCAATGTAATGGTATCTGCAACAATATGTGTAGTTGATTCTACAGCAGAACTCCCATCCGGTTTAGATCTTTCCCAATAGAGAGTAAACGTATAATTTTTAATTACAGTAGAGGGAGCAATGTTGTGCTTTATTTCTGCTACAGATGGTTTCAAGTCATCTTCTAATGAGTCGGAATTCTTTGAACCTAATTCAGTAGGAGATGTTACTGTTATGCTTTTCATTACTTCATTTGATGCAAAAACTGGCTGCTTATCGAAAGATGAAAGTTCAAGGGTCGAAATTTGAAATGTATTTATTGATGGTATAGGTTCGGTATGTACAAAACTCATTGCCAGATCACTCTCAGAAATCTCTTTTGACAAACTTAAAAGCTTTCTCCGAGGTTTAACTTCTCCATAAGGAGCAAAAGAAAGATCTCGAGCTCGCCTATTTTTTGGATTAAATGCTGGTAATCTGGTATTTCGAATATTATGTGGCATCCTAACTGCAGACACTGTAGGTACAATTACATCTGTAAGAATTTCGGTTACTGTATGTTCTCGGCTTCTAATTACAGGAGTCCCATCACCTAGTTCAGTTGTGAAATAAGTATAAGTGGAATAATACGTAATGCTAGTGGGTTTTATTTCACCATCGTAAGCATCAATGTTCGGATTTCGATTCCTGTTAATATGCAAGTTTTCAATGCTTGTATCATCGCCACCCCTATGAGTGTTCAATTTATTTAAGTACTGATCATTTTCTCTTCTTAAAGGAATCCTCCTCCCTTGCCTTCCATCAGGATAATTGTGAGTTGCACTAAACATATACCTAATATTAGTTCCTAGATTTTGAGTGTTTAGAGGATAATTTTTTTCAGGGTTTAAGGTTCTTTTGGATCGAATTCTATCTCCAAATTTCAAAGTTGGCAGAACTACATCTGAATACACGTCTGTAACTGTGTGTTCCCTTGTTCTAACGACTGGTGTACCTCCTCGAGCTAATTCCGTTGTTGCATATGTGTATGTAGAAAAATGTGTTGCTGTTGATGGACGCACAGCTGGTTCTATTCCATCCGATCTTCGACTGGTAGTAACGGCAGTTCTACCCCTTATTCTGTCGCTGGGGTACCGTCTGGTAGGCGTACCTCTATAAGATTCTCTACACACTGGACATTCGGTTTCATAATAACTGTCATCGTAATTTGGTTGCGCATAAACAGTTGAGCCTCTAACATAGGGAACCGTTGGATTAGGAGTTATATTTGTTTCCGTAACATATCTTGTATCAACATGAGAAGTTCCTCCCCTCAGCCTCGTTGTGTAATAGGTATAAGTCGTTCGATGAGTAATGTAAGGATCAGATTCCGGTCGATTATAAGTATTATATGGCACAGTTCTATCAATATAGCGTGTTGCGACTCTGGTAGGTACAATTCTACTCACAGTGTGTCTTTGTGTTGCAACAGGTCTCGTATAAGTAGGAATGGGTGTGACATTTGTCTCTGTTTCTTCTCTAGTATTGATTATTGGAGTGCCGTCTCTGAATCTAGTTGTATGGTATGTATAAGTTGTCCTATGTGTCACTTTATCAGGCTTGTATAAATTAGGATCAATACGCTGCGAATAAACTGGAACTGTAGCGCGCAGTACTTGACGTGATGGATATTCAGGTCTATAATAAGTTGGTATGGGAGTCGCTTGAGTTACAGTTTCTTTTCGAGTTTCTATGATAGGTACACCATTTTGAAATCTTGTTGTATAATATGTATATGTTGTTCTGTGGGTAATATCATTTGGTCTTGGATCACCACTGTATGGTACCTCTGTATGGTACAGTGGAGTACCTTCATAATTACCATCATAATGAGTACCAATTTCGAAAGGTGAGTATCGCGCGGTTGGTATGGGCGTTACATTTGTTTCAGTTTCCTTTCGAGTTTCTACGAAAGAAGTACCGCCCCTGAAACGTGTTGTATAGTAAGTAAATGTTGTCCGATGAGTTATTTCACTTGCTCTTCCTGCATCATATGGCACTGTCTCAATATGATAATGATCACCTATAACAGATCTTCCTGAGTATCTAGTTTGATAACCATCGTCAATAGAGGTATGTCTAGCACCATCACAACAAGGCTGTGAATAGATATTGTGCCCATAGACAGAACGTTCGTTTGGTTCGACAATGATACTATCCACATGAATACTACTTTGAATTTGCGTACCACCTCCTGGTTTAAGAATGGTTGTAAAGTAAGTGTAAGTTGTATAATGAGTTGTAGGTGTCAAATAAATGTGAGCGTCAGTTGATATAATTCTTCCACCAGGTCTTAAAACAGTCACGGATTCAGGAACAGCTCGTTTGGACCTTTGCGAAGTTATTTCTCCCTCGGAAGAAACACTTCTGATTTCGGAATCTGCAATGCTAGTCTCAATACGTAAAGAAGACATTATATTTTCAATTTTAGACGTTTCAAGTTCTGGAGATGGCTCAGTATGCGGCCCTTCAGACGCTTTTATAAGAGATTTAAGTTTTTCAGTGTTCATACTTGGAAGCAAGAGCACTGTAACATCTGATAAATTCATTTCATATGAACTAGAATCATCATTTCTTACCTCAGCTGAAGAGGAAATTACAGTTGAAGTTTCTTCTTTTAAAGATGTAGAAGATATAATCGTGTTGGTAGGTTCTATATTTGGAGTGCTCTCGCTTGGGATGGAAGTAACAAAATTTGTTTCTTTTATTTCAGAATTATATTTTAGCATATCTCCAGCTTCTATTCCTAGTTCGATTGGAGAATTAGACAAACCAAGAGTACTCAAAACATCTAAGTGCGCTGTTACTTCTTCAATGTCAGTTTTAGAATTAGTAGCAGTAGCCAAGGTAACGGATTCTACCTGTGAATTTGGAATTGACGTAGAGGTAATTTGGCCATTATTTGCATCTTCTAATACATTTGTTGACTTGCCTTCCATATTAGTTTCAATAAGAGTGGATTTATTAAGATCTCCAAATACATCCTGTGTTTTATTTTCAGTAGCAAATGTAGATAAGTCAGTTTCTTTTATTGCGTTGTCTACACTCATTGTTTCAGAATTAGTAGAAATTTCCTTCGCTGACGTAGAAGCAACAGCTTCGTGAATCAAGGAAATCAAATCACTTACATCAGGAATTTTTAGACTTGTTTCCAGTTTCGAGATGAATCCTACTTCATCTGCTAATGTGCTCCCTTTTTCCATTGAATTTTTTAAATTATTGCTTGAAGCTGTAATGTGGATAGATGTTGTATTTAGTTGAATAGTTTCTAATCCCGATGATACATCTTTCATTATTTTTGTGCTTCTAATTTGGTCTGTCAGATTTTTAGAAAAAAGATCGGTGCTGAAAGTAGGCATGAGATGCATTCCTTCTCTAAGAAAGTCCACTGTGCTGTTAGAAGTTGTTTCGTTAGATAAAGTCTTACTTTCTTCATCTTTAGGATCAGACGTTTGAACACCTGCCATTCGTCCTATAATGTTTAAAAGAAGTAAATCACTTTCGGTAGGATCAATTCCTTCTTCATCATCAGTATCTAACGTAATGCTTTCAGTAGTTCTAGTCTGACCTGAATCTTGAATGTTTTTTGTGGTGCCAGTACTGGAAGTATTAATGAATGTTGGCTCTTCTGAAGTTATTGTAGGCAAATCTAAGCTTTGTACGCTTACTTTAGATATTTCTTCCTTTATCGTGGTATCAAAGCCAAGCTTTTCTTTCGAAGATTCATCGCTGTGCTTAATAGTTGTAATATCGAAATCTGTTACAAATGCTAGAGTTGGATCAATTGGTTTCTCATTCAAAGATGAAGAACTTGACAGAATATTTATCAAAGCATCTAATTTAGCAATACTTTCTTCTTTAGTATTTTGTAAAGAGGTAGTTACAACATTTGAAACTAATGTTCCAGTTGCTTCCACAACCGATTCCGATGACATTATAGCAAATGGCACCCTTGGTGTTTTCTGAGTAAACAGTTTAGGTGTAATTATTTCCGATGTTATTTTCATATGAGGTATTGAACTTTCTGGAGTCATTGTTGGTTTATCTACGGTGTAAAATATATGTGAAGTACTTTGTACTACATGAGCATAAGTTCCATTAATGTAAGTTCCTTCAATTATAGTTGTCCATTCAGTTGTTCTACCATTAAAGATGTCAGTTCCAGTTGTAGACATAATGACACCTGTTGTGTGAATACTACTCTGAGGCATGTAAGGAACTGTTGGAGTGAGAACTAGAGGAATGTGACTTACATGAACGTCAGAATCTTCCACTTCTCTTTTAAAAATTCGTTTATCATATCCATATATTTCATAGTTAGATACTTCCAATAACTTTCGCGGTTTAAATTTACCAATAAAATGAGCGTTTTCTGACCTGAGTTGCTCTTCTTTGGGATACTTCTGAAAATTTTTAGACACAGTTTCATTTTGAAATAGGGCAGCTATTTTTTGTACCAACTCACCCAATTTTCTTTGATCAGATTTTACAGTTTGCATTTTCTTTAAAGCCTCATGCGTTGATTTTGCATGAGTTTTCTTGTCAATTGATTCATCATCAAATTTTATAACTGTGAATTCTGCTGATGGAACTACTGAAATGGGTTCGTTGACAGCTGTTTGATAAATTTTTCCAGAATTCAAAGAACCATACAATTCAGTTTCGGTGCTAATTTTCAAAGGTATTCTGGCCAACATAACAGGCGTCTTCTTTGAAGGTAGATCTAAAGATACTTCATCAAAATTTGGAGCACTTGCAGAAGAATACCCAGACTGGCTTTGTCTGTCACTGAGAAATTTTGTATAGCTATACTGGAAGTTATTGGACAAGTCTTCTGGTATAGAAGGTTGCAAATAAATCCCAGTTCCTTCAATTGTAGTTCCATCCACTCCTCTTGAAGATGCAGATTCCAGTCCTGATGCATCTGCGCTCAACAATGCGAAAACAATGTGTAAAAATTGGGAAATATACTAAAGGAATTTGTTGATGTCATTTGCAAAAGCATTTATGTCTTTCAGGCTTCAAGTAAGCGTTGGAAGTGGGCTGCTTTGGCAGGGGAGCAAATCAGCTATAAAGCGTATATTAGTCAAAAGCATTTTTAAGCCAGTGTTTTCAGTCGCAGAGGTGAGCTACGTATGTCAAGCCTTAAGCGCGAACAGAGAAAAATATTGTTTCGTAATGTAGCATTTAACTGCCCCTATGAATTTTATGTCTGCTGATGGTCTTGTGTATTCATGTTTTCTCATGTCTTCTTCATTATGTCCTCTAACGCGTTTCTTTTGCCCAGATTCATCTATATTTGTGCAATAATTTTTTTTCTAGCATAAGGTTTAAAAAATTCTGTCTGGGCTAAATAATTTAGTGTACAATCTTTCTTCGCCACCAGAAAGCAAAACATTTTTAATTTCTGTCTGGCATAAAATATATTGCTACAAAAGGCATTAGGAGTTGCCTTATGTACATAATGACATCCTTTTGATTGGCTACAATATGCTAGCAGAGATAAAACACTATGAAGATTTATCTCATCAGCGCAAAGCATTCCCCAGTTTTAGATAGTGTTACTTTAAATACTGTTGTTTCCATATAAAAGCTTTCTCATCTACCTGTTTCTCATGTTAAGGAAAATTTTATATACTTTCTTAATGTTTCTCTCATCCACATATATGTACAAAAAAGTGATAAACATTTGTGAATGTTTGTTTTATTTGCATACATCTTCGTCAAAGAGAGATAATGTTTTTTAAATGTATGTTCAGAATAAAGTGTATTTTACTTTACATACTAAAGCGTTCCGTCAGGTTCGTCCTACGTATTCGCACTGAGGGTTGTTATAATAAATTATATTATGCCTATGTTACAGGTTTTACTGCACAGTTTTAAGTAGAATATTAATTGTCAATGCATTTACATGAAACGCCGATTTCATTCAGATTATGATGAAGCAAAAAGTGTGCGTTAGAATACATTTGAAAAAAGTGTTGAGTGGGGAGGTACTGCGAAACTGACAGACACTGTAGTTCGTTAAGCTACAACTTTTAAAAGCTCAACATAGTTCAAAATATGTTGCAAGACTTGTCAGTGATTTCATAAATTGTTTTTAAAAATTCAATTTATTTGTGAGTGATTTCATAAATTATATTACGTACATTTAATTTATTTATCAATGATTCCATAAATTGCATTAAATAATTTTTTTTTTAATAGAAACACCACGAAATAGACAATAATTAAGACACTGTAGTTGGAAGCAAAACGTATCAGTGTAAAATTCAGAATGAAGAAAAACTAGCGCAGATTTTAATAAATGTATACCCAGATTTATTTAAAATCTAGCTTAATTTAAAGTTTCTTTTTTGTTGTTTTTAGTTTTTCTTGTTTTATTCGTTAATTTGTAAACAATACTACTGTTTTCTATTATATGTTTTCTCTTAATATGTCAATTTAATTTTGTTTCAAGAAACAGGAACCTTTTTTATAATATGAGATTGTAAAAGTAAAATTAATTTATGCCTAAATTTGAAAATATTAAAAGCAAAGGAATAATTATTTCAATTCGTTTTACGCTTTACCTAGATTCTATATATATGCTCATAAAGTAAGCATGGAAAGTGTATGAATTTATTATTTAAAACGCTTGTGTTAAATATTCTCTTCAGGCTAAAATAAAAATAGGCAGAAACCAATAGTTTTCCTTGTCAAATATTGTTTTAATGTATAATAATGTCGGTGGAATATTCATGAAATAAGAATTTATTGCCTGTTTGGATGCGATAGTGTATAAGTATTAAAATTATTATATTCTAAGCTAAGCGTCTATTTGCATTTCAAAGCATTAGCTGCAAGCCTATATTGTTCAGCATACAGAGCGATATAATAATATTAAAGCACAAATATTCATATATAAAATTAATATTAGAGTTAATACAAATATAATTTCAATATTAATCATATCAATTCTAATAGCAGCATTAATACATAAACCAGTATAAAAAAATTAAAAATTATATTACCTTCCGGTGTAAGTAAACAATACAACAGAAACGAAATTGGAATGAGAATAAAAGTTTGTAAATTTAAGAAAAATATAAAAGTTATTAAAATAGAAAACATATATACATGTTCTGTATTCTAAGAAATACTCAAAAATAATTTTCTTTCAGGTTTATTACAAACATATGAGTTGTATCGGGATAAATCATTTTTACATTTCACACTAAATATATAAGCCTACAAACCACACTTTATAAATAAAGTGTAATTGGAGGTATTATTTTGGAATTGAAGTATTACATATTGTTATTTATAGAATTGATGCTATTTTATATTTAATACTTTTTATTTTTATTTAATAATATTATTTTTTATTTATTAAAATGCTACTTTTTATTTAATTTCTATAAGTTACCTTCTTCCTCTGCTCTGCGAATAAGATACCGTTAGTAATGAAGAACTTATTCACTTATTTCAAATGAAACAGTAAAGCATGTGTGTAATGCTAATTATAAACATGAAAAGTACGTATTATCATTATGCTAAATTTAAAATTGCTAAGAGTCTAGATAATAGCTATTAATATTCAGAAATTAATATAAAATAAACTTGTAAATTTGTTTCTTCACAACGTGTGAAGTATAAATAAAACTTTACATCAGGTTACTTATTTTTAAATATAGATGGCGCCACGAATCTTAACATTTTTAATGTTTGTTGCTTTTTCTGTTCTTCAGCATTTGAACACTAAATTTGCTCACTCTATTATCCCAATAAATTTTAGAATTAAATTATTCAAAATATTTCTTTCATAAACTTCAAGATTAATTTAATAGTAAGGTCTAAATCTTTCTCTATTTCAGGCATTCCATTTCGCGGCATTAATGCAGGTTTGATTAGAAATTTTCTTAAGGCTTTTCTGTCGTACACATTGCTTATTTGGTAAGGTCAAAAAGAAGTAGTCTTTTTCAACCGCTATCCGTATAACACCTGTAAATGCATGTTTTTCTTCATAAACATTGGCGTAAAATAATGAAAGCTAAAATATTTTTTTTTATTTAACTACCCCCCCACCACCACCACCATCCTTAACAAAGCAATGCTGCCGAAGAAAAGAAGACGTTCTCTAAGGCAAATCATGAATTCAAGAAGCTGGCTTCAGTGAAAATAGAACATGCGGGAGGAAAATTAATATTAATTAATTAATTGAAAGTATCGTATTTCGTGACAACTTTTCCTGCTTTCTTAGACACACAAAACAAAAAAGTAAAGAATTGTACATTTTGATAAATGGTTATCATATCTGGCATTCCTGTTCTTTTTCGTTTTCAGGCTTGATTAGCGAAACTAAAAAATAAGGTTTGCATCTATAGTTTTAACCCTTTGACTACTAACGGGATATATATATATCCCACTAAGTGGAAGCTGTTTGCCCTCGAAATCGATTGAGAATTTTGTCTAAATCTAAGTCAAATACAAAAAGTTTCTTCTTTAACCCTTTCACTATTAACTGGACATATAAATCCCACTAAATTTACCTTATTTAGGACACATTTTGTTCACTTGGATAGAAAACGGGGGAATTTTTTTTTTTTTTAATTCGTAGTCAAAGGGTTAAAGGGATGGTATGAAGAATGGATTACATGCACGTAAGGAAGAAGTTTTAAATCCTAATTAATAGTGAATATAATTACTTTTATGAACTATTTATTAATAAATCTTTCGCATTTTTTCGAAAGCTAACAGATATCAGCAGTGTCTAGAAAGAGATTTTTTGTTTCTGTTTGCCGTGCTTATAGAATTCATGCATGCAATTTTGTGTAAATTATTCTTTAACACAAAAACTACTGAAAAATATATAACAACATGGTATAAGGTAATCAGTTCTGCAGGTAAGTTCCATGTGCTTGAATTTGATTTACATGACTCATAAATTTGTCATTCCCCTTCATTCTCCCCACCCCACCCCCAAGATTCCAAGATTATCAACAGAAAAAACTTTAAGCGGAAAAGGATTTTTCCCCCCTTTTAGCAAATTATAGAATGTATAAGACATATATATGGAAGACAAAAGTGAAATTTTCTCTATTTTAAATTTTATCAACAATAAGTATTTACATGCCAAGTATTTAGGTCTATTTTGTACTGGTATGTTATAAAATTTCGAAAATTGTTTCAATTTCACAGTTATGTTTTGTTATAAAACATATTTGATATACCATCAAACAGCAAAGTATTTACAAAATGAATACTTACGTATTTGTCTTTTCTTCCTCCGTTTCTCAACGGCGAGCAAATCCTGAAGACGCCCTTCGTCGGGACACGGCGCTGTTTTGTTGATATTATCGGCTAAAAATGAAATGCATTATTTCGAAATTAATTGACGGTAATATTGCATTTTCATTAATTTTAAACTAGTTGCGTAAATGCATTTGCCAAACACGGAACATTTTCAGGATGTCCCGTTTAAGTCACAACATCCTGAGATACAGATTGAATATACTGACTATAAGATATCCTGAGGACATGCTGAGATGTCTTTTTAAGTTGCTATGTCCCAGGATATGCGAAGATGTTAATTCTCAGATGTCTTGAGAATTTCATGATTTAACAGCCTAAGGATATCTTGTTTAAGTCGTTATGTCCCGGGATATGCGAAGATGTCCTAAAGATGATAATTCTCCCATGTTTTGAGGACTTCGTAATTTAACTTCCGGAGGATGGCTATTTAAGTTACTTTGTCCCAGGATATGCAGGTGATAAATCTCAGATGCCTTAAGGACTTCGTTATTTCATAACTTGAGTATATTCCTACTGCAACTGTGGAGGACTTCCGTTGTCAAACATTTTAAGAACATTATTGTCAGTTTTTGTAGCAGTTTTTATCATCGATAACGAATAATACTGTTAACTTTTAATCTGATATAGCAGAGTGGGGTATTAGATTTTAATTTTTTCACTACACATGGATTTTTCAAATTACCTTTTTAAAGACGACCCCGCCCAAAAATACCTGCAGTTTTTAGGTTTTAAATTACGTCCAAATGGGTGTTTATTTAACGTTTTGTGTGTTACCTTTATTTATTAAATATCATAGTCTTCTCACTTAAACCATAAAATTCAGTTCAATAGCAATGTGCAAAATAATTTTAAAATGAGCCCATCTTTAGAATTTCCGATACACAGTTCCGCGCGCTGGAGATAAAAATGTTTTTCTGTACAACGTTGCCATTGCTTCCTTTGAAATACATGAGTTTATTAATCAAAAATTTGTTAAAATTTTACAAAATATGAACTCGATAATAAAAGAAATTCCTAATTCCAAATTTGGTCTTCCACGTGCCCATATTCGTAGGAGGATTACGAAATTCGATGGTTTTATATACCGTTGTTTTATCACAATGCGAGAAATATACATACATTTATGCAGATTTTTCATTATTTAATTTCTTCAAATATAATGCAGGACTCTAACATTTGGTGGCAGCAGTTTGAAAAGTGAAACAGACATTTGTAGTGATTCAACGCAAAATCGCAAAACGAAAACAATAGTTCAAAGGGACAAAGCCCCTTTGGACTAATAATTACCGAAGGGATAAAGTCATTAAATATTAACTCCCTCTCAGGCTCGATACTCTGCAGAAGGTGTGGATTCGTTGATTTTTCCATGGAGTTTCCATTTATAACAGAAAAAGACGAAGTTCAAATAAAATACTCTAAAAGGACAATTTTTTTAAGTTGAATACTACTTACATGTTGCAGCAACTTAGTCGCAAATTTGCTTGCCGTAGTCTGTAAATTCATCTGTACTAAATTATTTCATTGTCAGTAATTCGTCATTATTTCTAAGTTTTTAATTACTTAATAGAGATTTTAGATTTTTTTCTGGAGCAAAAAAGATACGAGCCACGGATCTTCCATCTGACAGCTGAACCTACTACCACGTACACAGACACAGAACAGACGGGGGAAATGCGATAATTTCTTACAACTTTATTAAATTTGATTGTCAGTTGCTTACTGGTGTCGGTATGCTTATATGGGAACTGGAAACCTTCAATAGAACGATACATATAGGCAGAGCTAGTGCGGTAGAACTAGGTGGCAGAATTCAGGAAAGGCAAAATTTTTAGAGGTTAGACAAAAAGTTTTAATGCAAATATGCACATGTCAATAATCTGTTTATCCTTTCATTATTAAGAATATTTAAATCATTCGTTAATGAGATCATTAACGAATTCATAAATTTCATTACTGAGAGTCTTTATTGAAAATATTTAAATGTCCGGTTAAATCAACAAGAATTGCTAAATTTGTTATCCATGTGTGATTGTATAGCTTTTCGAAGATTTTATTTATTTATTTTTGTGTCATGAAAATTTCATTTCATTCATTAAATCAAAAAAACTGTTTTAGTGCAGTTCCTCGAACGTAACTACCTCCCCTCGTTACACTAAACAATTTCTCTATACTTCCAGTTTGTTAACGCGATGCAACAAATTCGATGATTCAGAGCTCGTCCGCGAGTAATGTTTACTGTTTTAATTTATTGATTCAATAATCTTATCCATCCGAGGCCTTTTGGCACCGTATTGGTAATAAATAGATGATAAAAAGGTTTGCGCGGGCCCCATAAAACTGCTTCGGGGGTTACAAGCGGCGAGCAAGTTTGAGACAGTCTAAGAATTGCATATTTTCATTTCTCGATCACTTTTGCCCATTAAGTTAAAACGTCAAAATCTGTTATGTTCATACTCACAAAACGGAATGCATTCTATTGCACTTGTTTTCCATTATTTCTTTCAGTACAATATAATGCATAATTGTACACAGAATACTTTACTATTACATTATTCTATGTTGATAATAAGTCGCTTGCATAATTTGTAGAGTGATTAGGTTTGTCGATGAAAAACCTGCAATGCTCTCGCCAGGATTCGAACTCCTACTGCTAGCCGAACGTGTTACCAATTACACTACAAAGGTATGCAGTAGGAGCGAGAAAATACCTTACAAATTTATCAATTAAACATATCCATAATTACGCATATTACGCTAATGTCCCGCTTTATATAGCATTCGTTCTAATACGAGCGTGGTACCTATTTTCCACGAATACCTGGTTGCTATTGTATATTTCTTCTGATAAATAGCGTATTAGATTTTAAACCAGCTTTTTTACTTATAAACGACATATGAAAGTTTGAGTATTACGTATTTTACTTAATAGAGATACGAAGTGTATGAAATCAAACTGATTTTTCCTACTTTTTCCGTTTATCGTTCTTGCAACTTAGATTGCAATAAATTCCAGCGTTTCGTAATAATGCGGTTGGTAAAGGTGGTGAATCATTCAAAAGTAAACAAAATATTGAAGACAATTATATATGTATGCAAATTGTGAGTGTATTATCCTTATATAAAGATAAATAAACATTCCAAACCTTCATCCGATCCATCCTCGCAGTCCTTGACTCCATCCTTAACCTTATGACCATCGACACAGTGGGGGACACCGCAGCGGCAGCGGTGTTGGCCTCGACCACATTCTGGAAAGAGGAAAAAAACAAGCCTATAATTTTTGCACTGTTAGTAGGAAATGGGCGTTGCTATTTGAAACTGGACATGAAAGTTGGATTGATACTATGCTTTCATTCAGTAACTTTGTTTGTTCATTAATTACGATTATTACTATTATTATTCTATTTTCCGCTCTATCTTGAATAGATTGGATATCTATCATTTAACATTTAATACATTTGTCAGACACATAAGTAGCTGCAACGAATATTTGTTCTCCAACAAAAACACATTAAAGACACGTGTCTTAATTTAGCTCAAGAGCTTAAATTAAGACAATACGTGGTGATCTAAACATCGAGCACACAATTTTCAGAAGCTGTGGAAATTCCAAATGGATATTAATGGTAAATTGTTTCATTAGATGACACCCATAAACTGTTACAAGTAATGAATCACTTGAAACTTGTAGTTTATGATCTTAACTTTAAACACCGTTTGTTTGGCGCAATATTGAGATGATCTTTTCCCAAGAGAAACAAATTCTTATGATTAAGCACTACTTCGCAATGTAGAAGAACACACAGAAAACTTTTGAACCGTGTAATGTAGCCCTCCAAAATGTTCATGTGTTAGCCATTAGGTTTTTTGAAGGAGAAGACGTGAAAAATGTGCACTGGCCTCGCAGGGATTGGAGCCTGGACCTCTTGAATTCCAGTCAAGTGTGCTACCACTACACCCCGAAGGCATGCTGGAAGGAGGGAGAAAATATCTTATACATAAAACTAATAAGAGAATGATTTTTCGCTTAGTAACATGATTTCAAGAAATTGGAAGCGTTTACCGTAAGAATGAAATGGAAGCCTTTCTTCTGAGTTAGGTATAAAATATAATCGTCAGCAAAGAGTGTGAGAAATGTGACATCGCAATTAAATTTATGTGTAGCGATGTAAAGCCCAATCACAAAAATTCTTTCCGCTTTAGAAAACTCATCTCCATTTTGCACCAAACAAACGGTTAATAAAATTAAAGATTTGGCTGCAAATGAAATTTTAAGTAATGTATTACTTGTAATAGAATACAGTAATATTACTTCAGTGTCATTCAGTGAAACAATTTGCAGCTAATATTCATTTTCGAATACCCACGATTTTTGAAAATTTGATGTCTGTGGATTTTGGATCAGCCAGTATATGCAAGAAATGTATACCATCTTTAAAAATTTAAGAAACTTAATCTTACTTTAACGTAACTGATAATATTTCATTTTAAGATGCAAACAGACAAAGCCTCTTTCTTTCAAATGTGAAGTAATTTATTAATACATATCTTGCCACGGAAGTTAAAGATATCAAATCTTGTTTCTCACAAAGCCGAGGCGTTTGGTTTGAAACTGACGTAAAACTCGGTAAGTCTAAATTTTATCACTCTTTAAAACTGTGTTAGACGTTGGAACATTTACATTCAGTATGCATTAATATCAATCAGTAATAATTAACTATCTTTCAATGGAATTTATAGTTTGTAAAAATAACAATGAGAATGTAACTTTTAGGGGTTAAAGTAAGGATCTGATTAATATTAAAGTAAATATTTAATGCAAGTAATAAAAAAGTGCAATAAATATAAAGGAATGTATAATAATTAAGGGAACCCCCCCCCAAAAAAAAAGAAAAGAAAAGAAAAAGGAAAAAAAAAATAACAAAGAAAGAAAAATTCAATATGAAATCATTATAAAATAAATGAAACTTTAAAAAATATTTACGGAAAATTGTTTCCTCGAAATTTAAAACATTTCGAATACATTTTTTTAAATTTTGGATACAATAAATAATTTTCGACAACTTATCGGAAATTCATAATATCATAGATAACAAATCTTGTTTTAATGTTTATAATACAAAATTCAGTTATAAATTATGAATTTTTTAATCTTCATAATATGAAGAATTTCTGTACTTCGAAACGTATTTGACAATTAATTTAGCGGGTAACAATATTAACGGGGTACATTTTTTTTTCTGTTTAGTTTTACTTATTTAATATTTATAAGCAAGATTAATAAATCACGTTTATTCTGATGTGTCTACCATGCAGTATTAGAAATATGAAACTTGATTTCCTAACATTTTCATATAAACCTCTTATATTGCAAGCAAACTTAATTTTTTTTTTAAAGAAATCTTTTCCATCAATAAGCTTTTTCGATATTTCGTGTGAATTTTTATACTTTACCTGATTTCAGGAATTAAACAAAACAATTACATATTTCCTTATATACTTGTTCTTGGTGAAAACGCAAAATGCATAATGAAAAAAATTACCTCTGAGATTTCAATTTATTTGCACGTATAATTTCCAGTTGATATTTTTGTAGAGACTACATAAATTCACTCATTTTGCCCTTTCGAGTAATTTACGTTAATCAGTATACAAAACTAATTAAATAATTTTGAGGACCACTATAATTTGCAGCCTTGAAAATGATACCTTTCTTTATATGCCTGAAATTACAGATTTGAAAACTTTTATTAAATTTCAATACAAATGACAAAACGAATCGCATAAATGGCCTTTTTCTCGTTATTTTTACTAAATTTTTCATACGTGCGCCTTTTGTTTAAAAGCCATCCAATATGGAGTTACACCATTTCTGCTCTGAATCCTTTTTATGACTGTTTAAATATTTCATACATCAATTTGCGTTATGATAATACCTGATTTTTAAAAGATAATAAAAATGAAATTAAAAATCATGATCTTACAATGACGGCACAATCAAAAAAGTACTCATGTTGTTGAAACTCTTACCGACAACCACGTGATTTGCGCATGCGCGCAGCAAAAACTAAAACAGAACCTTTTTAACTGAACTTTGAGAACTCGTGACGGACGTTTGAGTGAAACATGTAATCCTTCTGTGTTATACATATATATTTTAGTTTAGTGATGTGATTGTAAATTAAATATCTTATTATCTTAGAAGTCTCTCTCTTTCTGTGAGTACTGCATCGATGAATGAAATAAACATTCCCGGATATGCCTTTGGATTAGAAAGAAGATCGATTAAAAGGTTAAGTCCTTTTACCTTTTATTTTCTAAGAAATTATTATGATTATACACATGTTATAAACTTTCAATCGATGACTCATTTTTAATTAATAGAAAAAAGTATTATGTTATAAGATGACAGAGAAAAAGTTCATTTTTGTTTTAGAAATTACATCACATATAGTAATAATTTTTGACGCTTTCATTCAAAAGTAATTCTTCCGCTATAGCATCAGCATGCAATATACTTTCAACATAAGTACGCTATTTCTCCTGAGAAAACGGAGTTTCCGTCATATGTACGTAACTACTACTTAAATTTTAACATCGTGGACATATATTATTCAAATGCACAATGACGTTATGTGAATATAACCATGACCTACATCCATCCATTTTTTCTCTAAATTTTTTTCCGGATATTCGCCTACGTTATTCCATTAATATAGTGCGGTGACAAATGCATGATGGATAATTTATGTTAATTACTAAATGCACCGTGGTTTTATTTTCTCATTCTTTTCTTCAAGGTTAGAAGTTGTTAGAAGCACACTAAATTTACCTTCATCGGAGCCGTCATCACAGTCCGGCCAGCCATCGTGATATCGCTCCTTCGGTATGCACTGGTGAATGTTTTGACATTGGAATTCTTCCGCCAAATTGCATTCTGAAAGAAACGAATAATTATAACATCATTTAAGATGCTTCGTAAATATTCAATTTAACACATCTCATTAAATAAGAAAAGTATTTTACTGAAAGAAGAATCGCAAAATGGACTCTAAATTCATGCACAAAATGTAACGCTAGATCTGTTTGCTAGATTTAAAAGAAAATTTTATGGGAAATAATTCAGTTTTTTTGTTTTAACGTACATTTGTAAAATTTATAATTGTTTTAAATATACGAAAATTACATTCTAGGATATGACAACCTTGTATTGTTTCTTCTTATTGTTATTGTTTTACTTTATTGTTTTACCCTGTTCAAAAAATCGCTGAAAAATCATGTGGTATATGCGTTAAACCTACAATACTTGCATGGCGTTAGCTTACTTTATAGAGAAATAATGTAGGAAATGACATCACCGTAACTTACAAGAAGTTACCGTAACTTTCCTATATCCTGTCGATCGACGAATGCCTAATGACGATGAGTACTATAGCCTGTACTCATCGTTATTAGGCTTTAAAATAGACATTTCAAATATCAGTTTAAAATTTTCAAATGTCACTTTAACCCTTTGCGGCACAGTGTGTCCGGTCTGGACACACCTAAAAATTTCCTTCTGTACGCACAGAAAAATTGAATGAAAAAAGGATTTATATGTTACTTTGAACCTTCTTTATTTATAGTAGATGGCAGCTCAATACACACCAGTCCATATATTTTAGCCATGTTTAGTTTTTTAAGATCCTCATTTTTCAAAGAAATCTTCCAGATATTTTAGGGTATAAAAGGAATTGCTTGAAAAGAAATTTCTATGTTATTTTTTGGCTGTATGCTAATCTCCTTATTCTATATTAGTTTTAAATTTTTACCTTGAAATTTTGCCTAAAATCAAACGGTGTGCCCAGACCGGGCTCACCGATAATCTAGGACAACTGAGAGTCTGTATTCTTTGTTTTTCCGCATCTCATCGGTCAGTTCATTGACAACAATGCTCGTTTCAACACTCTTTTCGGAGCTCTATTCCAATCAGTGTGCCCACTTTGGGCACACCCACAGAATTAAAACGATAAGTGCTATCTTCACAAAATTGTACTTGTGTACTCCTTTAGGCCTAATTAGACTGCCTACTTTTTTTTTTTTTTTTTTTTAATCAAAACTGCAACTCTAAAAGATAGCGTGCTGGAAAGGGTTAAAGACATTGAAATGTCACTTTAAAATAGACATTTCAAAGTCCTAGAAGCCCTCTCCTTAGTCGTAACGTGTATCTTTATTATCTCATAGAGGGAGATTTTTTTCTTTCTTCCCAGCAGTCGTTGCCATGGTTATGAGTTATGCTCTGAAGGTAAAAAGGGCCTTGTAATGTCTATTTTTAAGGAACAGAGTGTAATAGTTGGCTCTGGCTTCACCTTGCAGAAGCTAAAAAACAACTAGCTACATAGATAGATATCTGATGAATTTCTCCGTGTGTAAAACAAATAGAGACAATTTTTCACCAAAAGTTCTTCTCGAAAGTACCTATGACATTAGGAAGATATAAATTTAAAGATATTAGATATTTTGGAGCCAGGAAACGTAAGAAATTAAATAGGCTTTCGTTGGGATTTGAATCACGGATCTTCAAATTACTAGCTGGACGTGTTAACCAAATACACCAGGACAGCTCCCAAGGGGGGGCGTATTAGATAATTCCTTATATAGTCATGGTAATTAATTAATCAACTTATATAGAACTGCTGATATTATTTTTACTTGCTAGTGGCTTAGTAGTGCGTTATCAATGATTGGAAAAAGGGAACAACTGTGTTTGTTCTTAATAAATTCTAGTTTGACAATTTATTTTTACAGAAATCTACATTTTCAGACACCAGTGATGCAAAAGAGAACTCCCGATGAGGAAAATAAGTTTTTAGTATATTTAGAAAATGCTAAATATTCACTGAAATACTATTAAACTTTTATTATTACCAAAAAGGACTGCTACAAATTCCGCAACATTATTCATCCACGGAGTAGATAGAAAGAGTAACGGAACCAACTAACTTTTCAGGAAGTTTTTAATAATCTAAAAAACTACTGCTTTAATCAGTCCGGAACAACTGTCGCTGTATTCCTTTATAAACTTCCGACATCTTCCTTTTTCTTTTCAATTGATCGAATCAGTAGTACAAGAAACACTTAAACAAATGTTGCTTTCAGAGCGAGCTACGCATGCGAGAAGCGTATTAAAATAAGAATATATATTTATTGTAAACGAAACAAAGCTTCGAAACATGCTCCAAGCAAGCAAAAAATGTTTTATCATTAAGAACTTTTGGGACTATAGGTGAGGACAACGTACCCGTGTGTCTAAAGAATCGGCGACAGTCCAGAAAAGTGTCTATTGTTTATGTCTCTGATACGAAATTGATACAAAAGCATTGTTCACACTTAACACCTCACGCCATTCATGAGTATTGTTAGAGGATGACGATTAGTTTTTGTTTCAAATTTCCTGTTCGAAGGCTTAAAACAACACGAATGAGAATCTGAAAACAGTACGGATATTTTGTAGTCTGAGTGATGAATTTCTGACAAAACGAAAACTATGTAACCCTTAGACACATCGAATTGTCTCTTTATAAAAAAAATGTAAATACTTAATAAATTGGTAAAAGTTAGCGAGGACTGAAATAGTGTTAACATAAACTGGCTAAGATGTTTAATGAGAACGAAAGTTTTATGCTGTATAACAAACAAAGAACTCAAACAAAAAACGCCCCTCCCCCCAAAAAGAATTAAGGTTTCTCAGATTTTATATTACGCCCAAAGGGGCGTTGTTTTAACGTTTTGTGTGTTACGTTCTTTTACTTAATATCATGCTCTTCGCACTTAAGCTATAAAATTCAATTAAAATTCAATTCAAGCAATATCACAAAATAACTTTAAAAGAGAATATATTTAGAATTTCCCGATGCACAGTCTCGCAGGCAGAAGAATTTTTTTTTTTTTTTTTAAAAAAAAAAAAAGCCCAAAAGGACTATTAATTTCGTTTTGGCATTTTGCGTTGGTTGATTATAAATGTAAGTTCACTTTTCAAATTGCTGACACCAAGTATTAGAGCCCTGTGTAGTATTTAAAAAATTAAATAATGTAGAATATGCATAAATGTATATATGTTTTTCGCATTGTGATAAAACAACGGTACCTAGAACCATCAGATATTGAATAGCGTAATCTTCCACTGAATATGGGTATCTGGAAGCCCGAATTTGGAATTTGAAATTTGTTTTATTATCGATTCCTATTTCGTAACACTTTAACGAATTTCTGATTAACAAACTCAACAATTTCAAAGGGAGCAATGACTATATTGTACGGAAAAAAAAAAAAATTATCTCCTCCAGCGCGGAAGACTGTGCATTGGAAATTCTAAAGATATGCTCATTTTAAAATTCTTTTGCGATATTGGTGTTGAACTGAATTTTATGGTTTTTCGCGATATTGCTGTTGAACTGGATTTTATGGTTTAAATGCGAAGAACATGGTATTTAATAAATAAAGGTAACACACAAAACGTTAAAAAAAACGCCTCTTTCAGCGTAATGTAAAATCTGAAAGCCTTCAGATTTTATTTATTTATTTATTTTTACAGTTTTGCCATTGCTCGCTTTGAAATTGTTGAGTTTTTAATCAAAAACTCATAAATGCTTTGCAATATATGAAATAGATAAGAAAACAAATTTCAAAGTCCAAATGCGGGTACTTCCAGATGCCCATATTACGCAGTCTAGGAAGTAACGTTATTGAAAATTGGATGGCTCTAGGTACCGTTGTTTTATCACAATGCCAGAGACATACATACATTTACTCAGATTCTTCATTATTTAATTTCTTTAAATATAATAGAGGGCGATAATATTTGGTGGCAGCAATATGAAAAGTGATTCAGTCTTTTAAATTTTTCGAGACACAAAATGACAAAACGAAATTAATAGCCCTTCTAGGCTAACGCCCTTTGGGCTAAAAATGTACCATGCACATTAGTAGAAATAAAACAGATTTAATGTTGATTGTTTTAATTAAGTTTTACCAAACTAACAGACAACATACTATTACTTGTTTGGTCGTTCTCTATACACTGCGTCTTTGTTATTTCATTATTAGGAAAATGTCCTTTTAGTGCAAGAATGAGAATGCTAACTCGAACCACTGGTTATTTTTAAGTAAATTTTAACGTAGAAATAAACGCCAATTAAGATCTTTTTAACAAAGTATTAAAATTTAAAGAATCACACAGAAATGACAACACGTAAGTAACTGAAAGAGCCAAATTGTTTGGATTCGATTTCCCTCGACCATTTAAAATTAGAAAAAGTGTAATCTTATTTTGGCAAAATTTTGAGTAATGCTTTTGATTTTGAGGGCGATCGGACCCAGGTGACTCCTTCTTCGAAAAAAACATTATACAGAATTTTTCTTTTCCCTGGGGAAAATAAAATATCCATACTATATAATAATAACGTGGGAAGTAATTTATCTCCCTCAGAGAGAAAAGAATTCCATTGCAAACATCTATGCCAAACGTATAAGGTATTTCTCCTGCCTTCTTAGCATGCCTTCGAAGTGTAGTAGTCAGCACGCTCGGCGTGTATTCAAGAGGTCCGTGGTTCGAGTTTCGGCGATGGCATTGCTTATTTTTCAACTCCCCTGTTTCGAAATAACGTAATGTCTCTACAAACTTAAGTTTCTTTTTTACTTATTTTTAAACTTTATATTGGCATGTTTTCTTTCAATGACGGATGACCTCTAAGTATTAAGATTAGGGGTGTAGCACCGGTCAAATAATTTCCAGAAACTGTAAATACAGTTACAAAATGAAGTTTTGCATTGAAGACATTATGAACAGTTTTCCTGATTAAAATGCTGTGAAAATACCTATTTACATGTTTCTTGATATCTTTATATTAAATTAGTGAAACTCCATCGCTGTTCTGGAGGTTATTTTTTCTCCTCCTTTAATCTTAACCTTTAGTTAATGTGATCAAGATAGCCGTGGACAAACGTGATTACATTAAGCGGCACCTACTTCATATCTGGTAAAGGCAATGCAAGATTGAGACTTCAAATTGATCTCTTCAATATTCACTGCAACCCGTCACTGACGTTTAGCACCTGAAGCAGATGAGCTTAAGTAGCAATATTAGAGTTGAATAAATATTGAATCAATAAAGTATGAACTAACAAGAACACAAAATAAATAAATACTTGCCCAGAAAAAGAATATATTTTTTAAAGTATAAGACGAGAGCAAGTTTATTATTGTTTTTAATCAGCTGAGGAACTTTACGCCAGGACTAATTATATAAGGAAATGGATGTACCTCTGCAGAAGATAATTTTAACCAGTGGTTAGAATATTCATGTGTAACATATTCATGTTACTCAGCTTTGAGAAAACCACGAATTTAATCAGCCGTTCGTCAAAATTCGATTCGGACGAGAGCTTCCTGTGCAAGTCAGCAGTATTTTTCATTCGGATACTGCTAGGTTTATATAAGTTTTATATAAAAAAATAACAGTAATAATATAAATGGGTAAATAAAATAGCAAACGTTTAATTGTATTCCTTTTTTTAACTCTTTTATCATGTCAGTTTACAATCAGCGAAGGTGATAACATTTCTATTGAAATAAAATTAGCACTTTTTATTTAATACATAAACATGATGAGTAAGAATGTAGGTATAATTGTTTTCGATAACATTAGCTATCAAACTTCAGTATTCTATAGAATACCTAGGCAATTCATAGACTACCTTGCGTTTTTAGGCAAAAGATGATGATTAGGCTATTATTTAAAAGACGTGCATTCCTTAAAAATGCAGATGTTATTTTGAAAAAGGGAAGAAAGCATACCATTAAAAAACCTTTATTCAAAATACTTAAAAATAAAAGCTGTAAAAAGCAAAATTTAAGCTTTTCTTGTTGGATTTGGATTATTCAGTTATGGCAAAGCACACGAGGGCTATCTGCCTAAAGGGAGGGATGCCTTCCGTGGAGGACTTTCTAAGGGAAACTGGCTCGTATACACGTTACACATGTGGAAAACCACGAAAAGCCCGTTCGCGGGATTCGAACCTCAGACCGAAGTACCAGTGTTCAGCGTCTTTACCGCTCGGCCGCTGGTGGGCCGCTTTTCTTATTAAAGAAAACAATGCGTTCTGTTTCTTATTAAAGAAAACAATGTATCGAATTATGGGATGAATGTAATAAATGTAGGGCTTATATATGTGTTATGCATGAATATATTAAATGTATAGATTACATGTGGGTTATGCATGAATGTATTAAATATATGGGATATTCGAAATGAATCGAAGACGTATTTCATACTTTTGCCGATCTGCCATTTGGTATTCTATACATCTAGGAAATGTATGAAGTGTAATCGTTCCATACATTGTCGGCCAATTTTCGGCATTATATAAAATGCTTAGGTATTTATTCTATATAATGCTGGCTTTCATACGTTGCCGGTAACATTAATAATATGTTTCAAGCTAATGGGTTAAATTTCGCTTGTAGATATTCTAAGTATTGTGATATATCCTTTAAAAAATGTTAATTGGCAACGAAATTTGTTATCATTCGATCGTGAACAAACACAAGATATATAATTTCCAAATGTTCCCCGTTCCGCCTTCTATTTTTTAGAATCGATAATCGAGCTATTCAAAACCAGTCATTTAAGTCGTATTTCAAGATACTAAACGATAACGACAGCAGCTGGTTTATGTTAACAGTCGAGTGATTTATGCCTTATCATATAGCTTGTGGTGATCCACGGTTTGAAAATGGTTTCTGAATCAGAAGAGATTCGTGCACTAACCTAGTGCTTCGCATTAGAGAGTAAAGAACATCTATGATATAAAAATATACTTTTATTTACACAGCGAAAACGCGCAGCAACATTATTAACGAAAGCTCATTCTCCTAATAACATACTTCTTTTTACACTCCGCTTGCGCATGCGCAATGATAATTACCAAAGGAGCTTCGCAGATACTGCCATCTGTTGGATAAACTATTCGCTACATATTCCTCCCACCTGAATTTACTGGGAGGTAAATTCACACATCTGTTAAGTATAATATATGCATAATAGTACAGTATACAATATTGAAGTATAAAATTATGCCTACCAAGATGTTCTAATTAAATTGAAATACAAATTTACCTGGAGATGCAGCATTCCATAATTTTCTAGACATAGTAACAGATAATACTAAACCTAGAAAAATAAAAATAAATCAAATTATTACAAAGTATTCAAACAAGTACAAAACATTTCACAGACGTATCACTGGTTTCACAGTTCTACCACTGCTGGTAGTCATAGGAATATTTTCAGTCATATTCTTTTGGACTGGGTTATCCAGCTCAAGTCTGTACAGTCTTTGCACTGGTCTCAAAAGTCTCTCAAAACTCAGAAAGAAAAAAAGAAACTCAGAAGTCTCTGTTTTTATGACAGCAAGTCTTATTTGTCCATCACGACCAGGTAGCAGCTTTATGACACGCGCCAGGTTTTAATTGACTGCTGACGTAACTGTCCTAGATATTCCACACGGAATCTTGCTCTAAGTTGTTCTCTCACCTTTTGTAGATACTTAGCTCGTTTACTCAGTTTTTCCTTATCCACTGTATCGATATCAGGTACTCCTGATTTGGAAATCTCCCGCAGGAACATTTCTGGAGTTAATGGGGATGAATCTTCAACGTCTTCCGACACGTAGGTAAGTGGCCTAGTATTGATTACTCTCTCACAGTCGCATAGTACTGTAAGCAACTCCTCGTAATCCAGGGCAGCACACGACCTAGAACTTTTCTCAGAATCTGTTTCACCATTTGAACTAAACGTTCCCACCAACCGCCCCACCAAGGTGCGGAAGGAGGAATAAATTTCCACTGAATTCTTTGCTCAGCGGCCTTTGATCGCAGACTCTCCCAATCAATTGTATGCAGAAGGCTCTCCGCTCCTTTAAAATTACTGCCATTGTCTGAGTATATTATAGATGGTCTTCCGCGACGAGAAATGAAACGTCTCAATGACTGGAAAAAAAGCTTCAGTTGTCAAGGATGTTACTGACTCCAGATGAATGGCCCTATAGACCGCACATGTGTAAAGAACAATATAAGCTTTTCGACCATCTTTAAGGTAGAGGGGTCCTGCCAGATCGACACCCACTATCTCAAAAACATTTGCATCACGTACTCTATCTTTCGGCAAAATTCCTGGAGTTACAACATCACAACTTTTGGATTTAAATCTTTGACATTTAACACATTTTCTAATGCAGTTTCGTACTGTCTTACGAGTTTTGAGGATCCAATACTTTTCCCGCAAATGAGACATCACCATAGAAGTACCAGCATGCAGCAGCTCATTATGTGCATTCATTATTAGTAATTTTACTACTGCATGATCAGATGGCAAAATGACAGGAAACTTAAAGTCATCAGTATCGTCGCGATAAGAAATATTGGTTTTAGCTCTGATCAAACCATCACGATCAACTATAGGTCTGAGGTCTTTAATTTTATCATCGTTCACACTCTTAAATGATTCTCTTTGAACCAATAACATAAGAGTTATCTCAGCTCTTTCAATTTCCGAAACTGACAAAATTTTGGAGGTTTCGTTTGTAATTCTTCGTAATTTAAAGTAAAACCTAAGAATCCAACCTAACATGCGTACAATTTTCTTTATGGATGAAAAGTACCTGTAATACCAATTGTCAGGTTTAGAATCTTTGTTAAGAGTTGTCAATACTGATTTACGCCTTTCTGAATTTATGATCTCTTCGTCCGGCAAATCGGTGCCTCTTGACCATGACGATTCTGGTTCTAACAGCCATGATGGGCCCTCCCACCATTTCGACAGCAAAAACTGTTTAACTGAACAGCCTCTAGAAGGGAGATCGGCGGCATTCAGCTCCGAAGGGATGTAATGCCAATCTTCTATTTTTGTAAGTGTTCTGATTTCTTGGACACGATTCCAAACGAAAGTTCCCCACCGTACGTCTCGCTGGATCCAGCACAAAGCGGTTGTTGAGTCAGTCCAGAAGAATGTTCTTAAATTTGGCATGTTCAAATCTGAAAAGACCATACGTCCCAAGCGTGCTCCGATTAAGCAGGATAATAATTCCAAACGAGGAATGGATATACTCTTTAAAGGCTTAACTCTAGTGCGTGCTTGCACAAAATTTAAATAAACCTTATTTTCGGTCTTCACTCTTAAGAAAATACAGGTAGCATAGGCATGCTTGCTGGCATCGCTGAAAACATGAAGACTTACATCTTCGTTAACCGATCTGTCAATATTAAGCCATCTAGGAATTTTGACATCAGACAGCAGTTTCATTTCCTTTACCCATTGTATGGACTTCTTTTCTAAATGTTCTGGCAATTTTTGATCCCAATTTAATCGTAATTTCCAACACTCTTGCAATATCACCTTTGGGAACAGGGTAACGGGAGAAAGGAAGCCTACTGGGTCAAATAACTTATGCGCGCAAGAAAGGAGTGTTCGTTTACTCGCGACAATCTCCTCTTTCTTTAGTGACTCAATTTTACAGGAAAGAGTATCATCCTTCAAATCCCAGTTTTAACCCTAAAACGCAAACGAATGTATCTAATTTAGAGTTGGGAATTATTTCGGTTTCACAATTCGACTGCCATCCTCTAAGATTAAACTTTCCCAGTGACAATAACATTCTCGATTCTAGTACAAATCTATTCAATTCTTCAACATTCTTAAAACTAGTCAGGCAATTATCAACATAGAAGGACTCCTTCAAAATGTTGGCTGTAACTGCAAACTGATCTGGGGCACGATTTAAATGATAGTTCAACGTAGCGGCTAACAAAAATGGACTACAGTTAAGCCCAAAAACCACGCGACAATGTCTGTAAATTTTAGTATTCTCTTCTTCTGCACCTTTCCAAAAGAAACGCAAATAATCTCTATCCTTCTCTCTTATACCAATCTGCAAGAAAGCTTTCTCAATGTCTGAAATTACTGCAAGAGGATATTTCCGAAAACGATTCAACAATGTTGGAATTATTTCTATTAGGTTGGGACCTTTCTCAAGACAATCATTTAAGGAAAGTTCTCCTTTGGCGTGTGCCGAAGCATCAAAAAACTGGCCTTACTCGCGTAGTTTCACTAGATTCTTTAAAAACCGGCCTATGAGGCAAATAGTGCTCTCTATCTACTTCGCCTTCATTTACCTCTTCAATAATTCGTTCCTTCAACCAAGTATTTTAAATACTTCCTGATAAACTTTAATTTGATTCGAATCTAATAATTTCCTTCGCGTATTAGTCAGGCGTTTTTCTGCCAACGTTTTATTATTAGACAAGCGAGAGGGGTCCAGTACCCAAGGTAATGCAGTTTCATATCTCCCGTCTGAATCCAAATTCAAATTTTCCTCAAAATATTGCATGGTCTCCTCATGAATTTCAGCTTTCTTTTTAGACTCAACTGGGTCATTTATACCAATAACGTCTAACTTCCACAAGTTTTCTGCTGATCTTTCGTTTAGCAAATAAAGAAACACATGCAAGAGAATCATTTATACCCGAAGATTCCTTCGCTGGAATTTTACCCATTAAAATCCATCCCAAACTTGTTTCCATCGCGACCGGACCACTTTGTAAACATTTAATATTTCCGGTGAATAATTTTCCAGCAATATCAGAACCTATCAACAATTTAATGTCACTTTCGTTTTCGAGAGCATTACCCTCTACATCTGACACTTGAATATTTAATTTACGAAGTTCTTTCAACCAAGGACCTTTAGGTATTTTCTTAACATCAGAACAGATAACAGATTCACTTAAACAATGCACACTACATACATATTTATTATCAAGGCTACTCAAATTAACTATATATTTAGAATGCAATTTTTCTTTTGTTTCTACACCTCCGAATAATTTATGAACTAATTTCACTTCACCAACACTGTTACATTTCAAAGAATCTGTAATATCTTTCGTTAAATAACTTCTCTCGCAACCCGTATCTATAATCCCTCTGACTATCCTTTCCCTGTTGCCATTTTTTACCCTTACGATTAATGTTTGTAGTAACACATCGGAGCTCGCGGATCTGCTAGCCAAAACATTGACCTCATTTTTCGCCACAGGCTCTACTTGTTTAGTCTCTTTCAATTGAGAAGGAACTTGTTGACACATTACTGCCAAATGCCTTTTCTGGCAAATTAAACACTTAACCTTGGACTTACAGTTACGAGAAATGTGATTTTTTTTCTTCAAGCATAATAGACATAAACCCTTCTTAAATATTAAATCTTTTTTATCCTGATATGTAAGCGTACTAGCTTTAAAACATTTTTCTGTTAAATGTGGCTTATCACAAAATAAACACGATTCCTCAACTTTCTTAATAGGAGCATTTTCTTTAAATTTGTCTCCTGTATACAAATCATTACAAGTAGGAATATTAGACTCATCATTAATGTAACTTTTAGATTTTCTACTTTTATCAAAAGAAAAACGCGCTAATTTAATTCTCTCTTCAGATATCACTTCATTTTTCAAAAACAGAAGAATAGATTCAAGATCGCTCTTACCTTGTTGTGACGAGCTCTCCCGTTCCCTCTCCCACACGCGTAAGATGTCAGGGGGCAGGCAAGATTCAACTAACGGAAAAATAACACTAGCGTATTTATCTTCAGTCACACCGAGAGATTCCAGAGCACGCAGTTTTGTTTCTAAACTGTCGTACAACGATGATAGCGCAAAGTCCCTTTTTGGTTGCATTATTATTTATCAACACAAGATTCAATAAATCCCGAACGTACACTTGTATAAGAATATCTTCACGTCCAAAACGGTTCTTTAAATGTTCGATGACTTTCGGATAATTTTCTTTAGTTGTCGGGAAACTCTGCACTATTTCCCGTGCTTTCGATTTGGCAGCAGTAGCCTGGATCAGATATACGAATTTCAAATGATCATCTAGCACTGGATCTTCGTGTATCTTACTAAAAGGTATTCCAGAAATTCAACCATTGTCGTGGATCACCTGTAAATTCAATCAAATTTATTTTCGGAAGCTTCAAATTCGTTGCCGTTGTTCTTGAATCAACAGTTCTGGTTTCATTTACCGATGCATGAGTCAGCAAATTTTTCTCTAGTTTCACAGTGATTTGCTTCACTTTCATCCTGGCTGCTATTAATTT